CTTGCATGTTTTACTGACCATTTAACAATTGCCTTAATTACATGGATAATTAGGTTACTTTGACCAAGTAATTAAACATTTTGAATATATAATTAATAATTCTCACTATTTTAAAATTGATAGATGTTAATTTACATAAAAAATCTGTTCGTAGAAAAATTGGAATACGTAACATTTTCGAATACTATAAAAAATTTTCTAACACATTTCTTTTTGTCATATATTAAACTATCATTATAAATATTTAAGCATACACTAATCCTATTTATATACTTGTTATGATGTACATACATGGATACATAACTCTAGAACTACAATGAGCTTACGTTAATAATTTCCAAGAAATTGGCTCTCTCTTAAAGTCTTTTAAACTTTTTTGACTTTTGTACGTAAGGGGCTTCCAACTTTATATATACATCCCAATTCACAAAGTATTATTTTGGTTTTTATTTCTTTGACAAACCAGAATGTCCGTAGTTCTATCTCTTAATATTTTATTTAACAATAATATTTGTATGAGCATACCTTAACGATTTTTTAAATATAATTTTTTTTTAATTGTTTTCATTAATCAAATTTGTGTAGCGAAGCAATTAAGCAATACAAACCAAAATACAGTTAATTAATATAAGAATTGTAAAGCCTGTTTCAAAAAAAAAAAATATAAGAATTGTGCTCGATGACAAGGAATCATGCCTTAATTAATTTGATATTTTTTGATTGGATCAAATGGACCGGAACTTTAGGTGAAGGTCGATCGATAAATATTTTTTCACAAAAAGTTAATTTCGGAATATGAGATGATGATGAAGTCTCGTCTCTTGAGTCTTGTCCAATCTCCGCTGAACGCAGTCTCAAAACTAAAGATCTTTCTCATTTCAACATCGTTGTTGAATAAGTTAGTCAAACTTTCACATCAAAACCCATCATATACTCTGATCATAGTTTATAATAATCCATATTAAAATATACGTTATTACGTTTCGTTTAGGCAAAAAATATTTCAGAAATTAATTTGCATAATTATTTTGGTCTGTTAATTGAAAAACTAATAACTGGCATGTCGCACGGTGTTTCTCCTAGTATTCTAGAAATATATAATTTTTAATTTAGTTTTTATGATCAGGAAGTAATAATACATCAACAAATTATGAGGAAAACACTTGTTAAATAATACATAATTAAAGGGATATGATTTTGTTAATTACTTTATAATGACATAATTAAAAACGAATATCCACGTCATGGGAATTTCTCATGTGAACTTAATATGTAACAATTTCTATTCTATTCTACTGGGAAGTCAATGGTCTTGCAAATGGTATTTGCTGCACATCAGCACATGCACAAACCATATTAAAGTGCATCTGCTGCGATAATTTATGCATAGGTATAATATGAGAAGGAGAACATAAAATATCAAGGATGACAAAATTGACAACATAATTGGTTGGTGGTTTACATAGAAAAGTCGTCGAAGAAAAAATCTTACTGTCTAAAAGAGTATCAAATATCACTTTAGAAAAATTTAATATGAATTTTGTTGGATCATATATGATGTCGCCAATGTTCGATCAGTTTCCAAATATTTGCTTTATATTATTAGACAAAAATAATATAACAAATATCGGTAGGTGGAACATTGAAGAATCTAAAACTGAATTATTACGAATATTAATCCATTTTTCAAAATAAATAAAAAAATTATTAAGTAATAATAATATAACAGATTATTATCAATTTTGTCATTTTTATTTAAATATTGTTGATGAGCCATCTTTACTGACAAACTCACGTATTTTTCATTTCTTTTAAAACACTTGAAATATTTATGATATTTTGTTTTTGCTAAATTACATACTTATTTGCGATGTTAAGTATTAGTAACTTATAAATTGATTTATAGTTATAATTGAAATGTACAAATAGAAAAAAATAATTAATCTCAAATATAATGTACGTTTTAATTTATCACATGATCAATTTTTATAAAACTAGATAGCTAGTTCCAAATCTAGCTTCAATATATTATTGTTTTCTATGTATTTAAAAAAAAGTACAATCCAATTCAATAATACTACATTATCATATGTAGCTAAAATAATTCTAATAATTAATAATGAAGGTTCTAGTTACTCATATACATAAACAGAAATACAATTAAAAATTATAACTATTGTCATATGCCAGATAAAATTATGCTCATGGTTATAATTCCTTTGTGTACTTTCAAATCCAACAATTTACGATTGAAATGCACAGATTAGTTAGAAAAGATTAATATGTAGTCGAGGATCCAGACTAAATACACAGTATACTATATCACTATCAATATTTATTGTTATTACGTGTCAACGACGCAAACATCAAATCAAATTAATAGTACATGCATATTATTATATGTAAACTTAAATTATTTTTCATACCTTTGTTGACAAAGGAACAATGAGTTCCCTATAAATAACAAGGAGAGCATAAGTTACAAATCACACCAAATATCAAACACTTTGCTACATGACCCATATTCAAGAAATGGAAATGGTATTGATGATCTCTTTGTTCTTAACGACAATCTTAACACTTGTCTTGCTTAGAAAATTCCTCAAACGAAACACCACCAAAGTGAACCGACCACCATCTCCATGGCGGCTTCCTTTGATTGGTAACCTCCACCAGCTCAGCCTTCACCCTCACCGTGCCCTCAAATCCCTCAGCCTCCGGTTTGGACCACTCATGCTCCTTCATTTTGGCCGTGTCCCCATACTTGTGGTCTCTTCCGGTGAAGCAGCTCAGGAGGTATTGAAAACACACGATCTTAAGTTTGCCAACCGCCCAAGATCAAAAGCCGTTCATGGGCTTTTTAACGGTGGGCGTGATGTTGTGTTTGGTCCCTATGGGGAATATTGGAGACAGATGAAGGTATTTCATTACTAACCCTCTTTTCACATTCCTCTAGTTAACCTCTCTTTATATGTATCTTTATATTTCTTTTTGTCGTCTACAAGTTGCACCCACACATGCACATGCACTATAACATGTTCTTATATTATGTATATTATTAATCATCAACTAATGATGATTTTGAAATTTGTTTTGGATGAAGAGTGTATGCATTCTAAATCTGCTCACCAACAAAATGGTTGCGTCCTTTGAGAAGATAAGAGAAGAAGAGGTAAATACAATGATCGAGAAGCTAGAGAAAGCAAGTAGTTCTTCTTCATCAGAAAACCTGAGCGAACTCTTTATTACAATAACAAGCGATGTTACGAGTCGAGTTGCCTTGGGAAGAAAACATAGTGAAGACGAAACCGCAAGGGATCTCAAAAAGCGAGTGAGGCAGATCATGGAACTTTTAGGCGAGTTCCCAATCGGGGACTACATCCCGGTTTTGGCATGGATAGATAATATAAATGGTTTCAATAAGAGAATTAAGGAAGTGAGTCAAGGTTTTAGCGATCTTATGGACAAAGTGATACAAGAACATGTAGAGGCAGGTAATCATAAAGAGGATTTCGTTGATATACTTTTATCAATCGAAAGCGAGAAGAGTATTGGATTACAAGCTCAAAGGGATGACATAAAATTTATGATCTTGGTAAGTCACTATAATCCAAGTCAGTAACAACTATACCGTTACATTTTTTTATATATTAATTTTGAGTAATGACTATTAGTAACTTCTCATTACTTCATATCAGGATATGTTTATAGGAGGGACGTCAACAAGTTCAACTCTACTAGAATGGATTATGACAGAGCTGATCAGAAATCCAAAGTGTATGAAGAAACTCCAAGACGAGATTCGATCAACCATGGTTCCAAATACTTCATTCGTAAAAGAAAAAGAAGTTGCGAATATGAAATACCTAAAAGCTGTGGTTAAAGAAGTGCTCAGGGTGCATCCTTCTCTTCCACTGATACTTCCTAGACTCTTAAGTGAAGATGTCAAAGTAAAGGGATACGACATAGCCGCAGGGACAGAGGTACCACTCATTTCTAGCAAATCAACTTCTTCTATCTAAAGAACACCACACTTCGTACTTATAAATATTTTCTTAAACTAGCAACCAACTTGGTCACACATAACTTCACATATATGTCTCAAGTCATGGTTATAAACTGAAAAAAAATGTTTGGCGTGTAGGTGATCATCAATGCTTGGGCAATCCAAAGAGATAAGGCGGTATGGGGACCGGATGCTGAAGAATTTAAACCAGAGAGACACTTAGAGACAGCTTTGGATTATCATGGCAAAGATTTGAACTACATTCCATTCGGATCAGGGAGAAGGATATGTCCAGGGATAGGACTTGCTTTGGGTTTGGTAGAGGTGACAGTGGCCAACCTTGTAGGCCGATTTGATTGGAGGGTAGAGGCTGGTCCAAATGGAGATGATTCTGATCTAGCTGAATCCGTTGGTCTTGATATTTGCCGCAAGTTCCCTCTCATTGCATTTCCATCTTCTGTTATGTAAAATGCTTTCTCTTTTGCCGTGTTATGCGATTCATTCATAATATATATTCTACAATGAATAAACATTTCTTATTTTTAACGTGTATCACTAAGTGTTTTTATTTATATAGAAGCAAAGTCTACTTTTGGTTATGAAATAGTTGAATAAAGTATATCATCATTATTGGGAGTAATTTTGAGAGGACTCAATAAAAAATGTTAAGTCGATTCCACTATGGTAATTTTCTTTTCACTAGACCGTGAGAAGTCCTAAAAGTACATTTCGAAATTAAGTCCTTAAGAGTATACTTTCTTTCAGTTGACCTGAGAATCTCCCTTTTGAAATGTAAGTCAACAGAGTGCCTAACAAGTAACAAGTTGTGTGTATAATATTCCAAGTTGTACTTAACAAGAATTTTCTTTTTGGTCCTAGATCATGTTTCTCACTGCTGGATCATAGGTCCATGTAAACTTGATCCAAGACATAAAAACAAAAAAAAAGAAAACTTGCTAAGCAGACAACTTGGCAGACACTCTGTTGATTGTGTAAAGGGAACCAAATAATCAGAACACCTTTAAAGAATTTGTTAAATTTAGTCAAGACAAGGAATACACAAATGCTTCTGTTTTTCTAGAAAGCAAAAAGAAAGAAAACAAAATGCAATACATCTTTGTTCTCTAAGCCAATCAAGCAAAGCCTGTTTCATTAAATTAAAAAACTGGAAACTGTACAAGATAAATAATGGGAATATATAGTGAAATCAGACCATCGGATTTTTTCTTTCTTTCTGTAATTCAGCTTTGGTTTATGACAATAAGACAGTAAGACTTGAATCTCTTTAAGTTTAGACTTTAGCTTTTTGGTACAACCCAGTGGATACCTGTTTTAGGAGCTAAGAATGTGAGGATGTTGTTGCCAGAAACATTGGTCGATAATGTTAGAATGGTCCACGACCACTTCTTCTTCTTCTTCCACTTGCTTTCCTGAAACTGAAACTTCTCCCTTCTCCTCTGTGACACGTTCCTGCGTCTTAATGTAAAACTAATTTAGACAGTTTGTTTGAAATCTCTGCATAGACAAGAACAATCAAAACTGACCAAAAAAAAAAAAAAAAATGTTTTAAAATTTCACAAGTTTCCACAACATGCAAATATTTGATCAGCTAACATATGAAATAGGCAGCAAACTTCTCAGGGTTCCTGATTTAGAGGACTCGTCTTTTAGACACTCTAATAAGATTCAGCTGGAAAGCACTAGAAGATTTTTGGAGTATGATTATCACAGTAGTACCTTTAGGCGGAAAACAGAAGAACCCATGCGGAAGATTAAAGGTAATGAATTGTACTCAATTCCAAATTGCTGGCTAAGTAACTCGTTTTTTTCTCGTGTTTGGGTACCCTAAACAGAGCCAAATCCCAAATGTAAGTGACAAACCATTTTAGTCAATGAACTAAGAGAATGAGTATTGGCTACTAGAAAAAGGCATAACAACGCACCTTTAAGTACTCTTGGGCTTGAGTTTTGCTTTTTCCAGACTTAACAAGCATCCAGAAACATGTATTATACTGATTATTGGTGTGGCCTGCAAAGACAGAACAAAATTGCTGAACAAGAGTATACAACTCAAACTAACGATACTATTTGCGATCAAGGGTTTATCTCTCAAGAGAAGATGAGTGTATCATCAGATCAGACAATACTCACAGTCTACTTGTCTCCAAGCTAGGTAATCCAGGAGAATCTTTGATGTTGGATAGCATACAGCTCGTCCATCAAATGATGGAGGGTACTTCAATTCTTTGTGAGGGAAGAAATCTGCCCATCTTAGCACGTATTTAGACGTGAAGAAGGATACCATTGCTGATATTATCTTACTGCAATAAGATATTTGAAATTACGTTATATGGTCAACAGTGGAAAAGAACCAAGAAAAATCTAGGAAAGACAGATTAATAAATTCTCAAATATTAGAAACTTAAGGGCACAGAAAATCATTTGACCTGGACTGTCTTTTGTAAAGCTCAGATTCATTCTTCAGAACAAAGCTGCAAATCAGTGATGAACTCGATTAATATCAGGAAATGTAAATTCAATTTAAAGGTGCTGAGAGTTACAAACCTGTACTCATCACTAACACCATAGGCAAAGGCAATATCCTGAAACTCCTCAAGAACAGCCACTGCACATGAATTCATAAGTTTCAGAGCTTTCTCATCATTTGGCTTCTCAAATTCATGAACTTCAGAAAATCTATCAAAATCCAAGCAGGCTCCATCAGATTCCCTTACACATAACGATAGTAATCATTCAAGCAATATGCAGGTGTTTGTTTGCCAAAGCAGTTAACTACACTGTATAAGTTCCACAATTCTACTTCTCTGTAAGTGATACTATCATTGCCTTACTAAATCAAAATTTACAGCACCACACAAAAGCAATCATAATGTAAGGAACATGCCGACCATAGCAGTCAGAAGTGTGTAAACTTGTAATGTAGCATTGTAGCTGAAATAAATCCTAGGGAACAAATTTTTTAACAAGTTTAAGGCTTCCATGCAAAACACATTGTCTAACAATGAAAATAGAGAGAAACTAAAACGCATATTACCTGTGAAAATGGCAGCCATCAATCCTAAGCACAACCCAAGTTAAAGGTAATAATCTATTCTCAAACTGAAACGACTTAACATAATCCGGTTCAATTTTGCCAATGTCTTTTGGAAAATGTCCAAGATCCTTATGAAGAGAGGAGTGCTCGTTCCAAAAGCTTCTTGCGGCAATATTTTCTGAATGCACTAACGTTTCCCTTCTCCTCAATCGTTTAACAGGATTTCCATTCTCATCATGCTTTACAGTTTCTTCCACCTGAAGAAATTCAACAAAGGTATGACACATACATTAAAGCTGACAAATATAGAGACAAGAGAACATTTGACTTTCATATTAAACTAACTTAATTGACTTTGTATTGAACATGCAAGATGCAGCCACACAAGACTATACAAAAATACAAGATTTCAAGCAACTGAAATTCACAATGCAAAAACATACAATGCACACCATTTAAAATCACTAAATCGGATCTTCATTGAAAGCTGTAAATTTCGACATACATAGGCAACACACCTCAAAGCATGCACACTAATGCTAGAAATAAAAACCATGAAATAATCGGAAATATCACCTTTGTCTTAAAAAGGCATGATCCTTGACGAAATAATACAGGAAGCATTTTATAATTAATACCAAATTGCTGGAAAAGAAGCTCATTTCTCTGTTGTTTCTGAGTATCCTGCATATATCAATAGGAAGTAGTGTGATCGTACAATAAAATATGATGACAAGGTATGAAACCAGGTAAAGGACCATAATATATATCAAAAAGTCTAATTATAGTGCTCAATACTTTCCATGGCAAAGAAAGGTATAGGTCGTCACAGAAAAAAGCATAGACAACAGTGAACAGACCTTCAAAATCTCATGTGTTTCACTTAATGTCTTTCCACTTTTTACTAACATCCAAAAACATGTGTCATACTGATTACTAATGTGGCCTGCAACCAAAAAAAATGGAAGTTGTAAGAAGATCTAGATGCAAGCGCCCAATAATTAATAATATCCAGAACGTAAATCAAGAATCTGTTAAATAAAATTTCATAGAACACAGATGTTAGAAGGTCTTACAGTCATGTTGTCTCCACGCAAGGTAAACTTGAAGAACCTCTACTGATGCACAACTTACAACTTTTGAAGCGAAGGAAGGAGCATATTCTAATTTTCTAGAAGGAAAGAACTCTTCCCATTTTGTTACATAGACAGCAGCAAAAAAAGAGGCTACCAACGACAGAATCTTACTGCATATGAAACAAAATAAAAGTTAAAAGTACATGCCAAATCATATAGAAGAAAACTATATATAACTCGACTTGTCTCCCAAATCATACAAAACCATAGAACAAATATATAGATCAGATCAGTACCTAGCTCGTCTCTGGTAAAATCTTGATGTTTTCTTGAATACAAAGCTACAGGATATATGAAAACAAGAAAACCCTGTCACAGGGAAACATATCAAAAACCTAAGAAAAAGTAAACTAATCCAAGTGAAAATGGTACCTGAACTCATCGCTATATCCATATGCAAAAACTATATCGGGAAACTCTTCCAAAACCGCAGATGCACATGAATTCATCAAATTTAAAGCCGTTTCATCATTAGGCTTCTCAAACTGGTGAACTTGGGAAAATCTATAAAAACACACACATATACATAGGTAGATTCATGAGAACACCATCCTTATCAATCTCCATAAACAATCTACTTGCAATAAAAATAAAGTAAGTTCCCAAAACAACCTATCTATCAGACTCTATACCTTGAATGTACCACACCATCACAGTTGAATGTGAGATTATGTTTACCTGGAAAAATCACAGCCATCAATGCGGATGACTATCAGATTGGGAAACATAACTTCGTCTTCCACTTCGAATGACTTGACGTACTCGTACTTGCTATTCGCCATGTTTGTCCAAATTTTCAGAACAATGGACTTGCTTCGTTTCTTCTACTCCCAATTGGAACTTACTTCGACTGCTTGTTACAATCAAACACGAATTTGAAGTGAAATAACCAAAGTAACGATCTGAAAAGGCACTGTATCGTAATCACAGCCAGCAACCCTCACACTTCATACTCAGAACATCGATAACTTTTAGAATAACCTCATTAGCTACTATATTATCACTTATCAGACATTCCCCATTAAACTATTCTGTTTACTGCTTCATCACTTCGAATTTCACAGCTTTTTAGAGATTGATTGAAGAAGAAGAGTGTTAGGGAATTGATTATAGAAGAAGAAAAAATTGAAGAACGAAAGAAGTTTTTTTTTTTAAACAGGCCTTATTTTAACCCAATTTTTTCCGAAAATTATATTGTTCATGGTTTAGGGTTTATATTTATTTAAACGGATCTGGGCTGGCCCATTTATTGAAGCCCAATGTAACATCCCTAGCTAAGACACAAATTGAACCACCACCGTCGATTTAACGAACCACCAATCCACCATCGTCCAAATTCGAGTGCAAGAGTCAAATCAGAGTCTCAAAATCACTATTTATCATCATCGCACTCTGACTCTGTTGACTGTGTAAAGGGAACCAAATAGTCAAGACAAGAATACTCAGATGATTCTATTTTTTTCAACAAAGCAAAAAAGAAAGAACACAAAATGCAATACATCTTTGTCTCCACGCCAATCAAGCAAAGCCTGTTTCCAATACAGAACATAAAACAAAATATGCAAAATATGAAGTACTTTTCTTTCACACCAAAATGAACTCAGAAAAACAACATAGTTATGATTTTATTATACTTTTATGTTCTCTCCCAAATCACTGTAAGGTTCTCACTTTGTATGAACAAATAATCTAACTCAAGAAGAAGACACCGGGGGTATGTATTTATAAGGCGCATATACTCATGATTCAGGTACTGGGACTGGCGCTGGAGGTTTGAGAAGTGGCTGCAAAGCTTTCACAACTATACTCATATTCGGTCTAAACTCTGATTCGTATTGCACACACAATGCTGCCACCGCTGCTAGCTGTGTTGCCACATTACGGAATTCAAAAAATTCAGATGATGTTAACATCAAAACATCTAATTTTTCTATGCATCATGAGTTATTATTATTCCAATCTTCAAATATTAAGATACTCGTGGGATGAACATAGTGTACCTTAGCTACTGATTTAGGAGGATATTCTCCTTTTAGCTTTGGATCAACACACTGCTTCACTTTATCTTCGCTGAGTCTCGGTGTAGCCTGAATAATAGACAGCACACTTATAAGACATGAAACAGAAACAGAGCAGGATACAGTTTTGGACAGGGCTCATATAACATACCCAGGTTACAAGGCTTTGTTGGCCACGTGGCATAGTATGGTCTACAGGTTTCCTCCCAGTCAAAAGCTCTAGAAGTACAACCCCAAAGCTATACACATCACTCTTTTGTGTCAACTGCCCAGTCATAGCATATCTACAAATGGGAATACACATTTTAGCTGCCTAATTCGTTCATACTTTCATCTGGATGCAACAAAAAGGTACTAAGGAAGATTACTCTGGAGCATGATAACCAAAGGTGCCCAAGACTCTTGTAGAGTGAAGACGAGCAGCATTATCAGGAGCTTGATTGGAGAGATTAAAATCAGCAATCTTTGCTTGATAGTCCTCAAAAAGAAGTACATTGCTAGATCTTATGTCTCTATGTATTACAGGAGGCTGAACTTTCTCATGAAGGTATTCTAAACCCCTAGCTGCCTCAACCGCTATCTTCACCCTCGTTAACCAGTCAAGAGTTGGACCTGGCTGTGCACCTTGAACTCCCTTCCTACCTGTAATAATAACACATTACATCTTAGGAGAAATCAATTCTGTTTTCTATATTTTCCCAAGCAAGAAGAATAGACGGGAAGCTCAACATACCATGTAGAATGTCATGCAGTGATCCCATTGTTGCAAACTCATAAGCAAGAACACGGAGGTTTTCATCAACACAATAACCGACCAGTTGAATGAGATTCTCATGCTGTAGCCTTGAAACCATGGAAACCTAAAGAGAAAGACGCAAGAAAATGTAAAGACAAGTTTCTCGAAAAACAAAGGAGGGGTGAGAAGGGAAGCGAGATTGGAGAAAATTTTATGACCTGACTCAAGAACTCAGCGTTTGTTTCAGCTTCAGCTGCAACATCGAGTTTCTTCAAAGCAACTGCTTTCCCATCATTTAGAGTTGCATAGTACACCCTTCCATAAGATCCCTCACCAATCAGTGACTTTGAACCAAAATTGTCTGTCTTTTCTTTGACTTCATCCACAGACAAAGGAGGAACTTCAATGGGAAGAGCTTCCTTCTGGGTCTCAGGCTTTGCAACAGCTTGCGGTTTTTGATTCTTCTGATTTGCTACATATGTGATGTGATGGCAAGGAGAAAACATATTTTTATTAAAGAGATAAAATTATATTCATCATATGTTTCAAGTTCCCTCATATAGCAAAGTTAACTACTCCTATTCATAAAAAAACAAGAAAGTTCAAACCTCTAGTAAGGAAAAATAAAACTAGAACCTATCTTCCAGCAGTCAGAACCATACACAGACTAGAGAATTTAGTTAGTTAAGTGAATTTTTTTGTCTGCAACATACCTTCAGATTGCTGCCATGGAGTTTTCAGATGTACCTCCTCATTTGCTAAATCTGATTCTCCATTCTTATCCCCACAACAGATCCACCTCCGCATCCTCGTTCTAGATCCTCACAGCTTTTAGCTCCTGAAACCATTCAAAGCAACTGAATAAAAATGCATAAAAGAAACTATCTTCTACTGATTCCTAACAGCAAATCTAGACCAAGACCAGAGCAAGTAGAACAAAGTTTTTAAAAAATGCAGCTGCCCTGTGAAAATTGTTCATTCTCAAGAAAACGCTTCAGCAAACTTACCCCCAAAATGCAAACAAGTAAATATAGCTAAACCAAAGAAATGATTTCAAATATCGTAGCTAGCAAACTACAAATCCGTTTAGTATGAACCATCTAACAAATCAATTTTTTTTCACATAACTGACGTTACAACACTAGAAAAACCAGAATCTGGAATCAGATTTGTATAAGCTCTCAAGTTTATTTGGAACAATGAGTTGGTAACTCTTTTAAATCATGATAAAAAAAATACAATTATCAATCAAACAAATCCACATTTCTATTACTCAATATTTCAACTGCAAGATTACAAATCAGAAAGGGACAAACCGACAAAGTGTTGCCGCCAGATAAGGTCGGCACTAGTCAACTACTACCGAAACTGAATTAAAAAACAAAAAAAAAAAGAACACATAAGAGAATCAAAGATTTAAACTTTGCAAATCAGATTGAGATTATCTACTCGAATTCACTCTTCTTTTTATGTAAATCATACACTGAGAATCGCGGTGGAAAGGAAGATCGTCAAAACGAAATCGAACAATCGAAAATTGAAATCAAAGTAGAGAAATTTTCAAAGATGTAGTCAAAGGGAAACGAATCAAAAAGCCCTAAAAAAAAGGGTAAAAAAAATCGAGAGAATTGATCTCAAAATCCAAAAAACAATAACAATAATACCAGTCAAATCTAGGCTTTCCCCAAAAACGTGCTTCAGCTTTGACTTCTCTGAAATCTTAGGGTTTCGGTTGCGTATGAGTGTATGTACGTATCTTCTGTAGATTAGAGAGAGAGAAAGAGAGTGGAGGAAGCGGAGGCTTTGCTTGATGATGAAGACGGCGATAGAGAGATAGAGAGAGAGACAGATGGGCAAAACGCGGGGAAGAGATTATAAAAACGACCAAAAGTTAAAAAGCTTTACTTTTCTCCGGTTTTATAATTGAAACTTATATCAATCATATCTTTTTTGTTTTTTGTTTTTGTTTTTTTAAAGTATTTTAGTGGACAAAACTCACTCAATTTTAATTATCTAAATTGAAACTTATATAAATTATATACTGTATATGGAAAAAAGATTGGTAACGATAGTTTTTTGTGTGTTTAGAACTTTAGATATACACAAACTTAAGTTGGCACATGAGGTTTAAGAAGCCGCTGCAAAGCTTTTACTACTGTACTCATCGTTGGTCTACAATCAGCATCGTATTGCACACATAATGCTGCCACTGCTGCTAGCTACATTCATAAAAATTCAGATAAAACTTTTGCAATTAAATAGTCAAAGACATGTAATTTTTCTATGCCACTATAGTATTCAGATAATTAAGATACTCGTGAGATGAACATAATAGTGTACCTTAGCTACTGATTTAAGAGGATATTCTCCTTTTAGCTTTCGATCTACACACTGCTTCACTTTATCTTCACTGAGTTTCGGTGTTGCCTACATAATAAACGTTAAAAAACAGAGTAAATGATACGTATTTGGACAAGGCACAGATTAAAGAAACATACCCAAGTTACAAGACTTTGTTGTCCTCGTGGCATTTTATGATCTAAAGGTTTCCTCCCTGTCAAAAGCTCTAGAAGTACAACACCAAAACTATAAACGTCACTCTTTGGTGTTAAAAGTCCAGTCATAGCATATCTGCAAATGGGAAGACACATAATTTTAGCTGCCTAGCTCGTTCATACTTTCATCTAGATGCAAATAAACTTTAAGGTATTAAGGAAGGTTACTCAGGAGCGTGATAACCAAAGGTTCCCAAGACTCTTGTAGATTGCAGACGAGCAGCATTATCAGGATCTTGATTTGAGAGGTTGAAGTCAGCAATTTTTGCTTGATAGTCGTCAAATAAAAGAACATTGCTAGATCTTATGTCTTTATGTATTACAGGAGGCTGAACCTTCTCATGAAGGTATTCTAAACCCCTAGCTGCCTCAACTGCTATCTTCACCCTCGTTAACCAGTCTAGTGTTGGACCTGGCTTTGCACCTTGAACTCCCTTCCTGCCTGTAATAATAAGCACACTATTACACAACCGTGGAGAAATCAGTTATAACAAGTATGGATAGGGAAGCCATTATATATACCATGGAGAATGTCGTGTAGTGATCCCATTGTTGCAAACTCATACGCAAGAACACGAAGGTTGTCAACAACAAAATAACCGAACAGTTGAATGAAATTCACATGTTTTAGTCTTGAAACCATGGCAACCTAAGAATAAGGTGGACAAAAAATGTAAAGACATGCTTCTTGAATAGCAAAGCAGGGAAGGTAAAGGGGATTGAAGCAAAATTTATAACCTGACTCAAGAACTTTGCGTTTGTTTCAGCTTCGGGTTCAACATCGAGTTTCTTCAAAGCAACTGCTTTCCCATCATTAAGAGTTGCATAATATACTCTTCCATAAGATCCCTCACCAATAAGTGACTTTGATCCAAAATTATCAGTTTTCTCTTTAATCTCATCCAAAGACAAGGGAGGAACTTCAATGGAAAGACGTGCCTCTTCAAGGTTCGCAACAGCTTGTGGTCACGTAAAAGAAAAAATAAACATTTTCTCATTAGAAACATACAAAAACATGCAAATTCCCTCTTTCAAAAATAATATCCTCCTCCTAATCCTTATTAATTAAGTATGCTAATACGATACAAATGATACAACTAAGATCACAGAAGTGATCACTTGTCTAAGTTGTCTATAACATACCACGACTTGGAATTTTCAGATGTAACTGAGCATTTGACGAACCCGAAACTTCTTGTTTACGTGCACAACAAATCCACTTCCGCATCTTTGTTCTATTCACAGATTTTAACTCGTGAATCTATAGATTCCTTAAAATTGCAATCTTGTAACAAAATAGTTCAAATCAATCTTTCAGCTTTTACAATGGTTTTTTTTTTGTTTGTGGACAAAGCTTTTACAATTGTTTATTTCATCATATTAATAGGTTAAAATATTGTTAGGAATCATATTTAAACTATTTAATTGTTCATTTTAAAATTACCGAAAAAAATGTCTTTCTGTATTAATGTCAGTTGAACTATAACATTTTTTCTACCAATTTAGAAAAAAGAAACTAAACTTTTATCCACTTTAAATTAGTAAAAAAATCGGATCTGAAAACAATAAATAAGAATCAATACAAAAGCATTGAGTTACAAAAAAAAAAAAAAGTCAATAGAAAAGCTAATTTCGTTAAAAGACACAGATTTGATTCCACCATGTGCACACAACTATAATTCATATTTTCAAAACTATATAATATATAATTTATTGATGCGAAAGCTCATATAATTCCATTCTGAAAATTTATATCAATAATTCAACACTCAAATTGGGTTTTTGAAATTTTGAATAATTTCTACTTATTTTATTTATATATTTTTTTCATTCTAATAGTATTTATATTAGTTTTAGTACAAAGGTAAAAGGAAGCAATCACTGTAGCGTGATTAGCACTAATAAAGCTCCGCCGAGAGAAGAAGAGGAAGATCACCAAACACTGAACAAGCCAAGGGAGAAACCAAATGGGTAATTCGATCCGTTAAAAAAGCCGAGTTCTTTAAATCCACCGTCGTAGATCCATGAGATCGTCAACCGGAAAGCTTCTCTCGGGGTTGAGAAACCGCGGGAAACTTGTTCCCGGAGGAGGTGGCGATGGGTTTCGGATTCCGGCTACGAGGTCCTCGTCGTGGAGTTCTACAGTAGTACCACCGTCAGATGAAAGTTCCGATAAGAATTCGATCGACGCAGGATCGTCAATGCGGAAACCAATTAGTTTGTGGCCTGGAATGTATCATTCACCGGTGACTAATGCGCTTTGGGAAGCTAGACGTAATATGTTCGAAAACCCTAACGGAGACGAGTCTCTGTCTAAATTGACGGCTAAGTCTCCGTCGCGGAGCCGGACTTCTATTCTCTACAAGTTTTCTTCTGATTTTGTGCTTCGTGAGCAGTATAGGAATCCTTGGAATGAGATTCGTACTGGTAAATTGGTTGAAGATCTTGATGCTCTTGCCGGAACTATCTCCTTCAAGGTCTTGTTCTGATCTTGGCTTAGTGTAGTGAGCTTTAGAAATTTTAAGGACTATGAAAAGATTTAACCTTGATAAGTTAGTGATGAGCTACTTTTTGGTGTTCTTCTTCTAGTATTACATATGTGTTTGTGATCCTGAGTATTTGGAGATAATTGGGGTTTTAATTTGTATGCGTTTACTGAACAGCATTGTGGTGGTGACAGCAGTGCAAGATCAATGATTTTGGTGACTGCTTCAGTGGATAGGATTATCATGAAAAGACCAATTCGTGTGGATGTAGACCTCAGTATTGTTGGCGCTGTTACATGGGTTGGAAGATCATCCATGGAAATGCAGTTACAAGTAATCCAAAGTCAAGGTACAAGTTTCTCTGTAAACTACACAGAGGATAGGCGGTCGAGTAGCTTGATGCTTCATTTTGCTAGGAAGAAATAATGAAAACCTGATTAATGTTAGGTTGGGAGGCTTGCTTCAGTGTTTCAAAAAATAGAATGGTCATGCTTTAACTGTTAAATGAGGGTGACAAACGGATTACGGATACATATACCAGTTGAAGCATTGTTTTGCTGAATCTTCCTTTTTAACAATGGTTTTGCAGATGCCAATGACTCCTCAGGGTCGGTTGCCCTTGAAGCAAACTTTACATTTGTGGCTCGAGATGCAAAGACTGGCAAGTCAACTCCCATTAACCCCGTCTCGCCAGAAACTGAACATGAAAAATTGCTATGGAAAGAAGCAGAAGAAAGGAACAAACTACGAAAACAAAAGAGAGCCGAAATCAAAGAAGAGCATGAGAAGTTGAAGGACTTGGAGAGGCTAAATGAGTTATTGGCAGAAGGACGAGTTTTCCTGGACATGCCAGCTCTTGCAGATCGGAACAGCATCCTAATTAAAGATACTTCCCATGAAAACTCATTGATATGCCAGCCACAGCAACGAAATATTCATGGCAGAATTTTTGGAGGCTTCTTGATGCGCAAAGCTTTTGAGCTGGCCTTCTCCAATGCCTATACCTTTGCTGGAGTTTCGCCACGTTTTCTCGAAGTAGATCGTGTCGATTTTATCAAACCAGTGAGTCCATCTCTTCCTCATCTTTTCCTCATTTAGTGAAGTTGTACTGTGATAAAAAAAAAACAATGATATATATGGTAGCATAGAAGAAATCGACTGAGGGGGCGATTTTTCTTATGATGCAGGTGGATGTTGGAAACTTCCTTCGTTTCAAGTCACGTGTATTGTACACAGAAGCTAACAATTCAGCTGAACCATTGATAAACATCGAGGTTGTAGCTCATGTTACAAGTCCAGAGCTCAGGTCCAGCGAAGTAAGTGTACACATATAACTGTAAAATATATTCCGAGCTATGCACATTGCAATTTTTAAGGTTGTGAAAGGGGTTTATAATGATGTAATTTTTTTTTGTGTGGGATGGTATAGGTCTCCAACAGGTTCTACTTCACCTTCAGTGTGAGACCTGAGGCCATGAAAGATGGACTGAGAATAAGGAATGTGGTTCCAGCAACAGAAGAAGAAGCTAGAAGGGTGATCGAGCGTATGGACGCAGAGAGACCTATCTCATTGCGTTGATCAGCTCAATTAGAACCAAGATCAACTAAAATTATGAATAAGAAAGCCATTTAAGTTCCTTGATTCAAAGAGAGATTCGTATGCATAGCTTCTGATATATACTGATTCTTAACTTTACTATATCTCAATCTCATAAGAAGGAAAAAAAAAAAGTCGCCTTGAAACTACATTTTATTACCGAAGACCAGGCCAATAAAAACCATGCATTGATTTAAAAATTTACGCCTAAATACATAATTTGCGATTACAAAATCAAAATTTGACTGAGAAATGGTTTTTTTTTTAATAACTTTTGTGTCTCGATCGCTTTTTCCCTTTAGACCTTGAAATCGATGGAAAGCTATCGAACACAAAAATCTCAATCGAAACTATCTTTCTTCACTTCTGGGCACGAAGCTGTGTTGTTGAACGTCAGATTTCAGAACTGATAAAAACAAAAACCATGGAGAAGAGAGAAGACGATCAACAAAAGCGCGACGATTCCAGATTCAATCAAACACTCAAGAACGTCCAAGGGTATAAATCAATCAAATTCAATCTTCTCATGGATCTTGCATTTCTTATATCTGATTTCAATGTCATAGATCTGTTACTTTGTTAGAGTTTGAGATTTGATTTTTTTGGATTTTTTGCTTAATTTTTGTTTTGGTTCAGGTTTCTTAAAGGTAGGAGTATTCCTGGTAAGGTACTGTTGACTAGGAGATCTGATCCTCCTCCTTATCCAATTTCTCCGACATATCAACGGAGCTTATCGGAGAATGACGCCGGGAGAAACGAGCGATTCGAGAATCCAGTCGAGGTAAAACAATACTTGTGTGGAAATGACTTTGAGATTTTACTGTATGAGAGGAGAGTGAGAAATTAAGAGAGCTTGTTTGTAGGTGGAAGATCATAATTCGAGCAAGAAGCATGATAATACATATGCTGGTAAGCTACGATCAAACTCTAGTGCTGAAAGGAGTGTGAAAGAAGTCCAAAACTTGAAGATTGGTGTTAGATCAAGCGACTCTGCTAGAGTTATGAAGTTCAACAAAGTTCTTTCCGAAACAACTGTCATCTTAGGTACTCTACTTTTCCATTTTATGTAGTGTTGTGTTTTGTTGAACCTTAATCTGTTTTCATAGTGAATGATAATCTTGTCAAGGTGTAAGTTATCAGTTGCCAGAGATGGCTTTGTTGTGTTCAAGTTTTTTTTCACTTAGCTCTATGAAAGACTCTGTTTTGAATTTTGATCTTCTGTTACTTAAATGATATGTTATGGCTTTTTCAATGTCCTCTTCTTACTTGCAGAGAAACTGCGTGAGCTAGCGTGGAATGGTGTCCCACACTATATGCGACCTGATGTCTGGAGGCTTCTCTTGGTATGCTCTAGGACTTCATATTTAAGCATAGTCAGTGCAACACTTCATATTTAATCATAGTCAGTATCTTCTGTAGATATCGTTTTAGCTTATTTAATTAAATTCAGAATGAGGGAACACTTTCACTAGTCAGGTCATTTATGTTATTAGCACTTCCCATCAGCATTCTCTGTAGCTACATTTTTTGCTTTTGGTTTGTTTTGTCTATTTGAATTTAAATATAAACTGACAACAGGGATATGCACCACCTAATTCAGATAGAAGGGAGGCTGTTCTGAGAAGAAAACGTCTTGAATATCTTGAATCTGTTGGCCAGTTTTATGACCTTCCAGATTCCGAACGTTCTGATGACGAGATCAATATGTTACGCCAGGTTTTTCCTCATACCTTCAGCGCTTGTCTTACATAAAATACAAAATTTGGTAATATCTCTTAGAAGCTTTATTCTTTCTCAGATTGCTGTTGACTGTCCAAGGACTGTACCGGATGTCAGTTTCTTTCAGCAAGAACAGGTGCAGAAATCACTAGAGCGTATTCTTTACACGTGGTGAGTTACAGAGTGCAGGCTATGATTATAGTTGTCCTTCGGTCAAATTACAGCCAGTTGGAAAGTTAAGTTGAAAGCTAAATCTAAACTTTAATTTGCTGAGTTTGCAGGGCCATTAGGCACCCAGCGAGTGGATACGTTCAAGGAATAAATGACCTGGTCACCCCCTTTCTAGTGATTTTCTTGTCAGAATATCTAGATGGTGGTGTAGATAGTTGGTCAATGTCTGATTTATCTGCTGAAAAAGTCTCAGATGTAGAAGCTGATTGCTACTGGTGCTTAACAAAGCTACTTGATGGTATGCAAGATCATTACACGTTTGCTCAACCTGGAATCCAGAGACTTGTGTTTAAACTAAAGGAACTGGTCAGGCGTATTGATGGTAGGTTCCTGCTTAGCTTGCTCTTGTAGTTGGTATTGTCTTTGGTGATTGTCTGAGCAGAACAACTTATGACATACACAAGTACACGACCCATTACAGAAAATCATGTTTACCTGTGTTGGATCCGTTTACTATTAAGTCTTTAATTTACTTCTTCTGCATTTCCCGGAAATTTGAAGTTTGTGCGTGTTTTAACAATGTTCGTGTTGAGTTTTGCTTAGTTAAACCACAGCTTTTGCTTAGATGCAATTTTTGATGAGTTTATGTCATAGAGTGATAAGATCTACGGATGCTAATTAGATTGTCATGGTGCTTGATGCGATTGTGCTGCATTTTCTAGTGCACGAATTAATATTCAACCAATCTTCCAATTTAGTACTGATTATTGTTTTATGATCTAGAGTTAGCGCTGACTCATTTATGCCTGATGCCCTTGTTGTGTACTAGAACCTGTTTCACGACACATGGAAGAGCATGGGCTGGAGTTTCTTCAATTTGCTTTCCGGTGGTACAACTGTCTTCTGATTCGCGAGGTTAAACACCATTTTTGAATTCCTACTAAAATATGGCATGGTTTCAAAAACGTGGTTTACTCTCTGTGTAGTTTTATTTATAACTGACGAAACCTTTGAATTTTATATTATAGATCCCTTTCAGTCTCATCAACCGCCTATGGGACACTTATCTTGCTGAAGGAGATGCATTGCCAGACTTCCTAGTGTATATATATGCTAGCTTTCTCCTGACGGTAAGAAACATTGAATCAAATACAAGTGGCGTAGTCTTTGTTTCCATGTACGACAGAAACCAAATACAAGTTGTGTTTGTGAACATTTTTGCAGTGGTCTGATGAGCTGAAGAAGCTGGATTTTCAAGAAATGGTAATGTTCCTGCAACACCTTCCTACACATAACTGGTCAGACCAAGAGCTCGAAATGGTATTGTCAAGAGCTTACATGTGGCATAGTATGTTCAATAATTCCCCAAACCATCTGGCTAGCTGAAATAACTTTTCCTCCATGATGATGATGATGATGCTGTTTGTTTCCTTGGTTAAATTAATCTTTCTTGTCGAAATCAGCTTTGGTGTTTTTGTTTATTGTTTCTCTTCATGGTAAATGCTAACATTCATGTCTTGTTTAATTGTTATTAGTTATGTATGTTTTCTTCGGGCCGCACTTGTTGAATCTGTCACCAGTTTGTGTGTTTGTAATATTCTGTAGCTTTCTCACTAACTGACGTGTCTCCATAATCTTTTATCTGAAATGGATAACTCTCACTAGTCACACTACTATATCCATGCCAATCCGGATCAACCCGCCCGACTCGAGTATAATTATATAGTTGCTCATTAATACAAAGATTTAAATGATAAATTAAGCTAAAATTTTCAACATAGAATGTGGACATGAGCAACGTTGTCAACAAATCTACTTAAAAAAAAAAGATGATGTCTTTTGTCTTTGGATTCCTAAGCACAATAATATATATTTTTAAAGTCAACATCAATCAAAATTTCGGTCGATTTTTTATTTATTATTAACTTTGTGGTATGATTGTCTGTATTATATATTTATCTGATAAAGAATATAATTTCTAACAGAAAACACACACACACAAAAAGAAACATATATTTCTAGTAAATTTAAAAGTTATGTTACGTTATATAAACTTGAGCATTATGTCATTATTTATAGTAAAATTATCCCAGTAGGAGAAATAAAATTGTGAAAAAGGTAAAGAAAAATATTATGATGATGAGTCATCACTTTTTTAATCCCATGCCTAATTACGGTAAAATGAAAAAGGAGTTTTAAGGAAATAAGAAAGAAAATATATAAATAAATAAAAAACACAGTGAAGGGTTAAGAGAGGGAGAGAGAGAGAGAGAGAGAGGAAAGGTAAAGTAAAGAACTCTCAAGTTTTTCTTTTGCTTTCCCCTTTTGTGTGGTTTATCTCTCAGTCCCTTCTTCTTCTTCTTCTTCCTCTATAACGCTCTTCTCCATCGTTTACACGAGTTTCGGTTTTCTCGAGGAAGTGTTCTACTGGGAAAAAGCTCCTTTTACTTAGTTCTCTACCTTTTTGCTCGAAGAAAATGGTTTGATTTTTTTCCAGAGATGGTGAAATTTGAAGGTATCTTCTCCTTTCGTCTATCAGGGATTTAAGAGTGTGGAAATCAGTGCCAATTCGAGGAATTTTAATGGTTTCGTTGAATGAATGACTAATTCGTAGTCTCTGTGTTTTCAATTTGGAGCGTTGTTATTTTGGGAGAATTTGGTGTGTTGAATGATTGGGTATTGACTCTTGTGTTTTTTATTTTTCTGGGTAGAGCAGAAAATGTTAACGTTTTGGTGGATCCGAATAACTTAGGATCCTGAATACAAAAAGAGCAAATGGTTGTTAGATGCCAAAAATATTTGGTGGAAGAACAATAGGTTTTATAGATTCTTTTATCTTATTTTATATGTTGGGGTTTGGATTCTTTTATGTTCTTTACTAGTTAGAGGAATACTTTAAAAGACCCCAAAATGTTCGTTGGATTCATGAATAAGAAGGTATAGAGTGATGTGGTTGGCAAGAAAATATAGCTCTTGAGTAACTTAGATCATTCACTAAATAATTTAGCTTTTCCTTTTTCTGCATCTACCATCCTTGTAGATGTCCATTAGTCTCATTGTCTCGAGTGGGTTCACTAACTTTTTTTTGGGTTTGTTCTTTCTCCTGAAGGTTGTTGTAGGAGAAAAGCCAGCTTTGGTTCCGGTCATGGCTTTTATCTGACTAAATAGTGTTGCGGGGCAAGTTAGCTATGGACTCTTTAGAGACTGTTTGTTGGCTTAGGGGTAAGTTTAGTTCTCATTTTCTTTCATGTTGAGTTTAGATTCTAGTTTGTGTCGTGAGAAGTTTTTGTTTTCTATGGCTAACTAGAATCATGTGAGTAGGTTCACGAACTGTATTGAATAATTATACTTTTAGACTTGTTGGAATGAGTATGGTAGTTCTATGTTGGCAATGTTTTCCCCAAGCAACAGCATTATCCATTTCCGGTTTAGCTCATGAGAGAAGTAATTGTTTCTTGGGAGACTTTTTTCTAACTTGATTCAAACTCTGATCCCAATAAAATGGTTTTGTTAATATAGAAAGCTATTTGTTAATGAGTTACTTGCTTCTCTTATCAGGCTGTTTGGTTTATCGCTTCTTGTTATTTATTATCTGGTTATCAAGCTTCCAAGATGTAGCTGCGCATGATAAGCTTAATGAGCATAGTAGTAAATCGACAACCTCTGAGTTGGCAAATCCACCTGGTATTGGAGTATCTGGTCCCATTCAAGTATCACCGTCCGTCATCCCCAAATATGCATCCCCTGCTCTGCCTTGGACACCACCAATGTACCCTACTTTTCCTGATACGTATAAACCCAAGCTAACCGGCAAATGTCCTACAGACTTTCAAGAAATTTCAAGTGTTATCGATACAGCAGCTTCTGATTGCTCCCAACCGTTCGCTGCACTTGTTGGGAACGTGATCTGTTGTCCACAGTTTATAAGCTTACTTCATATATTCCAAGGACAGCACAACATGAAGTCAGATAAGTTGGTTCTGCCTGATGCAGTTGCTACAGATTGTTTTTCAGATATCGTTAGTATCCTGGTCAGCAGAAGAGCCAACATGACTATACCTGCACTTTGCTCTGTAACATCTTCAAATCTAACTGGAGGCTCCTGTCCAGTAACAGATGTCACAACGTTCGAGAAAGTTGTTAACAGTAGCAAATTACTGGATGCATGTCGCACTGTTGATCCTCTTAAGGAGTGTTGTAGGCCAATTTGCCAACCTGCAATTATGGAAGCTGCGCTTCTTATTTCGGGACACCAAATGACAGTTGGTGAGAAGCTCCCTTTAGGAGGATCAAATAACCTCAATGCAATTAATGACTGCAAAAATGTGGTCTCTTCATATCTTTCCAGGAAGCTTCCGACAGACAAAGCAAACGCTGCATTTAGAATTTTATCGTCCTGCAAAGTTAACAAAGGTACTTAACTGTATCCTATTATCTTTCTCTTTGATATTCTTTATATAGTCTTGGAAATCATTCTGACGGTACATTGTGGTTACAGCTTGCCCGCTGGAATTTAAGGAGCCAACTGAAGTGATCAAGGCTTGCCGTAATGTGGCTGCTCCAAGCCCTTCTTGCTGTAGCTCGTTGAATGCATACATTTCTGGGATACAGAACCAAATGCTAATAACAAACAAGCAGGCCATAGTCTGTGCAACAGTAATTGGTGCTATGTTGCGGAAAGGTGGTGTTATGACAAACATCTATGAGCTTTGTGATGTCGATCTCAAAGATTTCAGTGTCCAAGGTAACTTTGGTTTAGACTCCCAAGTAACTGTATCATCTAATCCTCTACCTTTATTGAATTCCTTCCTGACATTCTTGCTCTCTTTTTTCGTTTTCTGGGTATGCTTGTGGGAAACAAGCAGCATATGGAATGCAACAAGGTTTGTATTGATACATCTTATATTCCAATAATGTTTGCTAGTTATTTCGCCAGATTAAGAGTAAGTGTTAACGATCTTTATGGGTAACAATGTGATTATAGGTTGTCTTCTCAGAAGCTATCCTGCAGACTTGATATTTGACAACACAACAGGCTACAGCTTTACATGTGATTTGACAGACAACATTGCTGCTCCCTGGCCATCTTCATCATCAATGTCTTCTTTGTCTCTATGTGCTCCTGGTAATCATTTCTCTCTACCTGTTCCCTTCGTGCTCATTGCTGGAACCTCCAGTAAACTAAAAAATTTAGATTGCAAAAAGAGTTGTGCCTTTTCTTATTCAATTTACTTAAATATGCAGAGATGTCATTACCTGCCTTGCCAACATCCCAGACTCTTAAAAATCACGGTATGCGTAGTTTCCTTGCAGTGTAATCTCTAGTCTTATAAGTACAGATCAAAAGTCCATGGAAAAATTTCAAGAACATAACTCAAAAGATGTGCATTTTTCAACTCGAAATTGCAGGGTGTCGCGATGGTGGGTTTGAAGCGTTGCGTCTCGTTATTTTGGTATTTCTTCTGTATGTTGTTGTGAGACATTAAAATGAGAATTAGGAGGTTTTTGTTTTTGGTAGTCAGTGAGGAGACTTTGGATAAAACAATGGCATGCTCAGTTTTCTTCTGTATATGTATCTTAATAGGGCAAGGGTAATGATGTAGTAGTAATATCTTCTCAATCTCATGTATAGTAGTAGCATTTTTCTTCTCTGCTTCTGAATCTCCTATCCTTGTTATGAGTTTTTTTTTTTGTTTTTTAATAATTCATTTGCGCTGTCGGAGTTAAAGTTCAGATTCTGAACTCCAATTGGAATCGAATCTAAAATTATGGAAGTAAGATCAATATCCGAAGCCTAAAAGCTTTGTCCTATGAGAAACACCGGTAGTACCAGGTAAGCAAAACAAAACATTGAACCTTTCAAGTTCCAACCAAAGCTTATTTGTCTATTTCTCGATGAGACTCACAGCATGAGTAAGTAAACCTTATACAACAGAATTAAACGAGAGGTAGGAAAAGGAAAAGAAAAAGAAAAATCTAATCGAACTGGAATCTGGAATCAAAGCATAAATAGTCAAATATATGTAAAATTTATAACTTTTTTGGCAAATGTTACAAAACAATGGAAGATTTTGCTATGAAATAATATTTGGTTGGAACACTTTTAGACAGTTTTACATGTTATTTTTGTTAATGTGGATGGCCAATTATGAACTTACTTTTAATTTCTTTGATTATTTTATTATTATTTGCTCGAAAACGTTTTATAATAAAGAGTTAAGAGTCTTGCCGTCTTGGTTTGGGACTTGGAAGCGACCGAACAAGAACGCATTGTTATAGCATCAGTTTGCGTCATCATTCAATATGTGGACTAAGTGTATCACACAACTAACCTCGTTTGAGAAAAAAATAACCACATTATTTTCTCTTGGTAAGAAGAAAATAACAACAATATATGGATATTTGTACACAAGTGAATGTTATAAAGAAAAATCTTGGAATAAGAAAATCTAGTACATCTATTTAAATTATTAAATAAGTCAATCACATATGTTGTGATCAACTTTCAACGGCATCTTCCTTTGTATGCTCATGTTCATCTTGATCAGAAAGAAAAGTTTGAATTGATATAGGATATTTTTGTTACCCACATTAACCAATAAACGCGAAATATTTCAATCCGTCTAATTCCAGTAAAGGACTGGAGATTGCTACAGTCAGACTTCCAAGTCTCATTGTCTCATTACACAAACAAATGTCTCAAACCCCGAAAAATGTGGTTAGCAAAAGAAAGACATAATATATCTAACAATGTATGTTTTTTATGTAAGGTTTTGATCATAAAGGAGTGGATGAAAAGTCCCTTTTAACAATGCTAAACGTTCGTTTTAGAACTGAAAATGAATTCAAAGTATTAAAATGTAACTAACAGAGTAAAATATAAGAACAATTAAAATAAAAATGCAAGAACATGTGCAATAAATAAAAGAAAGCAAATCATATATATAAAAGTAAGGTTCCACTCTCTCCTTATTGGTGGAAAAACATTTAAGCCATTCATTTTTTTAAAACATATATATATATATATATATATATATATATATATATATATATATATATATATAAGTAAATGTTAATGACAATCATTCAATACAAAATTTAATTACACCATAAGTTATAAACAAATGGCAAAGAAAATGAAAAGAGTTATTTTCACACTCTCTTTATTTCTCCATTTGATATTTTTTATTTATTTAAATTTAATATTTATTTACTAAAAACACATTTAATCATATAAATTAATTCATACTTTAAATCCACACTTTACTACTAAAATGTAACTGAAAATTATGTAAATTTTCAAATACTATTGGTTTTCTTTATTGAATTTCAATAAAACACACTATAAATTATAATTATGACTCCTCTAATTTAAGTAATTTAAAAATGTAACTTACATCACTTTTTATCCTATAAATAGTCATTCTCACATCCTCCTCTACCATATCTCATATCTTCATTATTTTCATTGTTTTTTTAAAAAAGTTCTTGCATGGGGTGAAAACTCAATTAAGATGTCATTGTAAGAGTTTGATTAAATATTTGGTTTAAACTTTTATTTTCAATTTTATTTATTTTTTGTTTATAAGTATTTTTCATTTCTTCATTGTTTTTTTTATATTTTTGAATGTAATACATATGTATAATAATATTTTATAGTTATAAGAAAATTATTTTATTGATGGGATTCAAAAATATTGAATTCCGACCATTGCACAATAAGAAAATCAAGCTAAAGAAATAATCTTCATTCTTATACTTTGGATCTTTGTTTCTTTCTCACATATTCATTTATATTTATATTTCAAAAGTATGTAATTTTTTAACAAAATCAATTTTTGTTATATAATTATCATACCAATTTGTAAGACATTATTTTAAGAATAATGATCCTTATATTTAGTTTGTGATTCAACATTTAATAATATAAAGAATATTATAATTTTTGTTAACTTTGAATTTTATACTTGATTTCCTATCAAAAAAACAATTTGATATTCAATTTTCTATCTATTATATATACTAAAAGGATGAAAAATATAATTAAACCTAGAGCTATAACTTAAATTAATAGCAATATAAAAAGAGTTTAAAAAATAAAATTATTCTTTGGGAATTTTTAAGGTTTCACTCGCTCATTATTGGTCCATTTCGCATTTATTTTTTAATTATAATATTTATTTTAATTAAACAAAATATCGAACACATTTAATCATATACTTTAATTCATACTTGAAATCCACACTTTACTACTAAATTATATAACTTATGAATTGACTATTTGTTTACTCTATTCAATTTCAATTAACACACTATAAATTATAATTATAACTCCTCTAATTTAATTATTTTAGAAATATAAATTACATTTTATTTTATCCTATAAATACACATATTATTTAATATTTAGTTAATGTGGACTCCTAATTTAGCGGCCAAAATATTTCCAAGTACATTAATCCAAGAGTAAATATAGCCTACTCAATCACAATAACAATATTTCCTTCTCTGATACAATTTAATATCAGACGAATTTTAAGAGAATTAGAATAACCGTATGGCGAAATCATCCTTGATTTTAAGTGAATAATAATAATGATCATTAATTTAAAAATCTTATAAAGTATTTTCCAATTTTCTTTATATGATTTTAAGATATAAGGAAATTCATCTATGTTCATTTAATGGTATATAACACAATTAACTCGAAATAAGTTCCTTATTTTCTATAATTGTTTACATGCAATCGAAAAATATAGCAAATTAAAAAAAAAATCGAAATCTACACTATTTTTTCATGGCATATTAATACTAAATCCTCTATTTTATTCCATAATCCATAATCAAGATTTTAGATGAGCACTCACGCTGTCACGCATGTCCCTCATATTTCATTATACACTATAAATATGTTTCATTTTCAGTAGCTAAAAACACCATATCCTAAAAGCTAACTCTATTATATCACAATAAAAGAGTATACTATCTTCGTTGCTTTCTTCTTCACATGGGAACTCAACCTCTGATTGTCTTCCTCAGCCTCCTTTTTCGCCAAAGCTTTCTCATCCTCTGATGGCATTTTCTTCTTCAACCAAAATTATGTACCAAACAATTTCTATTTTTCTGACTTCGGTTTGGTTCAACCGTTCAAGTCTCCTAAACCGAATGAGTTGGATTTGATTTGTTGTGAAGGAGAAAGCTCACTTTCACACAATTATAAAATTACACTAATTTAAATAATCCAAACACTAATAGTTTTTAAAAAATAATAATTAACTCACATATATTCAACTTACAAATCTAAATATATTTACAAATATAAATGTAATTTGTTTATATAATCATTTAGCAAATCTGAGTTTAATGGAAGCAAAGAAAATAATAAAAATGTTAGGAAAATACACAAATTTACCGTTTTCCCCATACAAATTTAGTTACAGTACCTTTTATTTTTTAAAATACACAATATACAGAACTTTCAAATTCAATAAAAACACTATTAATTATTTCCATAATATATATATAATTATTAAATCTATATTAAATAACAAAGAATCTTGAACAATTTATGATGTAAAATTATATATAAAATTTAAAATAAACAAACTGTCCGGTGGTGTATCAAAAAATAAGGTTTCGTATAGAAAGTAGAAATGATCTAACGCATGTACGCATCCAACATATTCTTCAATTTATATAAACCACAAATGAAACATTAGCGAAACCGTTGGCAATCAAAAGACTATGCTAAACAAACTTTGTACATAACTATATATATATAACCGTTAATATTTTATATAATATATACGCATAAAATACTAGCCCCGTGGTGTACCACGGGGTAAAATCTAGTTAATTGTAAAACATAAGCAAAATTAATAAAAATATAAAGGACATGTTTAAATCTAATATATTAAAATACTAATTACGCACCAATTTGTAACAATACAATACACTAAAAACATCCAATTTATATCGGTGACACTAAGCAACAGCTTTAGTACTATGTTTATACCTAAATGCTTCCAATCAAGATATATAAAATCCATGATTGAACAACGAAAAAAACTGTATTTAGTTGAATAATACATATAAAGTTTTTGAAAAATTCCAAGGTATATAAATAAAATGATTAAAGTATAGTTCAAAATTTTAGTGAGAAACTCCCTCAAGTATTGGCAGATCTATTTTAAACCCCCTTAACTATATTATTAATGAAATATCTCATAAAGTAAGGAATCTTAATGAATAAATCTCTCAACTATTTTATTAATTAAAACACCCCTCAAGTATTCCGTTAATCAAAATATTTTTCCGGCTATAATTGTGGTTATGAATGTTTGGGAGATTTTAAAAGGTTTTTAGATTATAGATTTTAGTTTTTGGTTTTTTATATTTTAGAGAAATAAAATAAAATTTGAAAAGAAATATAAATTTCATTGATAGATTTCTTTTTCTTTGAGCAGTTCTTATAAAAAGTTTATTGTAAATTTTAAATTTCAAATAAATTTTTTAAGGATATTTTTATCAAATTATATCTCTTTTTTTTTTATGTACATTTTTTTATTTAATACTTTTCCTAGTGAATTTTTGTTTTGACTAGTAGAGTGAAAAAGTCGTAAACTATTCAATTCAAAAGAGGGCTTTACGAGGAAGAAGAACGAAAAAGATAGAATCATCATCGTTCCCTGAGTGACAGAGTTTATTATCTTCTTCATCTCCCAATCCTGAGCTCTGCGTTTCTCTTCCCACTCCACACAAAGTGGTAAGCTCTCTCATCTCTCTCAATCTCCTATCGATTTATACTCACTGCAATGTCTGTTCTGTATGTAATTCCGGTGAACTCTTCCGCTTCAGTTCTCGAAGAAAAAACAAGTAATTTACCAAATCTTTAGTAATGGTTCTTCTTCTTCTTCTTCAATCTTATTAGAGAAGCAAAAAAACGCCCAGAGAAGCAATCAAAGAAGCTAATCGATAATGCAGACAATCATACACAATCTCTCGTTTTGTACCTTCAACTCTACCGTTAAGCCCCTTTCTTCTTTTACTATCTCTTCCTTTTTGATTTTATTTTCTACTCGAATTGTGTAGGTTTTGTTCCAACGTTTTCAGTTTAATTTTCAGATGATTGATCCAAAGCCAAGGTTTCAATTTTCTTCTTTTGTAACTCTTCCTCCAACTTATTCACTGCAACACAAACTCTGTAAAAGGTACAATTTTTTTGAAGAGGTGGGTAGCATGAGCTAATTGAGATTATACAATATTCAATTCTTGATGTGTGTTTTTGTAATCAAAACTATTTACAGGGCAATGAATAAACAGTTTATAGCAGTTTGTGCAGCACCATCAGGTTCATAACTTTCAAAATCATTATCATCATTCTCTACTTTTTGGTTTTCTTTTACTCTCATCAAAATGTGGTTTCTATTTCGTAGATGTAGAGACTTCTTCTAAGGATGAATCAGTTTCGATTACGAAAGTGGAGACTTCAAACAGCAATGAAGTTAAGGTATGTTTTTTTTGTTGTTTCTGCTCTAAAGTAGCTATGATACTAATCTGTGTGTTTGGGACTTTGTTGCTTTTCAACTGATGTTGGCTGAGTGCAGGTGCATGTAGAAGTGTCAGGAGAGAAGACTCAAACAGTATTCAATAATGTCTTTGAGAAAATGGTTGCTGCAGCTCAGCCAATTCCGGGGTTCCGAAGAGTCAAAGGAGGTATGTCATCACAAATACTGTATAAGCTATGCGAAGATATTATTAGTGAAGGGGAGATCTTGATAAACTTACTTCGATAAACTTGACTGTCAAAGTTGGGGCTATCAATCCAAACTTCATTAACTGTCCATAGATTATAGGTTTGGAGTGCTTGATATTTTTTAGAGTTAGGCTGCATGTTTCTTTCAACTCTCTGCACTTATAATTTCGTTTGTGGCTTTAGAAAGATTTGAATAAACAAGGTGGACATATAAGTTTTAAAAATGCTCATATATATAGCACAAAGTTCTGGAAATCTCTCTTGTTTTTGTAGTTAATATGATGTCTTACTAATGACTAGTACCTGATTTAGTTGATTTCTCCTCTAATGTCTTTCCCATTGGTGTTTTCTTTTCTCTTCTGCATCTGCTTATCAACCTTGGAACTCCAGGAAAGACCCCAAATGTAAGTTCCTACTTCAGTGTATTTTAGAGAACCCATTAGTTTAGCATTAAAGGTAAAATAATTTAACCATCAAGTGGCTTTCGCGATGGAACCTGTATTTTTATCCTATGGATTTGGTACTCTTAGATTCAGAGTTCTTGCATTAATATTAGATGCTGGCACACTTTAAATACATTCATTGAGTTGTTCTTTGGCCTGTGCTTAAGTGCCCCTTTCCTTATATTTGCAGATACCCAGAGATGTTTTGTTAGAGATCCTTGGATATTCTAAAGTCTATAGGCAGGTGATAAAGAAATTGATCAACTCTGCTATTGAAGACTATGTTAAACAGGTATTTCATAAGCTCAAACTTCGAAGTAGATTCTATTTCAGATGACAAAATTGTAAATTCAGTAAATAGAATCATTGTCCAAAAGTTATCGGGTAGGTCCTTATACTGGAGCTTGATTTTAGTGAAATGTGAATCTAAAGAACTTTTTCGTACTTAGAAACAAACTAGATCTAATGTTTTTTGAGGAATGAGGATTGACGCAGAGGCCAACCTGTTAAGTAAGATCTTAGTTTTAAAGGTCCACGTGCCTTGGAATGTAAATACATGAAAAGATCACCCTCTCAATCAGATTTGGCTACTAGAATTGGAATCATTGTCAACAGCCTTAGGTTGATTGCATAAAACCAGTCGGAATCAACAAGTAAACTGACTTTTGGGGCTGGAGTTCAAATGGTTTGATTTTGGTTGCTGATGCTTTTGTAGGAAGACCTGAAGGTTGGCAAAGAGTTGACTGTTAAGCAAAGCTATGAAGATCTTGAAGAAACATTTGAACCTGGTGAAAGTTTCAGCTTTGATGCTATTATAAAGCTTCAAGAAGTGAGTTGATAAAAGCGTTTATCCTAAGGTAACTTATCAATGGGATATGTCTTGTCGAGTAGGAAAGGATAATCAATTGGATTGAGCTTATGGTAATAAAAGTTTGAAACTTTAGTATATCTTGTTCCTAAAATCTTGTAGTTTTGATGACATGAATGGTGTGTTCTCCAAAACAATAAGGTAGTCACACAGATAATATAACTGAACAAAACAAACAATAAATGAATGATTCGGTTACACTTCCTAACATGGATCATGTTTAGTTTTTTTTCCTGGCATAGGCGATAGAATTTTCTAAAATCGCACCTGCACACCATTGTCACAGGCGATCAATCGTCTTCTTACTATCCCACGATTGTGCGACTCCTGCAGCTCCCAAGCTATCTTTTCAACTACCTCTACCCTTCTTCATTTTCCTATTATTACAAACACAATGCGTCTCTAAATGTTTCTCTACCACTGAAACCACGTTCACTAAGGTAACCCACTCGTTCTTGCCCTTCCCGTGAGTACTATGCTCAAAAGAATCACTTTCCATGTTGGGAATTGCTCCTCACCATATGTTTCTGCAGTGAATGCTGGTATATTATCTTTAGGCCTCTGCAGATTATTTTGTTGGGTCTCCTGTGACCATCACTACTAAAGTCCTCTCTCAAGCCTGAGGGGTCCATTTTCAGCATTCTTGGGTATTCTTTGTTCAGCAAGTTGATGTAGCTTCTGAAAATGTGAATTCTTTCTTAATTTCCTGCCGTTGGAGAACCTGTAAGTTTGGTGTCTGTTGAAGCTTTATTACTGGTCTCATCAGTTGAGGCGCCACTTGTTTCTTCTAAACTACCGAGAATTCCCATGCTAGCGAGAATTTCTTCTTTTGGCTCATCTGGATACTTTGCTCTATAATATTCTAACTCCATCTCAAGATCTTGTATCTCCTTTTCTCTATCAGCCAAGACATCGTTTGCTCTCTCAAGTGCATCAACGTCATGTTCTGCTTGCTCATCCATCATTCTCAGGTACTGTAAAGCTTCCATATGAAGAGCTGCTTTCTCCTCTTGCAACCGGGTGATCATCGCCATTGCTTGGTTTGTAGCAATAGCTGAGGCATTTCTCTCCTCCTCTAATTCTTTAGTCACTTCTCTTAGGCATTTTCTTTCATGCTCTAGTTGTTGCTTTAACAAATCAACACGATTTTCACCTTCAATGTCACTGCTAATGCTTACAAAAGATTCCACAGAAGCAGAGTTCTTTAGTTCCGGTGATTCATTTGAAGTATTACGAGTCTCTGTTACCTTGGAAGAATCTCCATCACTGTGTTTAATTGAAGATTCTTCATTGGAAATTGTTGGTGACGTCAAAGGCGGCTCAGTCTCTTTATGATCTGCATGCTCTTCTTCAGTCGAATGTTCTGTGACAGGATCAGTCACATTGTTCGATGTCATTAGCTCAGCTTCTTCATTTTCCACATCCTCTTCAATACTGGAATGGTCTTTTGCATTGGAATAGCCATTACTTCCACCTTCTTCCTCACTGGATTGATCTTCAACAGATGAACCAGGCACATTTTTTGATGTCAATGGCTCGGAATGCCCACTGACCTCATCGTCTTCTTCATTACTGAAGTATTCTTCTGCAACATTGTTTCCCTTAGCCTCATTTTCTTCCTCACTTGACTGTTCCTGTTCTAAAGAATCTGACATGTCATTCGACCCCAAAGCCTTGGACTCTCCTTCAACTCCATTCTCCTCATCACTAGAAGGTTCATTTGCAACAAAACCAGACACATCCATGTGATCATATACATTTTGCTCCGTAGCTGCCTCAAATACGTCTATCTCAACGTCTGAACTGGGGATGTTTTGAGCAGAATCTCCCGTATCATCGTGCTCTTGATTTTGGATTTCCCGAGAGGCACCGTTTTCTCCAAAAGGACTCGAGAATTCCCCGCCAGTAGGAGATGGGTCACCCCTTACCTCAGCTTCATTTTCTGTAAGAAACAACATCATATTAAAGACCAATATGAAATGATGCATGTATTCGGACATAAGCTTTCGTGCGGACCCATAATAAGCCTACCATATCGTGGTGCTGCTCCTGCAGCAAACTTTCGAGGTGAACCCAGTAAAAACGGACGAGCTTCACTCATAGATATAAGCTCAAAGAGTACATCATCATGCTCCTTTGCTTTAACAGGTCGTTGCTGCCGATTCTTGTTTACGAGATTATGCTCAAGCATTGAAGATTCCACTGTTTCATTATCTTCTACATGAATGCTCTTATCATGGCTGTCTTGCAAATCAGGCTGTTTATGATATGGCATCTTCTTGTCTTCAAACGATTTCCGAGATCGAGACTTGTGAGCACGTTTCTCAGATGGCTCAACAATGAAATCTGCAGTTACTTGGAGGAATGCATCATCATCTGAAAACAGGAACTCGGACTCAGAATCCGAGTGAATCTTCAGCTCTGAGTAACCAACATGAGCCATGCCATCGCTGCGGCTTCCAACCTCAACATAGTCAGCAACACTTGTTGCCTTATGATCTTTCATCTTCTTCAAGCTTCCACTGCTTCCTCGGCGACTAAGATTCCTTGGAGTAGGAATGTTAGGCTTACCAGAGGAGTTTCTTCCCCTAGAGCCTAACCGTATTAGCCTCTGTGTATGGTGCCTCGTCCTCCATGGTTTATTGCAACAAGAACATGATCTAGGGTGAGCAAAATGGCTTTTAGAGAGCAGATCATACCCTAGTTTACCAAGAAGCAATCTGTGCATGTCTGGATTCGGACCAGTCATTTTGGTGAAGGACAAGAGACAATCATCGCACATGCCTCGACAATCAGCAAGGTTGTTGCCGTGATTCTGACATGACATGTAAGATGAAACCTCTGATCTGTGGTTTCTGCAGAGCAAGAATCTCCAATGTAGAGGATGAAGAAGCTTGGAACAGAGGAAACATGGCATCTGCAATCTGCAGTAGCGCGCAAACCAGACGAGAAGATAGGAGAGAAGAGCATCGATGAACATGAGAAATATGAGAAACCATTCACAAGCTGCGTACGTTAACACAGGGGCGAACCCGTTTATGACCTTTTGATCAAATATAACATTTGAATCCATCTTCAAGCTGGTGATGATAAAACATTGAAACTCATCTCAAATACTATATCACAACAAAGAAAAGAAAAAAAAAAGGAGCAAATGTGGGCAAAACTCAGAATCTTGGGTCTGAGATTTGCATGAGCATGCATGGAAGCAAAAACGTGAAGGATCATAAAAGTGCAAAACATATGTGAGAAGTTTTACATGGGAGATCAATGGAGGTTTGGTCAAAAGCTAGAAGAGAGGAGGAATCTGGGGAAATGAATACTCTTCCTTGTTCCACGGTAACATCAACCAAACTTGTTCAACGATTTGTTTCTGAGTTTGCCTAAATTAGTGTTCAACGATTTGTTTTTGAGTTTGCCTAAATAATTGTTACCTTTCTTCCCCATTTTTTTTCTTTTTTGTCATATTTTGTATGAGGAAAAGGTTGACCATGTCACCATGGAATTATACAGATGTAAATTTCAATTCTCCCTCATAAACTTTAGGTTAAAATTTACCCAACACCATCTTTCGATTTCAGGATTAAATGTCAATCTAATACCTCACATACGAACAAACTATCGAATAGTAAACCTTAAATGCAAAGTTGCACCGACGTAGTAATACATGAGCGACGACTCGCTTTGTACAAGCATCATATTGTGTATTTTCTTTAAAATATTATGAATTTATTTTACAAGTAACAGTACACAAGTTGTTTTAAGTTGCATCAACTTGTTATGAAGTCTTTGATTTTTGTCAGTTTAACCAATTATCTTTAAAACATTTTGCGTAATAGTTTAGGATTAAAAAAATTCGCACGCTTGATCAATTTTCAATTTTTTGTCACTAAATTTTCAAATATTTTTTTCATACTAGTTATATAGTCACCACTTTATTGGTTAATTTTAATTTTTTTTTTTGAAATTGTCAATTTTCAACTTAGAACTTAATATACTTTCACATGCTAGTTTATTGGTCTCTTTTTTAAATACAAAATAATTTATGATGTTCATATATAATTAATAAAATCCAAAAATTATATTCAAGAAGTCCAATTGCAGAATTCAGATCTTAAACATTTTATAGACTTTTGTTATAAAATATGATGAGCTCGAGTGGCGTCGTCATATACACACGGAACCTTAGGAATTATACACAATGGAGTCTTTTTTTTATACCATATATCATTTAAGTCTTCGTCCTACCATGTTTATAATCTATACATTAGTCGTTTTTTATTTCACTCTTTGATTCTTTTGTTATTACTTTACCTCCATCTGCTATTTTTAAAGCAAGGCATGACTACTACACCTGACCTAACGGCGTATGGAAATTAAAAGCCATGAGAATTATTAGCATAATTTTCACATATAGGCAGGGTACTATTTTTTCTCGTGGGCGACCTTTGTGCACATACTATATATATATATGTGCTGAATATGAGTATTAATTACTATTGACAACCAAAAAATTAAGTTTAAAAACTATAATAAAAATAAGTTCTAAAAACACTAAAAATATTTTGCCGAGTTCTAGCTGAATTTGTATATATACGTTCGGGAGGATACAAAGGTAAGAAAAAGGAGAAGAAGAAGAAGAAGACTAGAGCAGTCGAAATGGCCTCTCAGTCTCAGGTCTGTTTTGTTTTTTAGGTTGTGTTTTATTACCAGGAACATAAGATTAATTCTCTCCCTCAATCAATATTTGATCACACAGGTTTTAGTGGAAGAGAAATCGAGCGTTAGAATCTTGACATTAAACCGACCCAAACAGCTTAATGCTCTGTGCTTCAGCATGGTACTGAATCTTTCCTTAATCTTTTTGCAATCTTGCAGTATTTTACATATTTTAGATTGAATCAACCTTTTCTAGATCTCTCGGTTGCTGGAACTATTCCGTGAATATGAGAAGGACCCTAGTGTGAAACTTGTCATCCTCAAAGGTCATGGAAGAGCCTTTTGTGCTGGTGGCGACGTTCCACCTGTTGTTCGTAACATCATACAAGGTCTATATCAATTATAGCATCGATCCTTTCTATCTTTCTTTTTCCATCTATTTACTCTGAGCATCTACACACTCTTTATATAATTTCGTTGACTAGGCAAATGGAGACTTGGTGCTGATTACTTCACAAATGAGTACACGCTCAACTATGTTATGGCCACGTTTAGCAAAAATCAGGTTTCAATTTTGAATGGTATTGTCATGGGAGGTGGAGCTGGTGCCTCCATCCATGGTCGATTTCGTATTGCAACTGAGAACACGGTGCGTATTATTTACGTAAACATGATGTCCATGCATGGATGACAAATAGATATATCTCTGAAAATATGCTTACATATCTTTATGTTTCTCCAAGGTTTTTGCCATGCCAGAGACAGCTTTGGGTCTCTTTCCAGATGTAGGCGCCTCCTACTTCTTGTCAAGGCTTACTGGTTTTTTTGGTAACAATATTAAATCATTTGTTTTGATTTGTAGGTTTGGCCGTTGCCTAAAGCTGGCCAAACTCATGTTTTAGGCATAATTTTAGGGGAAAACAATTGAATCGTCTTCTTACTCTCGATCTTAAAACTATTATGCATGCCACATATTTTTCAAAAATGATTATTTTGATTTGATTTGATTTTTTTGTACGCAATTACTGAAACCAAAATATATTTTTATATCAATAGGCAGCTTTATCTTCAAGGCTGGTCTTGGTTTTAACATTTCTACCACAAAAGTTCCTATCTCCCTCTCTCAATAGTTCTTGTCTTTTTGTTTAGGAGAGTATGTTGGCCTCACAGGAGCTAGGTTAGATGGTGCTGAAATGCTTGCTTGTGGTCTTGCAACTCACTTTGTGCCTTCAACGGTATAACTGTCCTTTGCTTGCTTGACAACATGCTATAAAAGAAGATGAAATAGATTTTTTTTCTTGGGAACTAATGGAATATAACAGCTAGCTAGTGCTGTAAAACTAATAGGATACTTCTTTTCAGAGGTTGGCCGCATTAGAAGCAGATCTTTGGAGAGTTGATTCAAATGATCCAAACTTTGTTTCAAAAATTCTAGATGCATACACTCAGCATCCGCACCTTAAACAGCATAGCCCTTACCACAGGCAAGTGTATATGATTTTGATTATTTTACTCACTCTTTCTACTTGTCCTTGTTAGTTTTGTCATGTCAACATAGCAAAAACATTGTTGGTAATGTGCTATAACTTTTCTCTATTATTGACTTTAAGTACATTGCATGTTTTATAAATTTCAACCTTGTATTGGTGTCAGCTTTGAATTTGTGTCAAGTCTTTCTTATCTTTCCGTTTATTTTTTTACGTAGGTTACATGTTATTAATAGGTGCTTTTCTAGAAGAACAGTCGAAGAAATTATATCTGCACTTGTAAGTTTGCTAGTTTACCTTTGACAATGCACTCTACCATCGTATGTGTTGGTTAGGAGAGAGAGGCTACTCGGCCCACTCAGGAACCAAATGATTGGATCTCAAAAGCCATTTCTGCATTGAAGAAGGCTTCACCATCAAGCCTTAAAATATCTCTTAGATCGGTTAGTTCCCAAAATCTGCCACATGCAATATATAATGGCCAAAAGAACTAATATATGTGTATAAATTTCAGATAAGAGAAGGAAGATTGCAAGGTGTGGGGCAATGTCTTATCCGTGAGTATAGGATGGTGTGTCATGTGATGAAGGGAGATATAAGCAAAGATTTTGTGGAGGTTTTTTCAGCTTTCCCCAGTCCATCTTCATTTTTTAAAAATGTTCTTGTTGGAGGCATATTACAAAAAATGTTTCTTGTTAAAGACATAATTACAATAACATGTCACACCAATGCAGGGGTGCAGAGCCATACTGATAGACAAAGATAGGAACCCAAAGGTATAACAAACCTCTCTGTTTAGTATTTGTTATTATGTCATATAGCTGATAATTTCAATTTTTTTTAATTAATAGTGGGAGCCAAAGGGACTAGAGGGCATGAAGGACAACATGGTAGATAAATACTTTGAGAGAGTGGAGGAAGAGGAAGGATGGGAGGACCTGAAGCTTCTGCCAAGGAACAACTTGCCTGCTTCAACAATCACATCAAAGCTGTGAAGTGATACGATGATTGATGAGACACAGCAAATGGTCAGACAATTTACGAACAACAAAACCGAGCAAAAGAAACCAAAACCCGAAATACAATTTTCTTCTTTTATATTACTTTTTCATGTAAAAAATAAGAAACGACAAGATATGTTACCTTCTTTCAAGGATATACAGTATAGTATTGCATGTTTCTGTTATATATCTTTATGTAATTTGCTTCCACGAACGTATATATATGTAGGAACTTATAGTTCCGGATAGAAACGGAAACGAAGTTACTTGTCGTTCTCTTATAAATTTTTTGCTTTCTCGTCGTTCTTTACAAGATCATTGTCCTTGTCCAGTTGTTGCACCATTCTACACAACAGTGAGACAAAAATGATTATATATATTTAGACAAACTCAAAGAGAATTAATCCCTCAGAAATGATTTGTAAGCAATACATCAATGAGAGGAAAGAAAATTTAAAGATGAAGAACACCACGTCCACGTGCTAACCTCATGGCCTCCTCGAGTGCACAATGACAACCTGAAGAAGCATCCACGGCTTTTTTTTTTTTTTTTTTTTAATCTCAAGATTGTATTAAAATGAGCAAGTTATCACTAGTGTATATACATGATCCTTTTTTACTAATAGTCATCGGTAAGCACATGGGATTAGAAATGTAAGTCGTCTGCCACATGAAACTGCCTAATTCCTTTCGCTTTCGATTGGCCTTTTTTTTTGTCTTTTGAGACTCTAATCTGAAATATCAATATGAATTTCTAATTGTGAGCTTGTGATTTATGAGTTTTTAAATATCTGAACCTAAACTTTGCTGGGACTGTATATATATCAATCACAAACAGTACATCTAGTATTGTGTTATGTGTATGGTCACTAAATTATTGGTCAGCTTAAACGTTAAGACTTAATAATCTTTTTCTCTATCTCTTTGTACAAAAATACTCTAGAGCTTCTTTTTTTTTTGAATAAAATGTTAAATTATATTCAAAATAAAAATTTACGTTTTTACAACAAATGCAACGTTATTTTAAAAATATACTTAAAAAAAATTACAATTCCCCAGAGCAAATCTTAATCAACTGATTATGAACGTGCTTAAAGCCATCTTTGGAACCCCTCGTAATATCTTCGATCACCCGATCTTCGAATTGTTTGGAGCTGATTTTTAACTTGCCTATCAACCCAACTTATGATTGTTGCAGTCGTATGAGAAGCATCTCCATGGAGACGTCCATTTCGTTCTCTCTATATTGTGTAGACAACAGTTTGAAACACATATCGTAAAAGAAAAGCATCAATATGATCCTTGTGAGGGAAAGAGATGAACGCTAAGAGCATTGACCAATTAGTCGAATAATGTGTATGGAAAAGTACCTTTGCAGTCGCCTCCCACACCTCAGCAGCATAAGAGCATTCGAAGAACAAATGATCCCTGCTTTCCAAGTGAGAGAAACAGAGCATACAAGTACCTGCTGAATTGCCATTCCATGTAGCCATTTGAACAGCCGTGGGAAGTCTATCTTGAGCTGCTAGCCACACACAGAAGCTATACTTTGGAGTGTCGTGAGCAAACCACACCCCCTTAGACCAACTGACTAAACTCCCTGTTGTTCTAATATGATTCCAAGTCTCCTTTGTAATTAAAAAAAAAAACCAAAAGCACATTTAAGAATTCTGTTCGAACTGCAATTCCAACGATCGATCATCTTATATATAAAATAAGATAGCTGATTTTTGTTTTTCAGATTTATATGATTAATATGGATTTTTATTTGAATTGTATTATATGAAAACAGAAATAGATATGTGAAAGCAAAATTTTTGAAATAATAATTTTAACTTATAATATGGAATTTGATACATTTTGAAAAAAAAAAAAAAATTCCCAAAACACTAGTTTGGGAAAGATTGCGTGGCATCTTCATACACGGAATTGTTGGTAGTCTTTGTTTTCTATTTGTCAACTTTTATATGAGTTTTTTTGCCGACCATGCATGTTACTGATCTTTGTTTAAGTCATTCATAAACTATTTTCTTAATTTCCTCTCGTCTTCACATGAAGTTGTCTCATTTTGTTTTTTACTTATTTGATTCTTTTGCTATAACTTTAAAATTGCGAGCAAGAGAGGATTACATTTTTCTTTATGTTTCTATTTACGCACTAACCTATTAGCTATGTACGTACCCATTTGGGCATCTAATCTATGTACACACCTAACCTATATATTAATTGTTTTGAAAAATGGTTTCAGATAATTCTATTTATACCTTTAAACTTTTTAGGAGTTAAGATATATGATTTATTACGTAGATGATAGTATTGTACAAGAAACAATAACATAGTTATTATGTCTTATACACTATGTGTAGTACGTCGATATTGAACGCATTTGATATTTCTATATATCTAAACAATTAACATGTGTCAAATTTATTATTTTAATTATGTAATCTGAATATAATCATTTAACGAAATTCATTTATTCTAAAACATTTCAAAGAAAAAAAAACAGAATATTATTTTCTCAAATATTAACTTATTTGATTTATCTTTACCAAATTGTCATGTTAACTACTTTTAATTGATTTTCTTTCTATTTACGTCATATACAGTTTTCTTTAATGGCTGCTTCAATGTAATATGCCTCCATTCTCCGAAAGGTCATTAGCTAGTATTATTTTAGAGCTTATTGCGTCTATATATAACATGCCGCATCTCTGGTCATTGCAACTCAAAGGCAAACAAAACATGGATAAAAGATGGAGTCTTCAAGGTATGACTGCTCTTGTAACTGGTGGAGGCAGCGGAATCGGGTTCGTCTTTCTAATAATATCTAGCTCTATCATATTTTTGACCCATTGTTATGCATTTATTAAGACGTTGTTATGTATATCTTTTTTTTTGTGTGGAATGGTGTAGGCATGCCATAGTAGAGGAGCTAGCTGGTCTTGGAGCTAGAATCTATGTATGCGACATATCCGAAACATTGCTTAATCAAAGTTTAAGCGAATGGGAAAAGAAAGGGTTTCAAGTGAGTGGTTCAATATGTGATGTATCCTCTCATTCCGAGCGGGAAAAGCTTATGCAAGCCGTCTCAAAGATGTTTGATGGCAAGCTGAATATTCTTGTAAGTTAACCTGACCTTAAAGATACTAAGTATAAACTCATATACGAGAAAACACCTATTTAGTACGTAGTAACACATATATATATATATATATATATATATATATATATATATATATATATATATAGTAGGATTGTGTAACTCATTTTTGTTCAACATAGGTGAACAACGTTGGCATAGTTCGTACGAAGCCAACAGTAGATTTTGTGGCAGAAGATTTCTCGTTACACATTTCAACAAACTTGGAATCTGCTTTTCATCTTAGCCAACTTTCACATCCTCTCCTTAAAGCTTCTAAATTTGGAAGCATCATCTTCATTTCTTCTGTTGGAGGGGTTGTGTCGATGGAGTGTGGATCCATCTATAGTTTAACGAAAGGTATATAGACAGACTATTAATCAACAGAAAGGTTTTCAATTATATTAGATGCATGCACTCGTATTTACACGAAAAGTATAAATAAGAGGATTATATTTGATTAAGAGAATTTCTAATTATATGTATAATTTTCTTCTGCTATTTGGTAGAAAATGAATTTAATATTACATTATATTAATAACGTGCATGGTTTTAGTGTGCTATGTGAAAATTAATAGTTGGAATTATTAGGTTGAGGCATGTATTATGATTAGGATCTCATCATAAATCATATGAGACTTATAACATATATAGCAAATACAAATACTTTTTATTCAATAAAGGTCAAATTTGCTTTGTGGTTTGCTAATAGATATATGTCTCGTACGTAATTTATATTTTTAGTTGTCTGTATGTGCAGGAGCTATGAATCAACTAGCAAAAACTTTGGCATGTGAATGGGCAAGAGATGGCATAAGAGCCAATTCTGTTGCTCCTAATTTTATCCACACTGCTATGGCTGATACAGTAATTAATGACATTCTCCACCATATGTTTTTTTTTTGTTTTTTTTTACAAATTAACATCATATACTTTTCATTCTGATATCTTACAATCTTCTGAAAAACCAGTTTTTTGAAGACACCGCTTACAAGAAGAGTTTGGTCAGTAGAACTCCACTTGGTCGCGTTGGAGAGCCTAAAGAAGTTTCATCACTTGTGGCTTTTCTGTGTCTACCTGCAGCTTCATATATAACTGGACAGACCATTTGTGTTGATGGAGGTCTCACTGTCAACGGTTTCTCCTATAAGCCACAGCCTTGAGCCTTTAGTCTTGGGTGCATTGGTGGTGATGCAGCGTACAAGTCTAAGTCTATTTCCTTTATGGGTCTTGTGTGTGTGTGTGTGTGTGTGTGTGTGTTTGTATTATCCATAAGTAGATTCCTACTTTGGTTTTGCTTCGATGTTTAGTCGTTCCTTTGTTTGTTTATCGTTAATAAAAACCATAAAGAGGAAACTTCAGTTTAACATATTTCTTTGCGAACTTCAATTAGTTGGTAACTATCATAGCCAAGTTGGTTCCTCGTTTTTCATGTTGCTTGGGTATTATTATTAGATGGATGAATATTAGTTGATGGTGTCTCCAACCATGGTCGCTTTCGTACTGCAACCATGGATGACTAATTGATCACTCTCAAATATGCTCATATCGTTTTGTACGTCTCTTTTGAGTTACTCCAAGCATGTTTACATACATGAGACATAGGCGCCTCCTACTTCTTGTCAAAGCTCTACAAAAGTCATTCTTTTATTTAACAAAAGTCTTCTTTACTATTGTAACATTCATTATTTTTTTTGTAACAAAAGTCTTTTGTTTTTATGCATGTGTACAAATCCACACTCCATTAATAAAAACATGGTAAAAATGAGAAAGCCATTTTTTTGCTTTGGAACTATTGGACTACTATGCCACAGTTTGGAATTTTCTTTATGAACAGAAATTATCGTCATCATGCAGCGTCAGGCTGCATCACGTACGGTGCATGCCACAATGACGAATTTTAAAATTCTAACTATTCGGTTAAGTATTAATCTTTATAAATATGGAAATTATCGTCATGCAGCGTGATGCATAACAAGTTTTAGAGTTTTGAATTCACTAAAAATCTTGGTTTCGATATACCATCACCAGTTTAAGATTATTGAATATTCGATCTTGTATATTTCCCTGTCAAATATCATTACAACTAACCAGACTTAATTAACTTAATACAAAAAGGAATTGTGTACTCATTTCAAATATATATTATACAATTCAAAAGTATAAATATATATTGATAATCTGATTGGTATTTTTCTTGCCAAGGATGTTTTTTTCTTTCTTTTTATGTCATGTCCTGCACTAGGTTAAATATTAATCGACATGCCCCAAATTGTTTTAAAAAACGAAATATGTATATGTGTCGTAAGCCAATGTTTCATTTTTATAAGAAATATGCATGTCGTAAGCCCTTATACGTAGCCCTCTCCCACCCATCCCAAATTTGTTTGACTAATATTGTAATAGTGCAAAAAATTAATTAAAAATATCGGAAAAACTAATCTAGTTAATATTGACTCGTATTTGCTATAAAATATTAGTTTTGATGAGTTCTGTTCTTTATAAAAAGCTATTTGCAAAGTCTCAATCTAATAAGACAAAAAGTCTTTGGTTAAATAAAATATTTCCGTCCTCTCACTTCGATAGATAATAGAATACAAGTTGTTTTGATTTTTGAAGTTAAATAAAAATGTAACAAAACAAAGACCTATATTGTGTTTCTACCAAAATAAAATGACCTATATTGTGTATTTTCTTTGAAATTTATTATGACTATTAATTATATTGTGTATTTTCTTTGAAATTTACTATGACTGGCTTTGTAGTTTGTACAAGCATCATGTTGCGTATTTTCTTTATAAAAAAATATCATTTCATTTTACAAGTAACAGTAAAGATATTACTAGCCGAATACAGTTAGAGTTATGGGATTATGCTGGACTTTTGTTATAAAATATGAGATCGAGTGGCGTCGTCATACACGTAACGTAACCCTTAGTTATACACAGATTCCATTCGAGTCTTTTTTTTATAACCATCATTTAAGTCTTCTTCCGACCATATTGTTTATAGAAGTTGTTTCCTTTTTCACTCTTTGATTCTTTTGCTATTGCTTAATTCCCACTTGGCATTTTTCAAGCAAGGCACGATTACATGCTCCTTTATTTTCCCATGTTACGCCTCTGACCTAACGGCGTATGGAAAAGCCATGAGAATTGTTCGCATAATTTTCACATATTTATCCATTATCAAGCTTGTTTTTATTTATATAATCCCTTAATTATATCTTTAAATAAAACGTTATCAACTCAATTTAAAGTAGAGATTATGAAAATAAAGGAAAAGAACGTGTAATAGCAAACGATGATTGCATCAACAGCATTATCTTGACCAACACTTATATCATTCAAGTTTTGGAACACTTCAGATTCTTGGAGAGAAGACATTAACAATCTTTTGTAGACACTTTACTTTCATTCGCGTAATCCTTCTCAAAATTCTATGGTTACTTGGATGCGTTTCGTGTGAAAAAGAAAAAAGAAAAGAGAAAATAAATGCGTTTAGGTTGAGTTTGGAAACAAAAACCAAAGTATCAAGGCTGTATTCTTATCTGTCTCTCACGTAAATCCTTTAGCAGTAATACTTACGTTGATGGCGGGAACAACAACAAAAATGTAAAAGTTTGATATCTCATCTTATCATAGCTTCACAATCCAAGTTAACATATATTTTTACCTTTTTCATTTTTTATTTTACAAAAAAAATATACAACCATCAAAACAAATAAATAAATCACATATTTTTTGCGTGGGCGGGCGAGGTCATCGTACATCTTCTAATACAATATATTATAATTTACAATAAATAATGAATGGTATTTACATGATATATATAGCAGCACATGGGAACATATCTGTATAAAATTAATATACTACATAAACAAAAATAAATTTATCACAACATCATAACACTTGGTACCAAAATCATTACAGAAAGACGAAAATGATGATCTAGTAAGAAAGAAGTTGTATGATCCAGTAAAAATCACATCCCGAATGACAAAACATTTAATTGAAATATCGGGTCCAAAAAAAAAGAATAGATAATGGTTAATAACTTATTATTGTGTTGCATTGATAAATAAATATACATGTTACCATACAAATTCAATTATTCGTGTAGGTAGTGATGCATTTATTTAGTTTAGATGTGTGAACAATGTGTTGGAAAACCAATCTTTTTCTATTTACAATTTCTTTTTCTAAGTATTTTAAAATTGAGCTACCGGGAAAAAAATGGAACTATATATATTTTGGTCCAAGAAAAGAAGAGAAGAGAAGAGAAGAAACATTCTCAAATCCCGTAAGCAACGAAGAGAAGAAGAAAACGATCGACGTCCAACGACATGGCCTCTCACTCTCAGGTCAGTTTTATCCGATCTTAAACACGACCGATCAAATTCTTCGCTCTCTGAAGTCTGAATCAATATTATTGCATCACAGGTTCTGGTGGAAGAGAAAGGAAGTGTTAGAATCTTGACATTAAACAAACCCAAGGCACTGAATGCTCTGTCCTCTAACATGGTATTGAGTCGTTTCCCTTGTTTCATGGTGTTTATTAATCTTTCCCTTATTAACAGCATATATCATTCTCTAGATCTCTCGGTTGCTGCAACTGTTCTGTGCATATGAGGAAGACCCTGGAGTGAAACTTGTCATCCTTAAGGGTCAGGGAAGAGCCTTTTCTGCTGGTGGTGACATTCCACCTGTTCTTAGTAACATCGTAAAAGGTATATATCAATATTAACCCTCTCGTAATTACAAATATTAAAAATAAATGATGTTAAACAACATTTTTTTTTGTAGTGTAATTAAACATCTTTCTGTTTCCTTTTACTTATTTTTTAGTTTCTACACACTTTTTTTTTTCCATATTACGTTGACTAGGCAAATGGAGACTCGGTGCCGATTTTTTCTCAGACCAATACACGCTCAACTATGTCCTGGCCACGTATGGCAAAGCTCAGGTCTCAGCATACGTACCGTCCCTTTAGTGAATTTAATGACTCATAAGAGTGTACGGTTTATTTTTCCATACGGTTTTGAAATTCAATTATAGGTTTCAATTCTGAATGGTATTGTCATGGGAGGTGGAGCTGGTGTCTCCATCCATGGTCGATTTCGCATTGCAACTGAGAACACGGTACGTATACTTTTCTTAAACATGTCCATGCATGGATGAAAAATAGATATCGATCTGTAATATACTCATGTCGCTTACATATCTTTTGAGGTTTTCCAAGGTTTTTGCAATGCCTGAGACAGCTCTAGGACTCTTTCCAGACGTAGGAGCCTCCTATTTCTTGTCAAGGCTCCCTGGATATTTTGGTAACAAACGTCATTAATTTTCTTTTGCATGTCCCAAAAAGTTCAAGCCTACTCACTCCCTCAACCTTCCTTGCATGTTTTCATGTTCAGGAGAGTATGTTGGCCTCACTGGAGCTAAGTTAGATGGCGCCGAAATGCTTGCTTGTGGTCTTGCTACTCATTTTGTGCCTTCAACGGTATGAACTTCCTCTTCTTACGACTTTAGTATTCCCCATTGCCGGCAAAAGCCATGTTTAGGCTAAAAGTAGGGCACCAAATAATGATAATAATAAAAAAAGATAAGATAAAGTATTTACTTAAAAATGTTAACGCAATGCCATGCAAGGTCTATAGAGGCTTCAGGGAAAGTAAATTTTTGAGACATGCAAATTTTGATAAAAGGAAAAACATACGGCCTTTTAAATTTTATAATCTTTTGGTGGAATGAATGCCTTTACTTTACAACATGAAGTATATGGCTCTGTTTAACATAACCATGTTTTTTTTATATACAAATTCTTTGTTCTTCGTTTTTTTCATTACATATTATATACAACATAATATTATATTTCATCGAGACAACGTGTTTCAAGTTATTAAAATAAAACGTATAATAGAAAAATGTATATATTATGCTTCTCTGTTTTAATGTCCAACTAATTTAAAATAGAGGAGCATAATTATTCTATACTGTGGCCTCTTGTTTTAAAATTATGGTTCTCTATTTTAATTTCTCATTGTCTCCTTTTCCTTTGACACTCTGAAAGACTATTATTAGACTTTATATATATTTACTTCGCCAATGATCGTTACTTAGTAAGAGTACTCCTTTTCACAGAGGTTAACTGCACTAGAAGCAGATCTTTGCACAGTTCGTTCAAGTGATCCAAGCTTTGCCTCAACAATTCTTGATGCATACACTCAGCATCCGCACGTTAAACAGAACAGTGCTTACCACAGGCAAGTGTATATTAATTTTCCGAATATCTTTTGTCATGCCAACATCACAAGCATTTTAAAGTAATGTGTAAAAACATTTTCTCTATTAATGTTCATGAGTACGTTACATTTTTATTAATTTCAAACCTAGTATTGGTATCAGTTTTCAATCTTCCTTTATAGGATCCATGTCATAGTAGCTCTTCAATAGTTATTTTTTTTTGTTACGCAGGTTAGATGTTATTGATAGGTGCTTCTCGAAAAGAACAGTGGAGGAAATTGTATCTGCACTTGTAAGTTTTTGATTACTAATATATAGGAAATGTTGACTTACGATCATATATAGTGTTACCTTTGACAGTGCACTGTACCATCATATATGTATTGGTCAGGAGAGAGAGGCCACTCGGCCCACTCAGGAACCAAATGATTGGATCTCAACAACCATTTCTGCATTGAAGAAGGCATCACCATCAAGCCTTAAAATTTCTCTTAGATCGGTTAGTTCCCAAAATCTGTCACATGCAATATATGAGACAAAAATCTGATTGTGTGTATATAAGTTTCAGATAAGAGAAGGAAGATTGCAAGGAGTGGGACAGTGCCTTATCCGTGAGTATAGAATGGTGTGTCATGTGATGAAGGGAGATTTAAGCAAAGACTTAGTGGAGGTTTTTTCGGCTTTACCGATTGTATTATATCCTCATATTGTCCTTTTGTTTTGACGGAATTAAAACGTGTCTTGCTTATGTAGGGATGTAGAGCAGTACTGGTAGACAAAGATAAGAACCCCAAGGTTAAAAAAAAATATCTTCATTAACTATCTTTTCTGTTATGTCATACTGTTGATGTAATGTCGTATATATTGCTGAAATTATAGTGGGAGCCAAGGCGTCTGGAAGACATAAAGGATTTAACGGTGGATGAGTACTTTGAGAGAGTGGAGGAAGAGGAGGGATGGAAGGATCTAAAGTTTCCGCCAAGGAACAAAAACTCTCATGCTTCATTGATCGCAGCAAGGCTGTGAAGACGAAAGGGTGTGTGATGAGACATTAACCATTGACCAACCCAAATAAAAAGACCAAGACTGAAATATACAATCAAGATGAAGTGTTTGAATAATTCTTCGTTTGTTTCTTATGTTTGTAGCAAATAAGAATAAACATGCCTTGTTTTCTCCGAACGTAAGAATAAACGAAATAAGAATAATTCTTCGTTTGTTTCTTATGTTTGTAGCAAAGTTTGTTCCCGCCGAACACGTTCTCGCAACGCCACTTCCACTTCTTATGGGTCTTTCCAAAGTAATCGGCCCATACGTTGACAACGTCCAATCTTTCAATAATGTGTTTTTTTTTTTTTGGGGGGGGGGGGGTCAAATTTAAGACCTTTATAATATCCCATCTCATGTTCAAGTTAGATATATTTTGCAAACTCTAGATAGCGAAACCACATTTTTATTGTTCGGTATTACGCATCAATCCAACCCACAAATAAGGAAGATGAGTGGCAAAAAAAAAAAACAAAGAGGGGTATATAAAGGTGATTTATCATTTCATAATATCATATTTTTGTTTGTTTGAAAAAGTGCAAGTGAAAAAAGATGGATCGACTCGAATTTTATGCAAGTGAAGAAAAAAGATGGGTCGACTCGAACTTCAAAAACAATATTTCTAACTAAACTGAGAAAATAAAAACTGTTTATTTAGAAAACATAGATAAATGTATCAAATATAGCATGAAGAAAGTCATTAGGCACATATAGTGTTAATGTTGTCATGTCTTATTGATGATAGAGTAGGAATGTGAAATTGAGCCAAAACTCCCTGGTAGGAAAGGTATGAGCTGACAAGTTTCAACCCCTATAAAATAAGTACAAGAAGATTTATAGGAAAAAATAGTTACAGACACATGTCATGTCATGTAGTATAATTAGGTGCATATGTCATGTTAGAAAGCTAAGGTTAGGCACATATCATGTCATCTAATTAAATATATCATGACGATGGTTCTTAGGCAAAAGAAGTCTCAGTGTCGTCACATGTCTTATTTGCTAGGAATGTAAAATTGACCCAAAGCTCTCGTGTAGGAAAGGTATAGCTGAGAAGTTTTAACCCCTATAAAAAGTGGTGTAGATATTGGAATGTGGTTGCTACAAATAGATTCACAGGAAGAAAAGATAGGTTCTGCCTCTTCGAGAGACTAATGAGATAGATTTTATAGTTCACTCAAAACGGTATTTAAATCAAGAAAGAGAAAGAAACGAAAAAATATTTTGAAGAAACACCAAACTATATAATAAAATATGTTTATTAATACGAAATTATAAAGAAAATACCGTCGCATCATCTTCCATACACGTAACCTACTTCGGCATTATTGTACACGAATATTTACAGTCTTTGTTTTCTTTGAGTCTTTGTCAACTTTCATTTGAGTCATTTTTTTTTCGACAATCATTTGAGTCTTCCTTTATAATTTATCGACCATGCATGTTACTAATATATTCTTTCGCTATTAATTTAATTCAACCTGAACTTTTCCGAGCAAGTTTATAATATTCTTTATTTCATCTATTCTAACCTAAGTAGTATTTTGGCTTCTAATCTTTGTACACACCTAACCTATGTATTCATATTTTTCGAAATTAGTGTCGTACAGATGATATTATTTATATCTATAAAATTTTAGAACTTGAGATGTATGATTGATGATCACGTAACTTAGATGATAGTATTGTACAATAAAACCCTAATATACTTGTTAAAATGGTGCAGATAATACTATTTATACCTATAATTTTTGTGTAGTTAAGATATATATGATTTATCATATAATTTAACAATAGCATTCTACACGAACCATTGATTAATAAAATATACTATTATTTATTATGTGTTTTACAATATAAGTATAGTACATGGATGTTGAACGTATGTAATGTATATTTAATACATTAACATTTTTGTACTTTAAGACATGTGATTTTTTCCAATAAATTAATATTATATATATATATATAGAACACTATAGTTTGAGATTCCTTATTAATTAACTACTATATGACATGTGCATTTTCCCAGTAGTATAATATTTTCTTATATAGACATCTATTTACTAAATGGAGACTATAATTTGAGATGTCTTATTTAACTACTATATAACATGTGATTTTTTCCAATATTTTAATATTTTCTTATATAAATATCGATTAACTAAATGGTGAGTATAGTTTGAGATTTCTTATTCAAATCATCAATTTGGAAATTCGACAGCCCAATAAAAAAATAAGATAATACGGAAAATAAATTAAAGTCATCTATTCCAAAACAAATTAATTAAGAATAAAATGGGATGATTGAAATATTTATTTATTATTTTCATTTTGTTTGATTATTCTCTTTACGGCTTTACCCAATTGTCTTACCTACATACTTTTATTCTTTTTTGGGAAAAACCTATGTCCTTTTAATCTAAAGTTTTTTATTCACGCAATTGAAAATTTTTCTTTAATTGCGTGCTGCTGCACGCTAGTAGTATTATTTTAGCTAATTTGTCTCTCTATATATAACATGTGATATCTCTAGTCATTGATACTACTCAAAGGCAAAGAAAACATGGATAAAAGATGGAGTCTTCAAGGTATGACTGCTCTTGTAACCGGTGGAGCCATCGGAATCGGGTGTCCTTCAAATCTCTGGCTATATCATATTATTTTACCCATTCTTATGCATTTATTTTAGATGTTGTTATATATATATATATCTTTTTTTTTTTGGAATGATTTAGGCATGCTATAGTAGAGGAGCTAGCTGGTTTTGGAGCTAGAATCCATGTGTGTGACATATCTAAAACACTGCTCGATCAAAGTTTAAGCGAATGGGAAAAGAAAGGGTTTCAAGTGAGTGGTTCAATATGTGATGTATCCTCTCACTCCGAGAGGGAAACACTTATGCAAACTGTCTCAAAGCTGTTCGATGGCAAGCTGAACATTCTTGTAAGTTACCTTAAGGAAACTAAGCATATTCTCATATGAAAGAACACCTATTTAGTAGGATTTTTGTAACTCATTTTTGTTCAACATAGGTGAACAACGTTGGTGTAGCTCGTACGAAGCCAACAATAGAATATGTGGCGGAAGATTTCTCGTTCCACATGTCAACGAACTTGGAATCTGCTTTTCATCTTAGCCAACTTTCACATCCTCTCCTTAAAGCTTCTGAGTTTGGAAGCAACATCTTTATTTCCTCTGTTGGAGGAGTTGTATCGATGGAGTGTGGATCCATCTATAGTTTAACGAAAGGTACATTACATAGACGGTAGACTATTAATCAAAATAGAGATTTTAATTTATACTAGATGTATGTCAATATATATATATATATATATATATATATATATACACTATTGGACTGATAGCAGCAAAAGTTGTGATGTGAAATTTTGTGGGTTTAGTTGGACTACTCATAGGAAATTTATGCTCTGTTTGACATTACACTGTAAGTTCTTTTCTTTGGCTTTTACACTCCAAAATTTACAGTAGTGTTTGCTTCGTGGGAGTGTATAGATTTTTTTTATACACAATTTATACAAACTTAAAGATATTTAATTATCTTAGTGGATGACTAAAATCTATTTTCCAATGGTGAATTGATTGTTTTCTTTGGGATTCCTAATAAGATGTCTCGTAATGAATCAATTGGCAAAAACTTTGGCATGTGAATGTCGACTAAAAAAAAAAAAAAAACTTTGGCATGTGAATGGGCAAGAGATGGCATACGAACCAATTCTGTTGCTCCTAATTTTATCTATTCTGCTATGGCTGAACCTGTAATTAATGACACTCGACACCATTTTTTTTTCTTTTTAATGGTCAATTAACATTATACACTTTTGACTACTATGTCTTACAATCTTGTAAAAAAAAATCAGGCTTTGGAAGACGCAGGTTACAAGAACAGTTTGTTTAGTAGAACTCCACTTGGTCGCGCTGGAGAACCAAAAGAGGTTGCATCACTTGTGGCTTTCCTTTGTCTACCTGCAGCTTCATATATTACTGGTCAGTCCATATGTGTTGACGGAGGCCTCACTGTCAATGGTTTCTCCTATCGGCCACAGGCTTGAACCAATGACGCAGCGTACAACCTATAATAAATGTGATCTATTTGAAACTATATATATTAAATAAATGAGAATATATGTTCTAAAAGTATTAATGTAATATGGGTATGGTGAATGTAAGTGTTCCCACAAATCAAATATAATTTATCCAAAATAATATTTTAATGTTTAAGTATCTTTAAATTTTAAGACATTATATATTTTTCTACCAAAAACATTTTAGATAAAAAAAATATCTTCTATTTAAAAACACCCAAACATTAAACTATTAATATTTTATAGTTTTCATTTTCTTAATGATGTCAAGACACTCTCTTTCATCTAATGGAGATGTCTAATTATTTCAGTAGATATCCACGAGACCACGATGGTGGGGTGGCTCCACATCTGTCTAGTGTCTACTACCATGTGGTGAATCTGAAGAGAATTTATGATTTATAGATCAACAATAAAAATAAAAAAAAAAAATTACGACATTAACTTATTTAGAAAAGTGAATAAGGTGAAAGTAGTCTATAAAGGCTAATGTGACCCCCGTAAGAAAAAAACAGAAGAAGATAAGGTGACAGCAGTCGAGATGGCCTCTAACTCTCAGGTTTGTTTGTTCCTTTTTACTTGAGAACGGCGACGTTTAATTTCTTGTCTCTCTAAATCAGTTTGATCATAGGTTTTGGTGGAAGAGAAAGCAAGCGTTAGAATCTTGACATTAAACAGACCCAAGCAGCTGAATGCTCTGTCCTCTAACATGGTATTGAATAGTTCCCTTGTTGTTTCTTCCTCCCTTTTGTACGTACTCTTGTTACATATTGGCTTGAACCTATATATCATTCTCTAGATCTCTCGGTTGCTGCAACTATTCCGTGCATATGAGGAGGACCCTAGTGTGAAACTTGTCATCCTCAAGGGTCAGGGAAGAGCCTTTTGTGCTGGTGGCGACGTTCCACCTCTTGTTCGTGATGCCTTACAAGGTATACCAATATATTACCATTCCATGCATGACCAAATGTTTTTCCTTTTGCTTACCTTTTCTCTTGTTTTGTTGACTAGGGAATTGGAGACTCGCTTCCGATTACTTCAAAAATGCCTACACGCTCAACTATGTTTTGTCCACATATAGAAAACCTCAGGTTTCCCATCTCAGCATACATACATAGTATCCTTTTAGTGATTTACTCTAAGTGTATTGTTTTACCTTATAATTCGTTTTTCATATATATTTTTTGGAAATTTAATTAGGTTTCAATTTTGAATGGAATCGTCATGGGAGGTGGAGCTGGTATCTCTATCCATGGTCGATTTCGTGTTGCAACTGAGAACACGGTATTCTTTTCTTATACTTGTCCATGAATATATGACGATCGCTGTGAAGTCTTATATGATCTTTTGAGTTTCTCCAAGGTTTTTGCAATGCCTGAGACAGCTCTAGGACACTTTCCAGACGTAGGTGCCTCCTATTTCTTGTCAAGGCTCCCTGGATTTTTTGGTAACAAACGTCATTAGTTTGTTTTGAATGTCCCAAAAAGTTCAAGTCTATCTCACTCGCTCAATCTTAACAAACATTGCATGTTTTTTTTGTTCAGGAGAGTATGTTGGCCTCACCGGAGCTAAATTAGATGGCGCCGACATGCTTGCATGTGGTCTTGCAACACATTTTGTTCCTTCAACGGTCTGAACTTCCTTTGCTTACTTCTTGACTACTCGAACATTATTTGTCCGGATAATATGATTTTTTTAAAAGAATAATAACATGCCTAATTTTATTTCATTAGAGAGAAGTTCTAAAAGAAAAAAGAAAAAAAACTCATTATATCAAATCAACTAAACAGATAAGCCTAACTTTTTTTTTTTTTTTTTTTGTCCTTCTAAATGTGGCTAAGGCATTTAGCCTAACTTTTTTCTTTGGAACTAATGGACTGATAGCAGCAAAAGTTGTGATGTTAATTTTTGTGGGTTTAGTTGGACTACTCATAAAAATTCATCCTCTCTGTTTGACATTACACTATATATATAGTTCTTTTCTTTGGCTTTTACACTCCAACATTTAAAGTAGTATTTGCTTCGTGAGAATCGTTACTCTATTTTTCTCAGAATTTGGATGCATTAGAAGCAGATATTTGCAAAGTTGAATCAAGGGAACAAACCTTCCCCTCAACAATTCTCGATGCATACACTCAGTATCCGCACTTGAGTCAGCAGAGTTCTTACCACAGGTAAGTGTATATATATATAATTTATAGGATTGAATACTCAATGTTTATTATGATGTGTAATGTTACAATATATATAGTGTGTACAAGGGAGATTAGGGTAGAATAAATGACACATATATCCTTTCTATACATAATACTAATATCCCCCCTCAAGATGGAGGTACCTTGGTAACTCCAAGCTTGGACATAACCTCTTGAAACCGAGGTCTGGATATAGGTTTCGTCAGAGGGTCTGCGAGCTGATCATGCGTTGAGACGTGAGCCACACGAAGTGTGCCAGCTTGAACATTATCTCGGATAAAGTGGAAGTCCAAGGCGAGGTGCTTCATGCGAGAGTGAAATATTGGATTTGCCGATAAATGTGTAGCACCAATATTGTCACAGTAAATGACCGGAGTTGTGGGTAATTGCAGGCCAAGTTCAGCGAGTAGGGACGTGATCCAACGTATCTCGGCAGCAGCATTTGCAACAGCACGATACTCCGCTTCGGTGGAAGATCTTGCAACCCCTTTCTGTTTCTTTGAGGACCACGAAACTGGACTGCCACCTAAATATATGATATAGGCATTCGTAGAGATAAAGTCATCGCTATCGCCCGCCCAATCTGCATCGGAGTAGCCATAGAGACCGTTTGCAAAACCATGTAACGTAATTGGTGATCCCCGACGAATAAGAATGCCGTGAGATGAGGTACCGACCAAGTAACGAAGAATACGTTTGACCGCTGTCCAATGCTCATCGGTGGGTTGATGCATAAACTGAGACAAGCGGTTAACAGCGAACGCAATGTCGGGCCTCGTGAAGGATAGATACTGTAAGCTCCCAAGCACAGCTCTATACTCCCGCGGATCATCAAGCTTGTTCCCTTTATGAATCGATAGCTTGGGAGTAGGCGACATTGGAGTGGATACCGAGTTGGATTTCAGCATCCGAGTCTTGGTAAGGAGATCAAGAATGTACTTTTGTTGTCGTAGATGGAGGCCAGCAGAAGTGCGAGTGACTTCAACACCAAGAAAGTATTTAACCTCACCGAGATCCTTTAAAGAGAACCGGGCTGCAATGGATGCAATGATGCTGTGTAACAGAGAGCTGCTACTGCCAGTGATTAGCATATCATCCACGTAGACAAGTATATACACAATATCTCGACCTTGGCGTTTGATAAAGAGCGAAGTATCTGCAACAGAATTAACAAAACCAAGGTGAAGGAAGTGTGAGCGTAGTTCAAGATACCACGCTCGCGGGGCTTGTTTGAGGCCATACAACGCCTTTTTCAATCTACAGACAAAATCCGGGCGATCACGATCCACAAAACCCGGCGGTTGAGTGACATAAACCTCATCATGAAGACGCCCTTGGAGAAAAGCATTATTGACATCGATTTGTCTAATATGCCAATCTTTGTTTACTGCAACTTGTAACACAGCACGAACAGTAGTGGATTTGATTACAGGGCTGAAAGTGTCTCCATAGTCACGGCCTTGCTGTTGATGGAACCCTCGCGCCACCAACCGTGCCTTATACCTGTCAATGGATCCATCAGGTAAGTATTTTATTGTAAAAATCCACTTACATCCAACCACATTGTGAGCAGGAGAAGGAGGAACTAATTCATGTGTTCCATTCCTTATTTGAGCATTGATCTCCTCAACCATCGCATTCCGCCATTTAGGATCCCTCAACGCCTCAGTTACGTTTTTGGGAATTGTTGGTTTAGGACCAGACATGATGTGAGCATAACGGGTATTTGGTTTAACAATGTTGTTTTTGGCTCGTGTGGTCATGTGGTGTTGGTTTGGTGGTGGAGGAGTAGGACTTTGAGACGCAGGGGGTGATATAGAAGGAGTCGGGTTTTGAGACAAGAGAGAGGTAGACGATGATGATTCAATAGGGCTAGGATAGATTGTTGGGCTATTTGAAGTGGTGGATAAAGAGTTACTTGGTGTGGTTAATGGGCTTGGGCTTGGTAGAGGAGAAGTCTGATTGTTATTGGGTTGGCTTTGAGGCGTTGAGGAAGAAGACGCATCGGAGGTAGTCAACCTCTGAGGCACAGAAGAACTGCCCACAGAGATCGGCGACGGCGGAGCGAGTGACAGCGGCGGTGACTGCGATTCCGGCACGGAGGTTGGTGACGACGGAGCAGCGGTCGGCGAGGCATGGTGAGGATCTAACATCGGAGGGTCCAATGGCTGAGTGTGTACGAGTGGAGAGTAAGGCACGGACATCATCGGCGATGACAGCAGAGGAGGAGCTTGTTCCGGCGACGGGAGAGGGCGTTTCACAGCAGCAAATGGAAACACGTCTTCAGCAAATTGTACATGTCTGGATACATACAGGCGACCGGATTTGGGTTCTAAACAGAGGTAAGCACTCTGAGTTAGAGAATAACCCACAAAAATACACGGAGCTGAGCGTGCATCGAGCTTGTGACTAGTGTAAGGGCGCAACCATGGATAACACAGACACCCAAAAACCTTCAGCTTCAGGTAATTCGGCACTTGTCCAAACAGCTTTTTAAACGGAGACTCATTGTTGATAACTGGTGTAATCAATCGATTAATGAGATATACCGCAGTTGAGAATGCATAGCTCCAGTATTGCGTCGGCATGGCTGCTTTGCTCAAAAGAGTCAAACCTGTTTCAACAATGTGACGATGCTTCCTCTCCGAAATCCCATTATGCTCTGGCGTATGAGGAGGCGATGTGAGGTGTGAAATGCCGTTTGAAGCAAGGAACGAGCGAAGAGCTATAAACTCCCCGCCATTGTCAGAGTAGAGAGTGACAATCTTCTGTTTGAAACGATTTTCAACCAGCGCCTTGAAGGTAATAAACACTTCTTTTACTTGTGACTTTTGTTTGAGCGGGTACAGCCACGTATATCGCGTATAGTGATCCACCAACACCAAATAATACTTAAAGCCATCAATAGACATAACAGGCGACGTCCACACATCACTGTAGATGTAATGAAGAGGATGTTTAGAAGCGATTGTATTTGTATGAAATGGAAGCTTGTGGCTTTTATTGATGAAGAAATCAGAACATGATAGAGTATTGGATGAAGCAGAAGTGGGTAACATAAATTGAGAAATAAGTGCTTTTAAAATGTGAAACGCAGGATGACCAAGTCGCGCATGCCAAGAGGAGCTATCAGCCTTTGGTGTTGGAGAAGCAAACAACAATCTCGGCTTAGCAATATTAACCGGCCACTCGTACAACTCTTTCTTAGTCCTGCCTTGGAGTAAGTGGACCCCCGTTGCTAGATCCTTCACCTGAAAATGTGCAGGAAAGAATTCCACAGATACACGGTTAGCATTGCACAACCTATAAACTGATATTAAGTTCTTTTTGATGTCAGAAACATAAAGAACATCTCTTAAGGCAATATCACGATGATGAGTAGGAAGAGTAGTAGAACCAGTTTGAGCTATTTGGAGGGCAGAGCCATCAGCAATTTGAATATCCTCACCGCCAGTGTAAGGTTGATGAAGAGCCAAGTTATTGAGATCCGTCGTCACATGATGAGTTGCACCACTGTCAAGTAGCCATGGTGCTGCATCATATCCAGGACCCATCACCATATTAGCCCGTGGTTGCCAAGGAGAGTACGCTCGCTGTTGATGAGAATACCCACCAAGTTGTTGCTGGAGCTGAGAACACGTACGAGCACTGTGGCCATGAATGCCACAAATTTGGCACCTTCCTTGATACCCACGAGTTTGAGACTGGTTCTGTTGCTGTTGTTGCTGGTGTGGCCATGGTTGATTGCCACGATAGTTGTTCTTGTTGCGTTGCTGGTTATTGCCTCGCCCATTGTTGTTATTATTGTTGTTGTTTCCTCTATAATTCACCGCATTAGCAGACGCAGGTGTGACAGAGGATGAAGCATCAGCAAGAGTCTGAAGTGTAACCTCATGATTCAGCAGCTTCTCATACACTTCAGGAAGACGAGGTGATGTCTCACGTCCAGCAATCTGATCCTTAATAGGCTTGTAATCATCAGACAAACCAGCAAGGATAGCCTCAATCTGATCGTCATGTTGCATTGCACTTTCAAGAAGTGCAAGCTGATCAAAGCGGACCGTCAGACCATGGAAGTACTCCTCAATCGACCTTGTACCTTTTTTCCAGTGCTGAATCTGTAGCTTGATTTGACGAACATGACCACGACTCGGAGCAGCAAACGTCTCCTGCAAAGTGGTCCAAATCTCCTTTGTGGTAGTGGCTTTAGAGAGCAGAGGCTGAACAGTCTGGGCTATTGCACCAAGGAGAGCACTGAACAGCAGTTTATCCTGACGTTTCCACAAGACGTAGTCAGGATTGGGAGTCACAAGACCATTGGTAGTGACTGTAGAGGACGGAACTGTGACAGATCCATCGAGATACCCAACAAGATCATAGCCATCAAGGAGAGCATGAACCTGGCGGCTCCACATGATGTAATTGGAAGCATTAAGCTTCGTGACATTTGTCATATTGACATTGAGAAGTTGAGGAGTATTGACGAGAGGAATAGTCTCACTCGTGTTGGACATGATGATGATGAGAAGAAAAACGGCGGCCAAAGAATTAGGTTTGAATATGGATCTTTAGCTCTGATACCATATAGGATTGAATACTCAATGTTTATTATGATGTGTAATGTTACAATATATATAGTGTGTACAAGGGAGATTAGGGTAGAATAAATGACACATATATCCTTTCTATACATAATACTAATATAATTTTGCCGAATATATTTTGCCATGCCAATATTGCAAGCATTTTAGGTCATGTGCAATTTACTTCACATGTTTATAAAGTTTTATCTTTGTATTGGTGTCATCTTTCAATTCATCTTGATATGATCCCAATATTTTGTGCTTTAAGTAGGTTAGATGTTATTGATAGATGTTTCTCGAGGAGAACAATCGAGGAAATTATATCTGCACTTGTAAGTTTTTCAGTAGTCTCTATAGGATATGGTGACTTGCACACATGAGTTCACTTGAGTCACATTTAACATTGAACTCTACCATCATATGTGTTGGATAGGAAAGCGAGGTCACTCAGGAACAAGATAATTGGATATTAGCTACCATTCAAGCATTGGAGAAAGCTTCACCATCATGCCTTAAAATCTCTCTTAGATCGGTTAGTTCCAAGAATGTGTAACAATATATACAACTATAAGAACGAGCTCACAGTGTAGAAGTTTCAGATAAGAGAAGGACGTTTGCAAGGGGTGGGGCAGTGTATTATCCGTGAGTATAGAATGGTGTGTCATGTGATGAAGGGGGATATAAGCAAAGACTTAGTGGAGGTTTTGTCAGCTTTTCCGATTATATGTTCATCCTTAAAACTTGTTTTAGACAACTAGACATAATAACACCAATGTGTCTTATGTATATGTAGGGGTGTAGAGCCATATTGATAGACAAAGATAGGAACCCAAAGGTTAAAAAAATCCTTCAATTATCTTTTTAACATGTCATATTGTTGTTACTGAAAATATGTATAATGTTGTATTGCTGAAATTATAGTGGGAGCCGAGGCGACTCGAGGACATGAAGGATAGCATGGTAGATCAGTACTTTGAGAGAATGGAGGACGAGAACGGATGGGAGGATCTTAAGTTTCCGCCAAGGAACAACTTGCCTGCTTTAGTAATCACAGCAAACATCTGAAGTAGAGAAGGTGTTTGGCGAGACCGCAAATAATTAAATAAAACGACCAAATGGAGCAAAGATACCAACTTGATATACAAAGATTATACTTGCCATGTTCATCCTTTCAACTGATCACATCACATTTCCAGTATTTTCTTTATGCAGTTCGCTTCCATGTATCATGTATGTAGGAAGTTGTAGTTCCAAGTGTATATGGGAAAAAAATTTGTGGAATACCATTTTCCAATGAAATGTTGAATTAAGTCTAACTCTGACCAAAACTGTTCATTCACTATTTTGGTAGACAATATCGAAATACCGTTTTTCCGTCAAAAATCGAATAATCATTATTTTCCGTCAAAAATTATATAGTTGTGAATATAATATGGATCATGGAAATATCATTAACATGAGGCATACCCTTTTTGAGATTTTTTTATAAAATATATATTTAGATGTGGATACAATATCTATCTTAACATTTTTGGAGTACAATTTGACCAAAAATCATTTTAAGGAAAATTTGGATCGGGTCAAAATTAGTTTATATAACCCGGAATTAAGTAATCGGATCCTACAACTAGAAAACATAAATGTGTTTAAATTTAATTTCCATAATCTATTAATCTAATTATTTATTATCTTATTATTGCCAAAAGAGATCGTAATCGCTTATACTTGCCATAAATCTCGGCAGTTATTTCTAATTAGTCAATTTCAAAATTTTGATTGACATAAACTTTGTATTCTTAACAATATACAATTTCCAATAATACAAAACTATTAAAGCCAAGAACAAACACTTCTAAACATTCATAAACATGCAAAAACAGTAAATCAAATACAAACTATACTAAGAAAATTTAAAATTTAATGAAAATAAAAATAAAAAATTGACCCGTGGTGTACCACGGGATAAATCCTAGTATATATACATATATAAACAGAACAAGAAAACAAAGCTGCATTTATATGGAGCATCTAGATGGATAACCAAATATAAAACAAGCAACAATCAGATGTATATACATTATTTGGATGGATTATTAAGATGAACAAGCGAAAGAACACTTTCGAACAAATGAAACAACACATATGGTCTTATTGCTCTGTTTTGTTCTGACGACGAAAGGTTGTCTCATGGATCCTTTTTCTCCACTTCACAGCTTAGCTATGATTCCTGAAGCATGGAAATTTTTCCTTGGCGGAAACTTAATATCCTCCCATCCTTCTTCTTCATCCACTCGTTCAAAGTACTGATCTACCATGCTATCCTTCATGTCCTCTAGTCTTCTTGGCTCCCACTAAAATTTTCAACAATACAACTTTATATTCAAAAATATGATACAACAACATATACTAAATGGAAACAAAGGAATTGTGATCCTAGTGCCGGAACAAGGGGATTGGTTCTTTTATGTCCCGGGCTCAAAACCTCTTTGGAACAGTTATATTATGGCCAAACATATGGTTTAACAAAAAAACAAATACTGAATGGAGAGATTTGTCAAACCTTTGGGTTCCTATCTTTGTCTACCAATATGGCTCTGCACCCCTGCATAAATAAAGACACGTTTATTGTTATTTAAGTCTACAACACGGACAGTTCCAGGATGAAGAGATACAGTCAGAAAAGCCGAAACAAAACCTCCACGAAGTCATTGCTTATATCTCCCTTCATCACATTACACACTATTCTATACTCACGAATAAGACATTGTCCCACACCTTGCAATCTTCCTTCTCTTATCTGAAAATTTATACACAAAATTAGCTCTTACCCATCATTGCGTGTGACAAAATTATGGAACTAACCGATCTAAGAGAGATTTTAAGGCTTGATGGTGAAGCCTTCTTTAATGCACGAATGGTTGTTGAGATCCAATCATTTGGTTCCTGAGTGGGCCGAGTAAGCTCTCTCTCCTAACCAACACAAAACCATGGTAGAGTGCATTGTCAAAGATAAACTAGCTAGGATGTTAAATCAGTATATCATATATTTATTAATGACAAACTTACAAGTGCAGATATAATATCTTCGACTGTTCTTTTAGAGAAACACCTATCAATAACATGTAACCTGCGTAAGAAAATAAACGGAAATATAAGAAATATATACTTGGCACAAACTAAATTAAAATCTGACGCTAATAAAAGGTTGAAGTTTGTAAAACATGCAACGTACTCAATGTCAGTATATAACAGAGAAAAAGTTTTAGCACATAACTTCAATGTTTTTACGATGTTGACATGGTACATGACATAACAAGTACAAATATAGAAAGAGCAAAAAATAATCAAAATCATATACACTTGCCTGTAGTAAGCGCTATGCTGTTTAAGGTTCGGATGCTGAGCGTATGCATCGAGAATTTTTGAGACAAAGTTTGGATCATTTGAATCAACTCTCCAAAGATCTGCTTCTAATGCGGTCAACCTCTGTGAAAAGAAGTATCCTAATTACTATTAGTTTTACAGCACCATGCTAGCTCTTATAGTCCAATAGTTCCCAAAGAACAAAAATATCTATATCATCTTCCTTTATAGCATGTTGTAAGTTACTAACTTACTATCATGCCTGCGATGAGAAATAAAGACGTAAGCAAAGGAAATTTATACCGTTGAAGGCACAAAATGAGTTGCAAGACCACAAGCAAGCATTTCAGCACCATCTAACCTAGCTCCTGTGAGGCCAACATACTCTCCTAAACAAGAAGACAAGGTAAGGATGAGAGGCTTTTAGTAACTTTAGCAATTATTAATTGTTTCATATGATGTCTTTTTCTCTACAATTAGTAAAACATATGCTATGCGTCGTAACTGTAATTAGAATATGCTAACAAAATAAACTAGTAAAACATATGCTATGCGTCGTAACTGTAATTAAAATTAACTTTGACAAAGAAAACAAAAGAAGATTGCAATTAAAAATAGAAAGTGGTAATTAATTGTCGTCTTTCAAAGCTGACACAGAAACACGCGGCATTTTAGGTATAATATATTTATGGTGATGCATCTATGTTCGTCATGATCCACGCCACTATATTCTATCTTCAAAGATTATGTGATATGTGGTATAATATTGATTAATTTTCTTAAAATTGTCATTTTATATTTAAAACTTAAGTGATGTAATTGTAACTAAAACAAATATTTATATTTTTTTTTTGCTAAATATTTTATTTATTATAGTCTTTGAATATAGTAAAATAACATAATGATAGAGTTAATTTTTTTTTTTTTAAATGGACTAAGAAATTTATAAGGCAAAAACAAATGAGTTTTGTTACCAAAAAATCCAGGGAGCCTTGACAAGAAGTGGGAGGCGCCTACATCAGGGAAGAGCCCTAGAGCTGTCTCAGGCATTGCAAAAACCTTGGAGACTCAAAAGATATGGGAACAATAATCACCATATTAGAGAGAAAGAGAGATCTCTATTTGTCATCCATCTATGGGTACATGTTCAAGTAAATATAATACGTACCGTGTTCTCAGTTGCAATACGAAACCGACCATGGATGGAGAGACCAGCTCCGCCTCCCATGACGATACCATTCAAAATTGAAACCTAGAAGTTAAAAAAACGAATCAATAAGCTTATTATATATATAGTTTAAAGTAATTCACTAAAATTAGAGTGTGCAGTGCATGTTGAGACCTGAATTTTGCTAAATGTGGCCATAACATAGTTGAGCATGTATTCCTCAGCGAATATATCAGCCGAGAGTCTCCATTTGCCTAATTCCACGTAAAATATTAGAGAAAGAGTGTGAAAGTAAGCAAAATTAAAGTGAAGAAAAAAAAGATGGTTATGAAATTAGCACCTTCTACGATGTTACGAACAGTAGGTTTAACGTCGCCACCAGCACAAAAGGCTCTTCCTTGACCCTTAAGGATGACAAGTTTCACACTAGGGTCCTCCTCATATGCAAGGAACAGTTTCAGTAACCTAGTCATCTAAAGAAGATAGATTCATGCCAATATGTTACTAATGCACGAAAAAGGGACGAAGAAGGAACAGGACAAGTGAAAGATTCAATACCATGTCCAAAGACAGAACATTCAGCTGCGCGGGTCTGTTTAATGTCAAGATTCTAGCACTAAATTTCTCTTCCACCAAGATCTGTCAACAAAATTGATGATTTAGAGATAGACTCAAAACATTTGGTCTATAACTAAGAAGAAGAGGAATCATACATGAGAGTGAGAGGTCATCTTTATATTGCTATCTTCTTCTTTTTCTCTTGTTTCTTCGCCTGATGTGTATACTCTTAGACATATATAACAGAGCAGCGACGGGATCAAAGGAAGCTTTTTTGGTCAGTATAATATAATCTTTTGTCCTTGGTCATTGTAAATAATTATTTTTCAGGTATTTCAACACATGAGGAAATAGTATATCTAAATATTTTCTTGTCAATTAAATAATTTTCTGTTGAACTGCCCTCGTGAAAAAACTAATATGGTTTTATATACAAGACAAATCAGTCAGCAAAACACTGTCCATTTTATTACAACCCACGCATGATCTCCACTACTCTCTCTTGAATGAACCATGACTCATGCTATTTTGTAAGCAATATAATTATACATATATATTGGGCTTGAATCAACCTTCTCTAGCTACTGGATATTTGCCTATAGAAGTCTTGTGTTCTTGAGCAATCGTTCATCTGGCATTTCACTGACGCTGGCATCAATCTTGATTCGTTCTTGTTAATAGCCATGCTTGACACCACGAAAGAAGTCTAATTAAGGTTTGAGAAAACAGAGAATGTTGTTTTGCGAAATCATTTGAAAATACAAATATCAATCAGACTACATGCAGGTTTACTTAGTCATTCAGCACATAATTTTATAATAAATAGTACGAAAAATACCAAGAAAATAAGAAAAAGTACTGAAAACAGAAAAAATTAATTATTCGGGTACTTGTATGCCGAGCTGAAGCCCAAATGGCTTACCCTCGGTCTCCACGGGTTCGGATACTTTGCAGGCAGGTCTTTCGGGGGCTCGAGCTCGCCTCGGGTTATTAATCCATGAGTCTATGTCTATATCATCCCTAAGTGCATTTATAGCAGCTTGCAACTGCAAAACATTAGTATGCAAATAATGGTTTTTAAAATTCACAACTATATATATATATGTTAGCAAAACATCACACCGGAAAATGGAGTAATAACCAAAACATCACAAAAATCGAGTTTTAATTACAGATAACTTTTCTATTTTTACAAATTGTTATATATCTAATTATTCTAAAAACATTTAATCATAATTCTTTTTTACAAATGATTTGTAAAAAATATAGGTGAAAAGAAAATTTTGATTGACTCACATACATATATAAAAAGTCTCAAAAAAGAAAAAAAAAACAAAAATTAAGATTTTTTCATAGAAGTAGACTTAGTTTTGCAATGTCGATTTTTTATATAAGTATGATAAATATTCAAATGAAAAATAAAATATATAATATTTTTAGATATTATTTTGAAAATTTTAATAGAAAAATGATAAACCATCTTTATCTTAAGAGATTTTATTTTCTAATGAAAATTAATATTTATTTTGAGTTTAATAAAGTATTTTCTTCTCTTAATTTTGAAATTACTTTTGGTTTCTTAAATATAGAATTTTTTCTCTAAATCAGGATAAATTAAAATTTTATTAATATAAAAAGACTTTTTTATTTTATTTAAGTGAGAAAAGATTACTTTTCAAAATAAAACTTTAAAAAAATAGGCTAGTTTTCAAAATTACCCAAAAAGTAAAAAATCAAAAAGGTAATAAAAAAATTAAATGACGAAAGTACCCTCGTGAAACCTAAAAGTGTGAAGAATCAATAAGGTGCCCTTTTCGTCTCATCTCACCTCATGAATTAAAAAGTTGCTCGTCGGCCATCTTTGCCCTTCTCCTTTCTTCAGATTTTCGTCTTCAACCTCCTCTTCTCTTCCTTACCCGCCAATTTCCTCACCTTTGAAACTGCCTAATCCCTTCTCTGTTTTCTGCTTCTGCTTCCGTACCCTTTTGATTTCAGTGAGTTTTCGATTTCTAATCTCCTTTGAATCTTCTCTGTTGAATTTGGATGTGAATTGTTCAGAAGCTTTTGATTTACGGGTACATGATTCTCTGTTTTATCTGTGTTTTTCTGATCAATTTGTCAACTTTCGAATTGGGTTTGTTGAATTTGCTTAAAGGTGTTTCGTGTTTCTTCTTCTCGCAATTTGTGAACTCTCAGTTTCAGAGATGGTAGTTGTTGTTAAGATTTTGGCTAAAATTATTTGAAGTAAAAATCGTTTCTTTGATTGTTGGGTGCTCGTATCCTTAACTCTCTCATATGGTCCCTGATTTGGATTTTCCATATGTGTGAATGAAGCTTTAAGTGTTTAATGTAGTTATGGCACATTGAATAAGGAGATCAGTGGAAGCTTCGTTTTTGTCTGTTCGTAACCTCTCGCTAGTATTTGTTTTACTAACAGGATAGTGTGGTAAACCTAAATTGGTTGAATCGTAGCTCCTTTATTTGTTACAGGTTTATGTGGATACTACTGATTTGTGAACTTCTTCCTATGTGTTTTAAATCTGTGGAACTGTTTGTTATTCTCAATTCGGGCAAGGTCTTCTGTTCATTCATATGTTGCGTTCTCGTTTTCAGGTCGTTTAAAAGACAGGACGAGTTAAGTTAATAGCCTGGAACAGATTTTTGTCTACATTTTACTTGGCCCATATTTTGTTAACGTGATGAAATGACAAATCACGAGCTGATGATGGCAGGGAACCATGATATCTCGTTTAGGCAGGAGCAAATTATTGAAGATCGACAGAACAGTGAATTGTTTACTACCAATGACTACAATTTTGCGTTGGAACCGGTACATGAGACCAGCCTGCAGATAGGTGCTTCCCGTGAGCAAAATGAGGGTTGGAGCCACAACCAGGAACATACACTGGCTCTTCAAAACTCAAGGGCTCACAGTGAAGAAACACATGAAGAACAACGTCTAGAAGAAAAAGATGAGGTTGATTCTCAGGATAACCAAAATGAAAGCTATGACCATGCTTTTGAACTCTCCTTTCCTGATAATGATGACTCAGAAACTTCAGAGAATGATAAACTAGCGTTAATAGTTTCTCAGAATCTCAATGATAATTTACAGTTGGCGGTGGGTCATTGCATGAATAGGGATCCCATACCTGGCCTGGACATAAGCCTTTCTCAGCAGCTAGAGTTGGCTCCTCCTATCCTTCAGTGCCGGTCTCTGCAAACTGCCCCTGAGCACAATTTGGTCGTTGGTATGGAATTTTCGGATGTCCTTGCGTGTAGGAGAGCACTGAGAGATGCAGCAATTGCTTTACGCTTTGAGATGCAAACTGTTAAATCTGACAAAACTCGTTTCACTGCAAAGTGCACTAGTGAGGGTTGCCCTTGGAGAATACACTGTGCCAGGCTTCCTGGTGTACCAACCTTTACAATAAGGACTATACATGGGAGTCACACATGTGGTGGTATTTCACACCTTGGTCACCATCAAGCTTCAGTTCAGTGGGTTGCTGAGGCTGTGAAAGAAAGGCTGAAAATAAATCCTCATTGCAAACCTAAGGAGATACTGGAGGAAATTCATCAAGTCCATGGAATTACACTATCATACAAGCAAGCATGGAGGGGAAAAGAACGTATAATGGCTGCGGTCCGCGGGTCATTTGAAGAAGATTATCGCCTTCTTCCTCGATATTGTGATCAAATTAGAAGAACAAATCCTGGGAGCATCGCTGTGGTTTATGGAAGCCCGGTTGATGGGAGCTTTCAACAATTGTTTATTTCATTTCAAGCATCAATCAGTGGTTTTCTTAATGCTTGCCGACCTCTCATTGGATTGGACAAGACTGTTTTAAAGAGCAAATATCTAGGGACATTGCTTCTTGCCACTGGATTCGATGGAGACGGCGCGGTGTTTCCTTTGGCTTTTGCTGTTATTAGTGAAGATAATGATAGTAACTGGCAGTGGTTCCTCTCAGAGTTGCGTCAACTGCTTGAACTTAATTCTGAAAACATGCCAAAGCTGACAATTTTGTCTAGTAGAGATCAATCTATTCTGGATGGAGTCGATACTAATTTTCCAACGGCCTTTCATGGCTTGTGTGTCCATTCTCTCACAGAAAGCTTTCGTAGTAAGTTCAACGACCCCAATCTTGTGTACCTTATTTGGGAAGCAGCAAAATGTCTCACCGACTATGAATTTGAAGGAAAAATCAACGAGATCGACCAGGTATCTCCAGAAGCTGCCTTGTGGATCCGTAACGTCCAACCCAGTCTGTGGGCCACATACTGCTTTGAAGGAACAAGGTTTGGACATCTGACTGCAAATTTAACCGAGTCACTTCATAGTTGGATTCAAGATGCCTCAGGTCTTCCTATAATCCAAATGATGGAGAGCATTCGTCGCCAGTTGATGACTTTGTTCAATGAACGCCGTGAAACAAGCCTGCAATGGTCTAGTATGCTAGTTCCATCTGCTGAGAGATATGTCCTTGAGGCTATGGAAGAATCTCAATTGTACCAAGTTCACAAAGCAAATGAAGCACAATTCGAGGTCATGACCAGCGAAGCAAAATATATAGTGGATATTAGATGCCGTTCTTGTTTGTGCCGTGGATGGGAGTTATACGGTTTGCCTTGTAGCCATGCAGTTGCAGCCCTCCTCTTTTGCAGACAGAATGTATGGCGGTTCACAGAGAGTTACTTCACTGTGGCAAATTACCGGCGAACTTACGCAGAAACCATACATCCAATTTTAGACAAAGCCATGTGGAAAACAACAGAACCTGACAGAGAAAGTGGTGGGGATGGTGAAGAGATTGTGATAAGACCACCGAGGGTGTTAAGACAACAGCCACGGCCAAGGAAGAGGAGAAGTCAAGGAGAGGACCGTGGACGTCAAAAGCGGGTGGTTCGATGTAGCCGGTGTAATCAGGCTGGCCATTTCAGAACAACTTGCACAGCACCTATATAAAAAAACCTCTATTTAGATCCTTTACTTCGTCAGTGATATGAATTTAGTTTTCTCTTTACTTAGGTTTAGAACATTCTTTAAAGGAAGTCTTTCTCTTTACTTATTTTTCCAATATGTGAGATTTTCATATATGCAATGACGGTGTCTTCTTAGGAGATTCAACTAAACATCTTCGAAACTGTTATCCTCTTATGTTTTGTTTTTTTATTACAACAGTTATCCTCTTATGTTATATAGCCTTAGCTAAAATAGATTCATTTTATTTTTGCCAGAATAATATATAACATACATGGGGATTGAGATTTTTGTCTATAAAACCAAAATGGTCAAATGACAAAAAGCAAAGTAAGAAAGTTCCGGAGTAATAGGACTCAAAGCTATTTTAGTACAGCATACGTGGTGTAAGCAGATACATTGTCTCATAACAGAAAACAAACTCAAGAAAGGGCACCCCAATCTAAGAGTTCTATCAATCTTAATCCCATGTCTCTTGATGAATCCCAAATCAAAATGTGTGTTCCAGAGCTTAACAGCAACAACAACACGTCCACCTTCACACAGATCTTGGTAATCTCATCCATTGGCTTTCTCTTAGCCCTTGCACTGCACTACCGTCTAAGGAAGCTACGTCACTCCAAGATCATCCCTCGTCTCAGATTGTCTCACAAAAACAAAGGCCATGAGAAGCTTGAGAGATTCTCTCACTACGTCGGTAAATATCAATCTACATATCCTCTTTTGATATTTCCATGATCATAGTTTGTGATGCATTATAAGAAATTTTTCCTTGTTGTTTCTTTTGCAGTGCGGCAGATGGGATTCAAGGACAGAAGAGAATGTCCTCATCTCTGCAAATTAGCCAATGAGTACATAAGGAAATCAGGTAGCTGCGAGGAAGACATTTACAGCTTTTTCTCTGAAGAGCCTGATGCTGATTCTCTCTTTATCAAGATCGTTGAGGAGTTTGAGAGATGTATTCTCAGTTATTTTGCTTACCACTGGAGCCATGCAGATCTCATGATTAGTCAGGTTACTGCAGAGAAACAAAATCAAAAATCTTTTAGTATCCTTTCTTTGTTAACATCATAATTGATCATATACCAAAAACATTTCATGGATTTGTTTTAGATACTAAGCGCCGATGTAGAGCCTAAGAAGAAGCTCAAGCATATTGTCATGGCAGCTACGAGGTGGGTCAGAAAAATAAAAATAAAATCAATTCGGATTGTGTTATCTTTTAGTGAATTTTCCTAAGTGTGGTTGTTCCTTGGTTGGTATATAGGGAACAGAGGTTTGAGAGGGTGACTAAAAATCTAAAAGTGGCAAGAGTCTTTAACACATTGGTAGAGGAAATGAAAGCAATGGGGATCGCATCTGTTGATGATTCAGAGTGTACAGAAGTTATGGCTCCAGTTGCACACAAGGACAGAAGCCCGGTTTTACTCCTTATGGGTGGTGGTATGGGTGCTGGAAAGAGCACTGTGCTTAAAGACATTCTCAAAGAGTAAGTAATGATTCAAATCTACATCAAGATACTTATCATTTATCAGTGTTTCTTATTCATTGACCTGTACTTACTTGTGTGCTTTGGATCAGACCGTTTTGGGCAGGAGCTGATGCTGTGGTGATCGAAGCAGATGCTTTCAAAGAATCTGATGTGATATACAGAGCTTTAAGCTCCAGAGGCCATGTTGATATGATCAAGACTGCTGAATTCGTAAGGTTCTTTGTTTATTTATAGGTGCAATAAGAATCCTTTTAAGTAAGAACCTGCGGTGGGACAAAATGTGCAAGGAAACAAATCAAGTCTTCCAGATATGGAAATGTACATAAGTAAAGTAGCAAAGAACATATTCTTCAATTTCTCTATCATATACTCAGGACACACATAGATAGAATCATATACTATAAGCATTTTGTTTCCTTTTTTATACTCAATATGACAGTATCCAAGAAGATATTTGCGAAACTTTGACGGTGAAATGGCATTAAAACAGGTTCACCAATCATCAACAGATGCAGCATCATCACTGCTCGTTACAGCTCTCAATGAAGGGCGAGATGTGATAATGGACGGAACACTCTCCTGGGTACCATTTGTGGTTCAGACCATAACCATGGCAAGGAATGTGCATCGCCATCGTTACAGAATGGGAGCTGGCTACAAGGTTGGTGAGGATGGAGAAGTCATAGAGAACTACTGGGAACGCATAGGCGAAAGACAACAGCTGCAAGAAGATGGACGGGAGAGAAAGCCATACAGGATAGAGTTAGTTGGAGTTGTGTGCGATGCATATTTAGCAGTGATTCGAGGCATTAGGTGAGAATGTTCCAAGTGCACTTCGGAATATACTTTGAATGTGTGTTCGTAACATATATGGTTATTATAAATATGCAGGAGAGCAATAATGTGTAGAAGAGCAGTTAGAGTGAGATCTCAGCTGAGATCTCACAAGAGGTTTGCGGATGCATTTCTTACCTATTGCAACATAGTTGACAATGCTAGACTTTACTGCACCAACGCTCTTGAAGGTTCTCCAAAGGTTAGACCTGAGTTTCTTCTACAGTTCTACTCTTCCTCCTATAAGATGCGTAAAAAGCCTGAAATGTTTTTTCAAGTAATGAAAGGGAGTATACATGGTGAACAATGTGGTTTGTGCAGCTGATAGGATGGAAAGAAAAGGAAAAGACTTTGCTAGTGGATCCAGAGGAGATAGATTGTTTGAAGAATGTAGGGAGGTTAAACGAGAATGCGGATTCCATTTACGAGCTATACAGTAGGCCAAATCCTGCATGTGAAGCTGGATCAATATGGAAAGACATTGTTCTTTCTCCTTCCAGGTTCAACATTCAACAGGAGCTCAAATACTCAATTCAGAAAGTCGAAAGATTCAAACAGTATCTCCAAGAAACACCAAGGTGAGAGAGGAAGATAGAGAACAAAGAAGATCTCTTAGCTATTTTTTCCCGGTATGTCATTCGTTTATGTAACTCCTAAAGTCCAAAAACATCAAACAAGAGTGGATGTCAGAACCACTTGGTATTTACTTATGTCGGAAAACTAAACGCACAACCCAATATACAATTACAGTAGCAATATCAAACCATTCAAAAAACACTGAATGTAAGAGATGTTCGAGGAAGCAAATGTATGACATGATTCAGAGGAAAACTCACCTTTAACTTGACCAAGCTTGTTCTTAAGAGAAACTACAACATCTTATCTGCATTTTCTCATTGGCAATGAAACAACCACATTAAACAAATCTCGATAGACACATTGATACATTACAATAAGAATCATTCAAGAACCAATTAACGCAAGGAACTAGACGAAACACTCTCACCAAACAGAAGCATATCTCTACAAAAACCATGAGAAGACCACAGCTTGAAATCTAAAGGCTTCTTTTAATAGTTTCTGAAGAAGTAAAGATTGAAGAAACCATCACATCTATAGCTATTGATTAAAACTTAAAATTCAAACAAACCAAAAATTACAAAAGAAAAACAGTTTCAACAGGAAACCAAGAAACAAGAAAGTAAAAAAAAAAAAAAAAACTTTGGAAAGCAAGCTCCTTCAAGGATGATTCAATTATACAAGACTACCCTATAGAAGCTACCACCAACCATGTATTCAATCTCCCCCCCAAACCCAAACTATCCTAAACCCATCTCCCTCACTTCTTAGCCTTCCTAGTCGAAACCCTTTTCGCAGGAGACTTCACAGTCTTGGCCTTGACACTCTTAGCCGGAGCCTTCTTAGTGACAGCCACAGGCTTCTTAGTCACAGCCACAGCTTTCTTCCCAGGAGATGTTCTAGTCGAAGTCCTAGAAGCTTTAGCTGGTCTCTCCTTAGCCTTAGGCTTAGCAGCAACAGCTTTAGTCTTGGAAACAGCAGCAACAGACTTGGACTTAGGTTTAGCAACAACCTTAGCCTTTGCTGCAACCTTAGGCTTAGCAGCAACCTTAGCTGCAGGCTTCTTAGTAGTTGCCTTAGCTTTAACAGGAGCAGCAGCAGCAGCCTTGCCCTTAGGTTTAGCTACAGTTGTTGCCTTCTTCTTAACCGGAGCAGAGGCTGCCGGTTTAGTTGTAGCGGCGGCGGATTTAGCAGAAGGGATCTTGAAAGATGCTTTGACCTTAACCAATTTGCCAGAAGCAACAAGTCTTTTGAGGTTAACAAGCAAAAGCTTCCTAAAAGTAGGAGGAAGAGACTTATGCTTCTCCTCTATGAACTTCTGAATCGCGTATTGACTAGATCCAGTTCTCTCCTTCAACGTTACGATTGCGTCTTTAATCATCTGCATCAGATTCAATTCATCAGAAAACCAAATCTCGGAATTATGAATCTGGAAATTGTGAAATTGAGGAGAAAAAAATTCAAAAAGATGAGATCGAATCTTGAAGAGAGACCTCTTCATAGGTAGGGTGAGATGATGAAGAAGACTTCTTCTTCGTTGTAGCAGCAGCTTTCACAGGCTTCTTCGCCGCCGCCGTTGTTTTAGCTTCTTTAGTCGTCGTCGTCTTCTTCTTTGATTTACCACCTTTCGCCGGTTTCTTCTCCGGAGATTTCACCGCCGTTTCAGCAGCTCCTGATTCAACCGTCGTTGGGACGTTTTCTTCCTCTGTTGACATCTTCTCTTATCGACTGAATCTAGCTATTGATCGGAGAAAGCTGTGAAATGTAATGCGTCGGAGAATTCTGATGAGGAGGACGAGAGAGAATGATGTTTATATATATATATAGTCAGATGTGTTATGAAGAAGACAGAGTTTGTAAACTCTCTTCTCTGATTGGTTGAAATGGTGAGTACTCGGATCGGTGTATCAACTCAGGTTTGAATTTGATCCGTTGGATTTAAATCTATCGACGGTGTAGGAATAAGGATTACGAATGTAAGGATGAGAGGAGGGGTTTAATGGATGTGGATAGGTGCTTTTTTTGGGTATTGTTTGGTGTGCTTTTAGCTTCGATTGATTTTATCGTAACTTTTTATGTACTTGACGGATTTCGATTTTGTTTCGGTCGTTGTGTAGATAATTCTTTAAGGTTTCTTTTGAATGTTTAAGCGGTTGAAATGGTTTTGTGTAGGATGAGAAAATGGGGAATGAAGCAATGTTGGTCAAAACTATGGTTTGTTTTGATAGTATTACGGTGTTTTTGTTTTTTCGGGGAATTCTTGTGGAGGATTTATGGATGGCTATGTTCGTTGGAAACTAGACTAATCAAGGAGTGTAACGAACCAAGAATTTTTAAAATCGGATGAGTTTAAGGTCGAAAACTATGTTGTTGAATCAGACCAAAGATGACCAAAGTAAGATGTGGTGCCACACAACTTGTTGCATGTGTGATGTGTCTCTCTTTAAGAAAGCCCTAAACTAAGACAACCGAATAATTATGAACTAAACTCGTTTTACATATACGAGATTCGTTACATCTTGTAGTGATTCGCGATATTAGTTTTGTTTTTTAATGTGGAAGTAGTGAAGCATATGCGTTGTTTCGCTCTAATGATGATGTATGCATCTTAGCTTCTAAAAGCTTTCATGTAACTTTGTTATCAATAGTATATGATATTCATTAAGCAACCTTAGATCATTTTTTCGAATTATGAAATTCAGCTAAACATATTGATATGAATATATATCTTACAAATAATTATTTTAGTTCTATATTTAAAATATTATATAGTTTAAAAATTTCCAATGTTTTAAAGAATAACTTTACCAAGAAAAATTATGTGTCGTCCACTGCGCTGATGTATATTATGATAATTTGATGTATGTAAAAGGTTAAAACTTAAAACTCTTTAAATTCAAAAACATGTTCACTAAAATAAATCATTTCTCCTCTTCTCTCATCATATATGTTGAAAGGAGACAAAAATCAATATATAAGACTAACCCACATAACTATCAATAAACATTTCCAATTCAAAGTTCATCCCACTTCAAATCAAAACGAATAAATATGTTGCCATGAAACTAAGTGTGATTCAACATAAAAGAAATCATATTATAAAGTATAAACCTATAATCACAAATCAATACTGATATGTGAAACCGGTTTTAAAGTTTTTGCATTGTGCAATGATTTTTACCGTGAAATGTTATATACAACTTCTTCAATATATAAGAAAAAAAAAAGATATGTGAATGACATACGCATGTATGCTTCGATATGTTCATAGAAGTTTTCAAAAAATTTAATATTCAAAAACAATATTAACTAGAAAAGTCAACTTTTATATACTATACGAACAGTATTAAACGTTAATATCTTTCTAAAAATAACTTTCCTCATCATCATATATAACTGAAAATAAAACCATACTAGTTTATAATTACTAGATAACCCAATATACATCGAAGTATTTTTCCAAGTCAAATCTAACACAATATATTATTGAGCTTAAAGTGTATGGTGGTAACATATATATACACATAACTAATTAAGCCGCTGAGGAAGATACGAACCCTTTAAGGTAAGGCTTTAAACACAAAACATAAATATATCTCTAGCTATAGAGTAAACGTGTATGTAGACACATTCCTACCAATTGATCTTTTATTCAAAACTATTAATTGCGTTCTAATGTGTTTACTTTTAGAGATATCATCAGTTACGTTTTACGTTTCGCCTGGTTGAAAAAGATCAGTTACATGTTTACATGTTTACATATTCTCACCAATGAAAGCTAATGTTGGTTTCAAGATACTAAAGATCTAACCATATTAATCTTGAGTAGTCTACACTGTTATGACATGACACTTAACAAACATGCAGTTTAACAATGAGTTTTAATTATTCGTTACGGATTTAGTAAATGACTAATGAATGAGCTAGTAAATGTGATTTCTTTTTCTTATTTTTCTGGTATTGTCTTGTCTACAAATGCTAAGAATCTTAACTCAAACAGTTAAACATACTTTATATAGTTTTTGATTATTTTGAATACTTATCACCATCCCTTAATTTCATAGTGCACGACCAGTAATTCTATCAAAATTTAATACATGCCATTACTATAAATGATTTACGAAATTGTACGTAAATCAGATAAATTAATACCTCGTCATTGAGAAATTTTCAAGTTTATCACCAAACATTATGTGTTACATTTCATTTCTTAGAACATACGAATTGGATAGTGGAACATTGAGCCGCACGTACGGAGGCTACCTTCGTTAATCTCAACCTCCTCTCATCAACAATTTATCGTAAACATTAGTAAATCTGTTTAGCTAATAACTTTTTTTTTTTGGTTGGTGTAAATGTTATTTAGCTAAAATAACTTTGTTTTAAGCTATTTTAATCAATTATTATTCTTGTCTTAATTATGAGATATTTTATCTAGCTTAAATAAACTTTTTGAATAACTTGATTTTTTTTGTCACATACTTAATCAATTTTAGTTTTACAAATAGGATATAAATAATAAGTTTTGTTACTATTGGTTAAAGAAATTGGAGGAAAGATGTGTTTCCATTTATTTCTTTGAACTATATATTATTTATTTAATGTGTGATATATTTAATAAGAAATAACTACATATATGTTATTTTATAATTGTTTAGATCATTCTCTAAGGTTTATTTTAAATGTTTAAGCGATTGAAATGGTTTTGTATAGGATGAGAAAATGGGGAATGAAGCAATGTTGGTCAAAACTATGGTTTATTTTGGTTTTGGTTTTAGGAAAATGCGTGTGGTGAGTTTATGGATGATTATATTAGTTGGAAACTAGACTAATCAAGGAGTTTAACGAACTAGTACTTGTTAATATCGGGTGATTGATTTTAAGGTAGAAAATTATGTTGTTGAATCCGACCAGAGATGACCATCTTCTTGTGTGCGGTGGCACACAACTTGTTGCATGTGTGATGTGTCTTTCTTTAAAGAGAGTCTTAACTAAGACAACCAAAATAATTATGAACTGGAATCATGTTACGTATTTGAGATTTGTTATCAAAATATAGTATAGTGTATATGATATTAATTATTAGCAAACATAAATCAATCTTATGAATTACGAAATTCAGCTAAACGTAAATTTAAGTACGCCATATATTTTGCTTTACTTGTTGTGGCTTTTCTAATCTTTCGTTGTTCTTCTGTTTCGTCTAAACCTTTAATTTATTGCGGATCCACAAGCTAACCCATTCACTGTGCTACTATAATCTCCTCAATTTCTATATCGCAAAAAAAAGCTGAATTTACATGAGCAATAACTAGAGGTTGTGAGACAATAGGCCGAACATAAAGCAATTTGAAAAATTATTGTTGTGTGGAAAGTCTGTCAATTGAGCAAAGATCCAGTTAGTTTATCTTATAGTCAGAAATGCAAGAGGCATGACTACTTTTGGCATTAGTCGGAAAGCATTTCAAACTTGAGATAAACGGTGTGGTAGTCTTTCGGTGAAAAATCCACTCTGAAGCATTTCGGTGCGTTTCTACCGAGGCTGACCGGATCAGCCGATAGAATATATATATATATATAAAGCAATGTGGTAAGTACTAAACAATTTGCGATGACAGAAGATTGTAAACTCATTTAGTTTGAAGAATGTAAACTGATTTATTCACACATGGAGGAATAAGGAGAAGAACATGCTTATTTTGCTTGCTTGTGGGACTGTGGAGTTTACTAGCTATGATATGCATATGAAGTGTGATCATGATCAAAATGTTGACAAGAGAAACATTTAGTCTATTATTGATCAATTTTCCAATGCGTGGATACAATCCAGATTGTTGACAAGAGAATGTCTTTTCATACAGTTTTGATCAGTTTGGATAAGAGATTCTTTGAACAGTCACAAAACCCCAAAATCTCTTGGAAGAAAACTAAAACAATCTAATTGGAATCTATGATCCCTTTAGAACAATAACAAAAGGTAAAAAGAAGAAGATAAGTAAGTGAAAGGAAAGTAAAACGTGTAGTATAGAGTCAAAAAGCCACTCATTGCAGCAGAGTGCTTCAACGGAAATAACCGTAGAGCTCCAAGTAGCAAATGCAAAAGTTCCAAGGAGTCGATGTGTCTGTGGTTGGACCAGTCAGAACCAGCCTGAAAAACCTAAAGGGTAGTAACGCATTTGCTGCTGTGATTGGCCACGATGCAAACTGCCCGACCTTGCACATTGTTTGGTCATCCTCATGGATTCTCAAGTCTGTCCACGTTTTCCCATCCATTGATCCCTTCAAACCCATCAAGACAAAAACACCACAGAATTTTCTTAAGAAGCTTGCTTGTCTTTAAGAGGACATGAAATAACTGCAGCAAAAATAAGATACCTGAAACTTCCAGGACCTTGTGAATGCTCTTGATCCGTCTTGTCTGAAGGTGTAGTAGTTGCACATAAGCTGCATCCAACATTCCTCAGAGTGTTATATCCTCAGGACGAAAACTTATTTCTGTTTTCCTTGAATACATTTTCTCTTATTCTTCAAAGCATGGGTTATGGTTTATGGAGCTTTTAGACTAATGTGTCTTTAGGAAAACAGAATATATGATAGAAAGAGAAGTTATGGAGGAAACCTGATGATCTTCACCTAAGTCGACCATCCACCAGGATGATATATGGCCGCCTTCCATCCTAGGCCCTGCAAAGGAAGTACCCTGATGCAAAAAAAAAAAACACAAAATCAGATGGTCTTGTATCCAAGAGGAAAGAAGTTTCACTGCATTTAATTTTATCCTTTGTCAATTTTGTAGTTGAAACCAAATTCTAGTCCTATAAGACGAGCAAACCTGGGAGGAACATACCACATAGGTCTTTGAAGCCAAAGCCTTTGGATCAGTGAATCTGGAGGTGGGGCTGCTTGATGTAATAATGATTTTCTGAAAACATAAAGAACTCAAAGAGTAAGGAAATATTTATAAAAGATTTCCAACAATATGAATTCAGAAAGTACGATAACGATGAGATTAACCTTTGCGAGAACAGGGTTGACCCATTGATGACTACCATAAGATGTACCCACAAAGTGCAGCACCCCATTACTATCCCCATCACGTATGTACTGAAGCTCCTTGAAACTCGATCTTCGATGTTGGAACCTTGAACTAGAGATGAAAAGCTTTAATTAACGACGTGGGAATATAAACCTGGAGACGTTTACAATCATAAGATACATGACTATGTAATTCTTACATCGGTTCATTTCCTGGGCATGTCAGTCCGGAAGTTTGGAAGCTAGCAGCCTCCTTCACCTGTACACAAGACAAAATAAATGAGGGCTTGGAAAGAAAATCAGTCTTGAAATAACACATTAAGTATTCTGCTAAAGAAGTTGGAGATAGATGTTTAAAACTTACAAGACGATTGAATACTGGGATTTGTTTGGTTAGGTTGCTGCTTTCTAACTGTGCGATCATTTAGCAAAGATAGCATCAGCACAATCATTCTAACATACAATGATGAAGTTCATTCAGGATCCACTCACCCTTTTAAGAACCTCATATGGCAACAAAGAGAAGCGTACATGAGGCAACAAGTCATCAAGTGAGTGAAGCCTTTCTTTGAACAAAATTTTGGCGTCACAACAGTCCATCATCTCATCTATTACATCCCAACTATGCGACTCCTCAGCTTTCATGCACCACATGAGAACAGCATCAAGAATCTTTTCCTCAGATGTCACTGTCAGATCTGCAGACTGCAATTCCAGAATTTAATACTGGCTGAAATGTTTATTACATGCCATAACGAAAGGAGATGTCATGCATCACTTTTGCTGATGTCCATTACAATTCCATAGTACTAAATTCAATTTCCACGATAATAAACACTGATCAGTGAGTAACACTTTATTCCCTCAAGCACTAAATGTAACAGATTTTTGGGGTCAAGTCTCCAAGTGGGTTAAGAGGTTCTTACAAATAAAAGTAGGATGGCGAAAGAGAAAACAAACCTCAAGAATATCACTGAAGGCGGTTTGATCTAACAAGATAAAGTCTAAACTTGCAGTGGTACAATAGTCGAAGTGCATGGAGAACTTCCTCTTGCACATCTCCTCAACGACTTTACATGAGGAGATAGACGAAACCACTTGGAGAACTGAGCATACAGAATCCTGCAACAAAGTTCAGAGGTTAGCTTGAGAAAAGGCCCAACAAATTTTCCAAATTTTTCTGCTTCTGCGCCCAATAAACTCGCATAAAAGAATTATTCTTGTTGTATGACCTTCTTCCAAAATGAGAACGCCATCCCTGCATGTAATATATACATGGAACAATATCAATATTTTTTTTTTACTTTGTATGTGGTCAAAGCATTCACTTTGTTTTTTTTTTTCTCTTTTAGTTTCAGAAGGCTTGAAACCGCAACCCACTTCACGGCTCATTAAGCTCTCTATCATACAGAAACCATATTGTAACAGATGCGCTGGAAAAGAAGAGAAACATGATAATGACACAGAGACGTATCATTTACCCTAGAGGATCATGAAAACAAATATTACCTCTGAGAGGCACTCCAAGAGCATTTTGCAGCATTCTTGATGAAGTGGAACAACTCCAAACCGGTCAGATAGAAAGAGAAGATGGATCAACTCGGTGCCGAAATTCACTGTGTCTTCCATGTTCAACTCTCCACTATACATGAAATTCATCATAGCCTTGAGTGCTTCTGGTGATACATCGGTTAAGTAAATTGTTGATGAATGGCTCTCACTCATCCCATTTGTAAACATCTGGATGTTCATTGAGAATAATAGAAATTGAGGATCAATATATTCATGTACATCAGAACTGCTACCCAAAAAGTGATTCTCACCTTTGCAAATGCGACACTCCAAAGACTTAAAATGACTTTGTGAGACTGGAAAGTGAGACTATGATCACTGAGATAGATTTTTATGTCACTGTACTCGCCGGTGGAGTACAACTTTACCAGCTTCCCCACATCAACAGGGAAAGCACTTGGGAACATAAAACCAGATAACGGGTGAGAAATAGGACACGAGAGTTTGACTTTTCTGCAGGGATCAATAGCTATTTGGCTCAATTTTAAATGGTCTATACTTTCTTCACATTGTCTCACCAATGGCATCACTTCAAACTTAGAGCTTAGATCCCGCAATGGAGCAAGTTCTAATTCCAAAATCTACATCAAAAACAAATGTTTAAGGAAATCATGACGAAGATAAAGAATCTCCATGCTTAGTTAAAAAAGAAGGTTCCTAACAAAGCATTTCACCTGGCAAAAGGGACAAATACGTTAAGAGAAGAGGATATAAGAAATGGTACCTGAGTTCTCCCTGTATAGATATATTGAAGAAGTGCATGAAGAATCGGGTACGAAACTCCACGAAGTTGAATGAAATCCCCATCTGATGATCTCAAAGGAAAATTACCCGACGCTTGTAATATAACCTTGTGAGCAGGGACCTCCATTTCCTCGTCGCCAACAAGAAAGATTGTGTCAGATAGTTCCCAACTCTCCAAAAAATTTGCAAGTCCCCATTGTTCATAATCATAACCAGTCCCTTCCTCCACAAACTTCTCGTCACCAGACTCATATCCTTTAACTTCACAGCAATCCACTTGCTTCCACAGCAAGATATGGTTGTGTGTCACGGGAAACACACTCACGTTTCTATACCCAACATGTTTATCCCAGCTGCTCAGACCAACATACTGGACATTTAAATTAGGCTTGGAGTCTTGCCACTTAAACACCAGGTTCTGAAACGGATACCGACCTTTACCGATGCTAATCAACCCATCATAGATACTAATCCAGTAACTCTCAAACTCCAAAGAACAACGACAGAGATCAGAAGCTTCCTCATCGACCACAGATTTCCCATCTACCTGAATCTTCAGCCTACGGTTCCTATTGCTACCAATAATCACAATGTAATGAGGACTATTATCTTTCTTATAATGGTAGTGTTGAGTCCCCACATTCTCTCTGAACACCACCGTGACATCATTGTGAGCAAACGCATCAAACGCAACGCAACCTCTTCCCGCTTCCCGGAACTTCAGATCATCACTCCACGCACACTCGAAAGGCGCCACCGTCAGAAACTTGTTCTCTTTCGCCGCAACCATCTTCACTCATAAAATCTCTTGCCTTTACCTATGACATTCACAAACCCACAAACCATCAACATCTATATAACCAAAGACAAAAACAAAAACATTAAAAAAAATCAAAACTTCACTCATTGAGGCATTTCCACAAGCACATAGATGAAATAAACCAAAACTCACTTGTGAAAACCCAGAGATCACAACTAAAGATTTGCGTTTAAAGAAGATCATAACAATTGGGTTTTTAAAAAGGAACGTCATTTTCAAAAACAAAACCCAGAATCTACTAGAAAGCAATCAACTTGGCAAAAAAAAATCTGAATCCAACTGGCTATTACCCTACCATGAAAAACAATGAAAATATCAGATTGCAGCTTACATCGACTTCAAATCGAATACAGACAAAGATTTGAAGATACAATCATAAGCTACAAAAAAGGAAACAAATATGAAAAATTTGATCAAAATCAGATTTTTTTTAGGTGTGTGGATATAATTTTCGGAGCTAACCTTATGAAGTCGCTGTCACGACACGTGATCGTGAGTCGGATCCTAATCCTTTAAGGAAAGAAAGAGTCACAAACAAATTCGAAAACGAAGAAGAAGACACACACGATGAGTAAGATATTTTATTACTTGTGTCAGGAGAAAAGAGCTGGTGGATTTTAGAGTCATTAATGGGCCAGCAAACAATCAGCATAAGGCCCCATCAGAATTCTCTAAACTTGGAATATTATCTATAAACTTTAAGGGAGGGTTATTTTTTTTTGGTAGGAGTTTAAGGGAGGGTTATTGGATCATTGATTTTGATGGATTTAAAAATTCAAACCAAAAATCATATTTTATTTAATCATTGATTTTAAAATAACTATCAAATTCATGTGTCATTGGTTGTATGATTTATAAATACTAGTTAAAATCATATGTTATTCGTTTAATGATTTGTTTTTGGAATTTAAAATCCGCAATATGTTTTAAATAGATTTGAAAGGATTTAATAGTCCAAAATAGAAGGATTCAAATCCAAGGATAAAACATGTTATTTCAAAATCAATGTATTTTGATTTCATAAATAACAAGGATTCACAAATTCTATGTAGATGTACAAATCAATAGCTGTTATGTTAATTGCTGCTAGGCCCAAATCAATATGACAGTTGCTGCTAAATGTATTTGCTGAATGCTAAATTTTAAAATCAGAATGTACTAGTAATTCGTAGGAACGAAATCTTCGTCCAGCTATATCTACAATCTTATATACTAACGTTGATAACATTTTTGAAAATTAAAATCATCGTTCCAACATTTTTGAAAATTTCAAAACCTTTTCGGTTCAATCTAATGTTTGTACTTTGTAGCCTATTCCTAAAATGGAAGCTTAATATGATGTTGAAATGAGTTTTTTTATTCATTATGTCTAACACATGGATTTAATTATGTTTCTTGTACTTCTCACTGACAAGACAAACTCAGAACAGAAATCAAATTTCTTTTTTTTTTCTCCAAAATTATATCTTAAGATTTAAACTCCTCTTCCTATAAGTTACTTTGCAACAATCTCCAAATTCTAGTAGCACCAACCACATACATACATAATAGAAACCGAACTTGCCATTAAAAAGATATGAAATTACATAGCCATAAAATAAATACTTTTAATTCATTAATTAAGAGCAATAAACTTAGAAAGAAAAAGAGTCTTGACAAATCCTAACATTTACCCCTCTCCCCCTTTTAAACTCAAATCCAACAATTGCAGCAAACTCTCTCACAATCAAATCCCACCCCAACTAAAAGCTCTTGCCCCGATCATATATCACAACATTGAGCAATGCTAAAACCTATCGACCATACATGAAAAGTTCTTGCTGGCCCACAGATAGAATAGAGTCTAAGTTGTTATAGCTTGAGATGGCAATTTCGGGTGGTTATGCTCTGCTTCATAAGTAACAATAAGCATTGCCGGATCTTCCAAACATCTCTCTACGTGCTTCCTCGCTGGACAACCTCTCATGCTACTGCACTTGTAATATCCCCTGCACACAAAAAATTCCAACACAACACTTCTTTAAGAAGACTCTCATACTTGTCTCTATCTATCTCAGCTAATCACTACTCAAAAGCCTTAAACTCCTATACAAGAATGGTCCTTTGCATTTGTATATTAATCTTCATTTGGTTTTTCTCTTTTCTCAACCATGAGTTCATCAATCAACAGGAAGGATGATCAAGAAGTGTATACCTTGGATAAGGAGATCCCTTGATGGGCTTCTGACCATATTTTCGCCAAGAGTAATCATCAGGAGGAATGTCTGCAACCTTGTTACTTATAGCAGGCACTCTGATCGATCTCCTAACCCGATGTTTCCTGTCAATTTCCCAATTCTCAATTAATATATTCTAAAGTTAAGAGAGTCTATGTGATGAAAAGCAGAAAAAGAAAGAAAATATATTTATCTGACCTTTTCTTAGAGCAGTGGCAACGGCTAGTGCTCCCACATTTTAAGCCTCCATGTTCGTCTCCTTTCAAGGGACATTTTCTCTTAGAGTGTAGTGAGTTCTGATCCGTCGAACTAGGAACTCCTACCAAGTGGAAGGAGTTCTTTCCTTCTACATTAGCGACACTACCATCTATGCTAAGTGAAGAAACAAAGGACCTAGTTGATGAAATGGTCGGGGTACAACTGGAGTTATCGAAACTCAAACTTATCCCACCATTGCACTTCCTAAGCATAAGCTCAGCTTGATGTTTCTGTAGCTGCTGCTGCTGATGAAGATGGTGAGCTTTTAACCGTTCATGAAACTGCTGTTGCTGCTGCTGCTGTAGCTGCTGATGTTGTTGTTGTTGTTTTTGTTTATCTGGAAACAAATTGGGATAATTCGAAGAAGGCACCACTGGCTGGCTAAGCTGAAGGAGAGGAACCTTTGCATTTGGGTTCAAACTGAAAGACTTGGTCCCTAAAGTGAGTGAATCTGAAGGTCTACTCAAGCTCAATTCCTGGAAACCAGACCGGAGTACCGGTGGTTTCTGAGAAGATGATGATGGTGCAAGCTCGGTTCTTTGGTCGGTTTTTTGGTGACAAGGATCAAGTAAGATGCCTTGAGACACATGGGTCGGAAGTTTCTTAGCTCTTCTAAACCTAGCATGACCAACACTAGTGCTTAACAAAGTAGACACTCTCTTGAACCTAAGCACAGCTTCTCTAGTTTCAGACACCAAATTCCTCTCAAACCCAACATGATCTTGCTGCTGCTGCTGCTGTGGTCTATTCAAAAGATTAAGAACTCTATGACAACTCTCTACAGCTGCTCTGTTCGTTCCTTCTATCTCCTCCATGTCTTCCCCCCCAAGAACCCTAATTTCCCTTTCCTCCCACAGCAAAAACTTAACTCAGAGAAATGTAAAAGAAGTCAAATTTCAAGCTTTACCCAATCCCATCCCCAAAGAAAACAATTCCTAATAAGAAGATCAAATCAAGGTTTTTAAAGAAGAAGAGGAATAGAGAGAGAGAATGAAGAAGAAGAGCGAAAGGAGAAAGCAAAAGTAAGAGTAAGAAAAACAGGAGCTTCCCCTTGGATGCTTGAAAGCTTAAAAAGAGAGAGAAGAGAGAGAGGTTAAATGAGTTGTCAAACCCAAGATTCCTCCACCATCTTTAAAAAGAGAGAGGTTCGAGAAAACGAAAGGTGTGAAAGAGAAGACTTTCTTGCTCACTCTCTCTCTCTCTCTCTCTCTGTAAACAAGTTCGTTTCAGCAAATCACTCAATCAAAAGAAAACAAAAATCTAAAGCATCCTTCTTCTTTCTTTTTTATTAACCCAAGTGAACAAAATAAAATAAAAAAGACAACTTTAATTTTTGGGAAGAAAGAGGAAAGAGAGAAAGAACGAAACCGGCGTCTGTCACAGATTCAGACAGTGTGGGTCCTACTCGAAGACCTTAAGTAAGACTCGGGTCGTAATTATTACTATTATTACTTTTGTAATAATACTAATATTATAATTTTCTGACAAATTGTTTAGTAACTAATCAAAATTAGCATCATTATACTTTTGTGAAGTTTTTAATCATGTAAAGATAAGTTTCTTTGACAAGGTAAAAGCAAAGATGATGTACGAGAGTACCAAACTTTTTCTTTTCCACAGTGTCTAACGGTTACTTTTTTAGTAATATCACTATTTGACGTGTTTATGAGAAGTGTTTGCTAATTGTAGAAATAATATCTACTAATAAGCATTTTAATGATTCCATTTATTAAACACTACTCTTGTTGGTAATTTAGTCAAACGGTTCTGAGTATAACAAGAGCTTTTCCAAATATAGTATCATTTTTAATAGCATCGATCCTCAGTTTAGTTGAATTTTATTCCATCATTTTTTTATAGATTGGAATTTTAGATTTGTTTTCTTGTTTGTTCTAATGGCGTATCTTCGAAAGGTATATGTTATAGTATAATTTACTGTTTTGTTAGGAGATCTATCAAAAATTCATTTATTCTTATTGAACTAACGCATATCACTGTTTTTAAGTAGAAAAACACTTTTACGCTTTGTTATTATTAGCAAATGACGAATTATATGTTACTATTGAAATAATAAGAAATACATGCTTACACCAACTCGTCAAGCACGCTTGTTCTAATAACTTAGGTTAAGAAAGCTAACCCTAATATGTGGGTTACTATTTTATTAAGGTATTTATCAAAAATTCTATTTTTTAAATTGAATGACATCTTTTTGGTCTAATGGTGTTGACCAACGGTTTAGCAAATGAGTTGTCAATAGTGAATCTAATTAGGTCGGAAAGAATTGTGAATAATAGATTATTTTTGTAACAATTCTCATAATTTGTAATAATTAATAAATCTGAGGATGACAAAAAAAATTTGAAGTAACATACATCATCATTTTTAAGCAGAAAACATTTACGCTTCGCTATTACTAGCAAGACATTTGGTGATGGAAGAATAGTACGTTACATAATAAGAAAAGCTAGTTGTAGTATGCCAGTTACTACTAGGGTATCCATAAAAAAAAATTGTTTTTTCAAATTAATGTAACGTACGTCGTTGCGGAGAAAAGCTTACACACTTGACTATCATTAGCAAGACATTTGGCAATGAAGGAATCATACGTTATTTTTTGAGATAATAAGAAAGACCTCATTACGTCAGTTAGTCAAACATGCTTGTTCAAATAACGTGTGTTAGGAAAGCTAGATTTCATATATCAGAAGTAACGCACTACTCACGTCAACATTATTAAGCGGGAAAAAGCTTACACACTCCGCTGTAACTAAGACCATCCTTAACGGCAACCTCTTAACGTATAAAATATTTTCTTAAAAAAAATTAAGCCTTAAGAGGTTGCCGTTAAAGATGCCCTAACAAGACATTTGGCGACAGAGGAATCATACGTTATTGTGAGGTAGTAAGAAAGACCTTGTTACACTAACTAGTCAAGTACGCGTGTTCTAGTAACGTATATATTAACAAAGCTAGCTGTAATATGTGGGTTATTACTTTTTTGGGAATCTCATATTTTCACTTTTCAAATTGAACTAACGCATATCTCATTATTAAGCGGGAAAAGTTTACACAATTTGCTGTCATTCAACATTTGGCGATGAAGGAATTGTACGTTATTTTTGAGATGATAGAAAGAACATTACTGCATGTATGAGTTACATAATCACATTTTTGAAATCTGTCAAAACATGTTTGGTCAGAGTTAGTAGGACCTTATGTAACTCATACATGCTTCTATATAAGATCGACAAGTGAACGATTGAAGTGAATCCTAAAAATGACTTCGCGATTGCTTTCTCTTGCACTCTCAATTCGAGCTTTGAGTGTCGAATATTTTAAAGAAAATTTATTCCGTTTTGTGTATATTTATTTATTTTCTAGTGATTATTACTCGGAATTCCCTAAAACAATTGTCAAAAAGTAACCTAATTTCTGCCAAAATTACGTCCAAAATAAATAAAATACTTCAAAACACATCCTAAAAAAATAGTTAGAAAACTTCAATTTTATGCAGCTCTCTTTTAGAAAAATACACAACATGAATAATAATAAATAAGAAACTTGAAAATTGGTCATTTCTATTAAAAAAAAGTTAGATTATAGAAGCTCTCCTTTGAGTTTTTTTTTTTTTTTTTTTTTGACTTCTCAATCATTCTCATGTCATTCGGTTCACAACACTTCCGTGTACTTCTCTCATTTGGTCCAAACAAGGAATCAAATGTTTATAGAAATGACAACATTATCCTATCATACATTCAAATGTCCAAAAAGGACACAATCTCCTCTAAAAAGTAATTTTGAATCTTCTTGGATAATAAACAAAAGTTTCTGTCTCACCAACCTTTCAACTTTCACATTTAAAGATTATAATTAAATTAAATATAAATGACTAAGTTTTCTACACAACCCATTCCATTGATCCTGCACTTGTCTTCTCCTTCTTGTTCTTGAACAGTTCCTTAGTTGTTGCACTCAGGGAGCTTCCGAGAATAAACTAGCACCATCACAAATTCCTTTGCAGAGGAACCTACAGACGCAGTGACTCTCTGCTCCTTAGGAGTTGTTTCCAACCATAGCTCCACTAAGCTGTGCAGCTGCAACGTTGGGAGCACCGGTTCTCCCATACATGTTATCTCCACCTGTTTACAAGCAACCATTAATGTCTGAACTTTAATCCATACATCTTAGTATACACGCATAAAATAGTTGGCAAACAAAAGAAAGAGTTGATTTTGGTTTAAACATTTATGGATCTTAGTTAACCAACATTAAAGGTCATTGACGAGTTAGCTTTACGAACCAGTGAGAGACTCATTAGCCATGATCACGTTATAGGTGTGGCTGGCGAGCCATAAAATTTTCAAGGTAGTACCAACAGTTATGGACATAGTCATCTTAGTAAGCAAAAGAATTGACTCGAACTATATAACTGACTACAGTCTGTGATTCCATGTTAGACTGAGTATACAAGTTAGAAACAGAAATAGGAAAGGTTGCTTACCTCATTTTCACTTTTGAGATCAAGCTTCTTCATGAGGTACTTTTGGACAGAAGAAACTGGAATAGTTCCATCCCTATCACATAATGAGACAGGGGATCAACTCTGGTACAATATAATTCTTCCAAACAGAAAATTAGACACTCCCATTCAGGAATTCGGGGTGATATATGGCAAAATAAGGTGGCTTTATCAAGAAACATATACCGCAGAGACAAGAATAACAAACATGGAAACTCTAAAGAACTGCGAAATCGAATTTGAAGCCATGAATGGAAAAAGTAATACTAATCAGAGATGACATACAAAAACTTAATGACAATAAAACAGAGCCGAGAAAAGAAAATTTACCTTATTCTCAAGTAGTTTGCTGGAATCTGAGGCAAGGATGTTTCCCTGAAACAAGCAAGTCCTTGTTGTCAAGATACCAATCAAATAGAAATGAAAAGACAAAGAAGAATCTTGAAGATAAGTAAAACTCAGATTCAGAACAAGAATCTCACTGATTAGTTGACGCCACAAGTGAGAACCAAACAGGGCCATTTCTCCTCTCCTGTTTCGGACTTGAAGCACCTGGTAATGGTGAAATTCTCGAATCAGCAAACGTAGAAGACCTTTTGCGGCGAGTCCTACGCGTTCTTTTAAGCGTAGCAGTTTCTGATGTTGCAGGATCACCGCTATTGCTGATCTCTTCCTCGAGTTTACATTTTCTTTTATGATCCTTTGATTTGGTTTTACTTCCCTGAACATCACTGTGAGATGCATTTCCATGCTCAGATTTTGGGTCCTTTGTTCCGTTTGCCACTTCCACAAGAAAATTTAGAGGTTTCCAAAGATGTAATTTGGAATCCCAAGGTTCATCACCATTCTTGTTTCTTCGATTAGAAAGGGACTGGTTAGGCTCTGCATTTGAAGACTGCAAAAAAAAAAGAATTATTTAAAAAATAACTAAATATATGGGAAACTATCTGAAGATCATAATCAGTCATAAGGTTGTGTTACAAAACTCTCTCTCTTTCTCAAGCTAAACGTTATAATTCCAAAACACTACATAATCATGATGAAATGTGCTCCTGTAACAGATGGTGGGCGACCTTTTTATAACATTTTCTAAGGGGTAAATGACTTTAAAGCTGCAAATGTACAATATACTGTAAATAATGTGTACCAAATCAAAAGAAACATAAAGCCAAAGAGATACTTGCATTGATCACCTTCTTTACCTGCCTTCTGTTCTGAGTAAATTTTTGAAGTGTTTCCGGTGAACTTGCGCTCTCTGTTTGATCATCTCCAAATTCTTCTTCCTTCTTCACAGTTCTCTTAGTGAATGAACCACTACCTCGAACATCTTTTCTCGTGCCAGTTTTTGTTCTTTTTCCTGTTGTACCAGCTTGTGCTGAAACCCTAGGTGTGCTCACCACCAAAGACGAGATAGACCTCTCTTTCCTCCTTGCAGGTACTGAGACGGAAGACACAATTTCAGGTGCTCTCTCTTTCTTTCGTTTTAGAGGAAATAATTTGGCCCTCAAGTCTTGCAAAATGTGGTCAGGCCTAAAATACATGCATAAGAGTCGTTCCTTAGTGAATGCATAATTTAACGACCAAGAAAGCTCTGACCGTTGAATAACTAGTAAGAGACTAAGAGAGAGATAGTACTAAGGAGATTTGTTTCAGGTTCTAGGTGCCAACAAAAATTATCATGCTAACCAGCATATTCCGGTTATAAGTGCTTCTAAATCAAAGGAAATTTCTTGATTACTTCCACAGTATGCCACAAACATTAAAGAAAAAACTTCCATATGTGGCACATTCCAGCATAATTGAACTCTTCAGCATTATGTTTAAATTATTTCGTTCCATTGAAAGCAAGAGCCAAAAGGTTTCTAACAGACTAACAGTCTGTGATACTCATATAATCTAGGAAGCAGGTATATCTACTATACCAATCAGAAAATTGAGTAACTGAAATATCAGTGGGGTACTTAGGTATGATATAGGAGAAGATCGTACCTTAGTTTCTCCAGTGGGGCACCACCGAGATCAATATCGCATACTGGACAACTCTCTATCTCATCCTCTGTGATTTTCTCATAAATGCATTTTCTACAAACTGCATAAAAGTGATCTAAGAACTCATCTCATATCATTAAGTAGTGACTACAAGATGAGAACCAAATTACATAAGAAGGCAAGAAGTAAAACAAACAATTTCTCGATCGAAAGTTCAACTCAGCATCAAAAAAGCATTATGTTTCTAGGTTCAATGATAAGCTGGCTGGCTGCTAAGTTCAGAATTTGTTAGATGAACTTTCAAATTCACCAATAAATTTCACCACTTCCATAATATCAAGGCTGATAATTGGTATGGCTTCTATTGAATCAAGTAATAGCAGTTGCCATGGCAGAAGCACGTAAACAAGCTGTTAACAGGCGTCATCTAGTTTGGTTTTAAAAATCATGATCTTAGATAGTTGGCAACCTAAACAAAAGGGATTGTATCAGTCCAAAATGGAACCGCAAAATTAATGGTGATACTGCATGCACCACAGAAACCAAAAGACGAAACAAATGAGAACAACTAATTTAGGCACTGCAGTAACTCAATAACTAATTCTACAGGGGGGTTCCGAGGGTTCTACAACTGAGAAAAAGCTGCTTAATATACAGAAAGTCAGAAACTTTCGATATTAAAAGGGAAGTTGATCAGTTTGCACACTTAACATTTACCATTTCCAGATCAGATGAAATGACCGTATTAATCAGATCTATTCTATATATTTACTTGAACGATTTAGCCGTTGGAGTGACAAGGACAAATTTTCAGTAAAGGGTAACAACGGGGTTGTATAAAATCTAGAATTGTAGATTGATCAAGTCTCCAAAGGAATACAAACTCAAAGATTAATAAAAACACAGAGTGTAGTATATAGTTTCAATGCAGAAAGATCACTAATAATCTAGCCTAGATAATAAAGAATCTAAGCCAGTCCAAACAGAAAATTATCAAAACTGTCTTGATTGTATAATATCCGGAAGAAGAAAGAGGCTGAAAGACGTTATCTAATACGAATATCAACAGACATTAAACATACTATAGCAGTTATTACTTATGACTTAAACACAAAACTTAAATGTTGGATTATAATCTAACTAACAACATGCAGCTACAAAATTACATGATTAGCCAAAACCAAATTCGAGTTGACCACCACAAACAAAGAAAACACTCTCAAATTTACCTAATCATACGAACAGAAGAGTTGATTCTTGAAGTCTAGATGTAAACAAAAAAAATCAGATTTTGGTCAACAACAGAGGAATTCAGAAGAAAGAAAGAAAAAAAAAACTATTCATTGACCTCTGAATACGAGTTTCATCAAAAAGATTGAGATATAGATGGAGAGAAACACAAAAACATAAAACGGAATACAAGATCAAACAACAACAACAACCCATACAAAGGCAAAACGCAGAGGATCAAAATCAATCAAACAAACGATGAGTAAAAGACAAAGGAGGAAATTAATTGGAAGGACGAAAAAGCGAATTGAAAACGTAAATCTAAAAAGAGAAGAAAGAACTAACACGTATGAAGACACTCAGAAATGGTAGTGGCGTCACGGAGGAGATTCTCACAGAGAGGACAAGTCATGCATGCCACCACCGTATCTCTCTTCACCTTAACCACCATCTCTCCTTCCATTTGCTCTCTTCAACGACTCTTTTATGTATATCGAAGAAGATTCGTCGCTTAATCGCACGTACTATCACCAAAACTGCATGTACACGAGAAGACAAAAAAAAACGACGACGCACGAATAAAAACCCAGATTTACGTTCACAACAGCTCTCTTTAGCGATACCTACATTGAAATCAAAATCCGATGAAGTCTCGAAACTGAATTTAGCGGAAGAGGATCGAGGAGAAGCGGAGTGAAGAAAGTCTCAATCGGACGATGAAAGAGTGATGAAGAAGACGGAGGAAAAGGAGGTTTGAGGAAGGGAGAATCTGGGGATGAGTGAAAGGAGATAATGGAGAGAGATTGGGAGGAAATTAGGGTGAGAGTATGGGAGAAGACGATCTGAATCGAACAAGGGTTAAGGTGAGGTGAAGAAGGCTCTTCTCTTCTCTTCTCTCTCTCTCTCTCTCGCAAATAAAAAGGGGCCTTCGTTGGTGATGAAGAAGAGAAACGATACCGTAAAGAGTAAAAAGACGTTTCTTCCTTTTCTCCTCTGTTTTTTTCTATCTTTTTTTTTCTTGATTTCCATATGTGTGTGATTTTTTTGTTGAATGGGCTTTTCCGAAGGTAGCAAAGCCCAGTGGTGATTTTACTATTTGTTTTTTTAAAGCTAGGTAGATATTTTACTTTTGATCTAAAAAAAAGAGAGATATTTTACTTTTGATACAAAAAAAAATAGATATTTTACTTTTTTTTTTTGTTAATTGGCATCATTAAGGGAAATAAATATTATAGAAAATTCTAATAAATTGATTATCAAGATAAGAGAGAAAAATAGAGGAATCAAATCAGGTTTTTTGGTTCTCAATGACAGAATTCGTAATAAAATTAACTATAAAAATAGCACTGAAGTGGAAAGAAAATGATATAATTTTTTAAACATCAACAAGAAAATGATATATATCTAATTTCTTTTTTACTTGTATAATATTTTAGTTTCTCACTTTTTCAAATTTATAAAAAAAAATTTGGTGATGAATATATTTATTCAATAATTTTTTTAGTTAATGAATTCCAATAAATAAAATGTAAAATTATTATGGCTGATAAGTTTCTTAAGTATTAAAGTATATGTCATAAACATAATGTAGGTGTCTATTTTAAAATGGATATTTTGAAGATTATATTCCAAAAAAAAAAACGAAAATAGTGTAAATTAGAAAACGAATACATAAATATCTCATATGATAAATTGATAAAAACACAAGTCATATTTTGTGAATTCGTAACTATACCAAATTTACGATTAATAAGAATTCTATCGAAAATCGTTGATTAAATTATTTTATGGCTTCTACTGGTAACCATTAGAGGAACAAAAGGAAAAAGAACAAAAATAACAATACGGAACGGAATAAACAACTTCTGAGGAATGAAAGGAAAACATGCAGAGAAAAACAAAATAATAAATGGTAACCAAACAATAACACTATCTTTTATAATATATTTGATTAAATAAATCAACTTTTAATAATAATACTAGATATAATTTATATATAATGAATTTGACACTAATTTTAAAATATATTTTTGTATGAATTTAAATATTTAATGTTAAAAATTAATAATTTATATTAACCTATTATAGATTATAGTAATTTTTTATTTGTTATTTATGATATAAACATCTCTTAAATATGTTTTACTATCCATACAAATTTTAAATAATGTATAGTAAGATTTTTTAACATGAAATTCGTATCAAAAATATTTTTTAATGTCAATACATGATAAAAATATGAAAAATATTATATTATGAGATTAAAATATTATTAATAAATAATTTTTTTTATTTTAAAATAAAAAACGAATTTTAATATTTGTTTTTTTTTTGTTCTATTTGTTCCTCATCAATTTTGGGGAGGAACATTTTTGTTCTATTGTTCCTCATTTTGTGAGGAATATAGAGGAATGATGTGGAAAATGATTCCTTGTAAATGGTAAAAAAATTGAGGGATGAAGAGGAATGTCACATTCCTTCTCATTTTTTTCCTAAATCATGGTTACCAATCGAGGCCTATATGTTGGTCATCCAGTACCCGAAACTGCGGAAAACAAAATGTTATAAATTACAAATCTATGCACCTTAATGAAAGTAGACAGATCAACCAAAACTCCATAAACTACTCATCCTCAGAGAATCCATTCAACTAAGCAAACATTTCAAGTTGTTCACTCCAAAGTCCAAACTACAAGTACAAGCTGTAAATTAATTCGGAAAATGGGCTTTTTCATACTTGTACTATCTAGCTATGTTAATTTCATATAGTTGACTTGTCATTGTGATAGATCATACCTAGACTTATTGTAAATTTGAATTTATTACCTCGAGATTTCATTTCGTGCTGAATAATACAAAAACGTGTTAAATGTGTAACGCTGTTAACTCTTCGTCGATGTGGATTCCACGTCAGATGACACGTAAATCCATCACCTGATGACGTGGCAAAACGACGTCGTTTTGGTCGCTTAGATGGTAATTAAAAATATGTCGACATTCAACTAAGCAAACATTTCAAGTTGTTCACTCCAAAGTCCAAACTACAAGTACAAGCTGTAAATTAATTCGGAAAATGGGCTTTTTCATACTTGTACTATCTAGCTATGTTAATTTCATATAGTTGACTTGTCATTGTGATAGATCATACCTGGACTTATTGTAAATTTGAATTTAGTACCTCGAGATTTCATTTCGTGCTGAATAATACAAAAACGTGTTAAATGTGTAACGCTGTTAACTCTTCGTCGATGTGGATTCCACGTCAGATGACACGTAAATCCATCGCCTGATGACGTGGCAAAACGACGTCGTTTTGGTCGCTTAGATGGTAATTAAAAATATGTCGACAGTAAGGCTCGAACCTCCAACCAATCACTTATATACTCACTACATAACCACTAGGCCATCAACATTTAATCGGTATAAAGGAACAACGCATGAATATATAGTATTTCGTATTTCTATATAATTAATATATAGTGTTTCCTATTTCTTCTTCATTAATATTAATGATCATTCGACACTAGTGTTTCGTATTTTTATATAGTATTTCGTACATATAGTGAAAAACACTATATATGTTTCGTATTTCTATTTCGTATTTCTTCTTCATTAATATAGTGTTTCGTATTTCTATATATTAAAACAATATATAGTGTTTCATATTTCTTCTTCATTAATATTAATGATCATTCAACACTAGTGTTTCGTATTAATATATAGTGTTTCGTATATAGTGAAAAACACTATAATATATTCCGTATTTCTATTTCGTATTTATAATATATTCCGTATTTCTATTTCGTATTTCTTCTTCATTAATATATAGTGTTTTGTATTTCTTCTTCATTAATATATAGTGTTTTTCACTATATATGAAACACTATATATAAATACGAAACACTAGTGTTGAATGATCATTAATATTAATGAAGAAGAAATATGAAACACTATATATTGTTTTAATATATAGAAATACGAAACACTATATATTAATCAAGAAGAAATAGGAAATAGAAATACGAAACATATATAGTGTTTTTCACTATATATACGAAATACTATATAAAAATACGATACACTAGTGTCGAATGATCATTAGTATTAATGAAGAAGAAATAGGAAACACTATATACTAATTATATAGAAATACGAAACACTATATATTAAACAAGAAGAAATAGGAAATAGAAATACGAAACATATATAGTGTTTTTCACTATATATACGAAATACTATATAAAAATACGATACACTAGTGTCGAATGATCATTAGTATTAATGAAGAAGAAATAGGAAACACTATATACTAATTATATAGAAATAGGAAACACTATATACTAATTATATAGAAATAGGAAACACTATAGATTAAGTGTTGATGGCCTAGCGGTTATGTAGTCAGTATAAAAGTGATTGGTTGGAGGTTCGAGCCTTGCTGTCGACATATTTTTAATTACCATATAAGCGACCAAAACGACGTCGTTTTGCCACATCATCAAGCGATGGAATCCACGTCGACGGAGAGTTAACAGCGTTACACATTTAACACGTTTTTGTATTATTCAGCACGAAATGAAATCTCGAGGTACTAAATTCAAATTTACAATAAGTCCAAGTATAATCTATCACAATGACAAGTCAACTATATGAAATTAACATACCTATATAGTCCAGGTATGAAAAAGTCCATTTTCCGTACATTCTATCCACGTGTCGAAAGATCAATGGTCGAGTGAGAGAACTTTCCATTGACCCAATCAAAAGAAGACAAAATCGTAGTACAGGTAAACTCTGCTTCGCTACATAATTTATTAGCACATGCCTCCACATGTACACCGCGCCGCACTAGATCACCATCACCTCGACGCCGGAACATGGATCCTCTCCGACGGATTATATAATTAAATTTATTTATTTTGTATTAACTTTGGGAAAAAAACAGCTAAGCTAGTGCCAAAACATGCACGAGGAAGCTCTTAATCTCCCAGAGATGAAAGCGTAGAAACAGACTCTCGAATCCAAATCCAAATCCAATTGCAGAAGAAGAATCTGGAAACCCTAATCTGTTTCATTCGTTTTCATCAATCAAGTAGTGAATCTCCGAGATCTGTGTCTTCTTCCCTCTGGGAATGTGCTTCGTCTTCTTCGTTGAGAACGATTAGAGGAACAAACGGAGATAAGGAAACAAATATATGAAGAGTTCTCTGACAAGTTTCTCACATTGATGAATCAAGTTCGTCGTTGGCAGAGGATTTTCATCCTCTCGCTGCTATTGTTATCTGTGTTAACTCCGATTGTTTTCGTTTATCGGCTCAAGAGTATTACTTCCGTCGGTGAGCTTCTTCTTGTTAGGTTTCATCTACTTTTTTCGTCTCGCGGATGTTAGATTGATCGTTATGGCCGTAGTATAGTGGAACATCATGTGTAGAAGTTACTCGATTTCGTTTTTTTTTTTTTTTTGGGATTTTTGGGATTCGCTATTGGCTTTTTTACCTTTGTTTGATGTAGTCTCAGCTTTTTGGATTACGATTCTGAAAGCTGTTTTGGTTTTTTTGGTTGATTGTTTTCTGGCAGATAAAGGAGAATTCATTGAAGAACTATCCGACATTGTACGTATTTTCTGAGCTATAGATACCGTGGTTTCTTTTGTTAAAATCCTCTCATAAGGAACTCTTCAGTATTTGCAATTTGATTGTGCTATGATTCTATAGTGTAGCTTTGCTTATATGTTTCAGTTTTCTCGAGAACTGAACAACTGAGATCCTACCATTATTCTGCAGACAGATAAGACCGATGATGACCTTAGACTTACCGCTGTTGAACAGGTCTGTTCGCTTCCACTCATCTCTGTAAAACTTGTTTGACTATTCCGTTTGCTGAAGTTGGTTGGCTTTGTAATTCAGGACGGAGAAGTCTTGGAGGAGCCTAAACGCATTCTGCAGGATCGGGAGTTTAATTCTGTGGTTTCGTCAAGTTCTGCTGATAAAAGTAATGATACTATGCAGTCTAATGAGGGAGACAAAACAACCTTGCTCTCAGAAATTGATGGGGGTAATATATTTTGGAGCTTGTGTTACTTTTTTTTTGTGTCATTATTGTGGAAGCTTTCTTATCTGTAGATACCAGGTATTTCAGGAAATAATCACAAAACAAAGGAGGAACAAGCATTAGTTGCACAGAAAACCACAATAAGCTCTAATGCGGAGGTGAGTATTTTAATCCAGTCGATGAAGATAAAAGGAGCTTGATAGGGATTAGGCTTTGTAGCAATTGACAATGAGAATTCTAGTATTAACTTGTGAATAGGAAACCGAATTTGGACTTTGCATCAAGATAGTCAGATCATATGCTTTAATTTAGTAATTTCTGACTCTTTTTCCTGTCTCAGGTGAAATTGCCAGCAAGGGATATTCAACGTAATCGTAAACCAGAATTCCGACCCCCTTCAGGTAAGAGTGAAAAGATTAAAAGGGTTCAGCCTGAAAGAGCAACAGATGAGAGGGTAAAGGAGATCAGAGACAAAATTATCCAAGCGAGAGCCTATCTAAATTTGGCCCTACCTGGGAATAACTCCCAAATCGTAAAGGAGTTGAGAGTTCGAACGAAAGAGCTGGAACGGGCTATCGGTGATGTTACCAAGGATAAACATTTGCCAAAGAGGTAAGTACAGCTGTGTGATTCAAAGGGATTCCTGTTCCTTTCTGTAAAAAGCTTTGGCATTTAATTGTCAAGCCAAGTCTCAGTAATTATTTGTGTTAATTTGGAAGATTCATACATAAAATATATTGTTTCTTTTCAGCTCTCCTAACAGACTGAAGGCCATGGAAGCTGCATTATACAAGGTCAGCCGTGCCTTTCATAACTGTCCTGCCATAGCTATCAAACTCCAAGCCATGACTTATAAAACCGAAGAACAAGCTCGGGCGCAGAAGAAGCATGCAGCATATTTAATGCAGCTTGCAGCAAGGACTACCCCAAAAGGGCTTCATTGTCTCTCAATGCGGTTGACAACAGAATACTTTACCCTGGATCATGAAAAAAGGCAGCTTTTTCAACAAAGTTATAATAATCCCGATCTCTACCATTACGTAGTCTTCTCTGACAATGTTTTGGCATGTGCGGTTGTTGTTAACTCTACAATTTCCTCATCAAAGGTAGATGCTTCTTTTTTTGTTCTCTTCCTTTCAACATGTTCTTGTTCACTTCCTTTATACTAATTAATTTCATATTTAGACAAATGGTTTAGGCTTCTACTGTGGTTAGTACCATAGGAATTTGTCTGGTTATGAAACTAGGAAATGGAAGTTAGATATTGTGTGCTCTTTGTTCAGTGAACAACTTCATCTTTTTTTGTTACTGTTGAGAAACCTTGTGTCGTTTTATGTTTTCATGATTCAAAATTGCTGACCCATATTATTACTCAGGTATCATCTTAAATCATATTGCAAGCATCTTACACTTGCTAATGCAAGATCCATTTTCTGTTCCAAACATTTGATTTGTTTAACGCTCAGAAAATAATATTTCCAAATCTCTGCCCCATATGTCTTTTAACAAATGATATTACTGATTGCAGGAACCGGGAAAGATAGTATTTCATGTGGTGACAGATTCACTCAATTACCCGGCAATCTCAATGTGGTTTTTATTAAACCCAAGCAAAGCGTCAATCCAAATCCTAAACATTGATGAAATGAGTGTCCTTCCTTTGGACCATGCTGAATTGCTGATGAAGCAAAATTCAAGTGACCCAAGAATCATTTCAGGGCTCAACCATGCACGTTTCTATCTCCCAGATATTTTCCCAGGTCTGAACAAGATCGTACTCTTTGACCATGATGTTGTAGTTCAAAGTGATCTAAGTAGACTGTGGAGCCTTGATATGAAAGGGAAAGTTATTGGAGCTGTAGAGACTTGTCTCGAAGGTGAACCTTCATTTCAGTCGATGGAAAAGCTCATTAATTTCTCGGATGCATGGGTTGCTCAGAAATTTGATCCTAAGGCTTGCACTTGGGCATTCGGGATGAATCTATTTGATCTCGAAGAATGGAGAAGACAGGACTTGACATCTGTATACCTGAAATACTTTGAACTGGTACATAATTTCCTTCCCTCTTTAGTTCTCTGCATCAAGATTCACACTGTTGCCTTGTAACTTCCCATACCTTCTTGGAATGACTCTTCAAACCCAATGAGTTGTGATTTTTATCTAGAATAAAAAATCAGTTATGTCCCCATTAATACAACATCTTTATGTGTGCGTTGTGAAATTGTTTTGATTGCAGGGAGTAAAAAGACATCTGTGGAAAGCAGGGAGCTTGCCAATAGGTTGGTTAACTTTCTTCGGACAAACATATCCATTGGAGAAGAGATGGAATATGGTTGGGTTAGGTCACGAATCAGGAGTCAGAGCAAGCGACATTGAAAAAGCAGCGGTTATACATTACGATGGGATCATGAAGCCATGGCTGGACATTGGTATAGACAAGTACAAGCGCTACTGGAACATACATGTACCTTACAATCACCCTTACTTACAACGGTGCAACATTCACGATTGATTTTTTTTCTTACACAAGTTCTCCACACAAAATCTTAGATTCAATTCGATTCTTTTCTTCTTTCAAAATGTTATAACTAGCTTCATTCTTTTAACGATTTCTTGTGTAAATCATTGTTATTTTTTGATACAATACACAAAAATTACTCAAGAGCTTCAATGTCAGATTTAGTTTTTACAGCAACGTAGTGTTGTCCGGTTCCTTCTTTACCTCGAAAGATATCTCCTTTTGGTGCAATTTTATGCAGTTTATAATAATAATCCATCAGTAGAGAGAAAGAGAGAAAAAGATTTTGTTGGAGGGAAAGAGATGAAATATGACACGTGGAGGGAGTCTATAGGTGGAGTGTGGATAGAAGCATATCCAAGTTAGATGGCTTGTGTTGGTTCGGACAGATTTGTTATCCACCACATATTTAGTCGCCATGTTTGATCCGAAAAGCCAATTTGTTGCTATAGAACGCAAACAGAACAAAATCAACTCAAAATTGAAGAGTCTCTCAGTCGTTAGGGGAAGGAAATAGAGAAAATGGCTAGCTTCACTGCCTCCGCTTCCACTGTCTCCGCCGCTCGTCCGGCTCTTCTTCTCAAGCCCACCGTCGCCGTCTCCGCTCCTGTTCTTGGTAAAAGCCTTCCCTTTTCTTTTCTCAGATCTCATCTTTATAGTAGAAATTCAATCTGGTTATGTCCAAAGTGGAGATCTTTGGTTGCTTCTGCTAGTTGAGTGATTTGGAAACATGATTTGGAAACATGTATAAACAGAAGCTTAGTTTGGTTGTGAATAAATCAACAAGAAGTCAAAAGACAATTTTGATCTTGAAAGTCGATTGTGGTCGGAACCAATCAGACTAGTACAGACATGATTTGGATGTTTGCTGATTTAGTGTTGTGTGAATTAGAGTTTATGAAAAATCCCCTGAAACTTAGTTTAGTGGAGGGTCGGCAATAAACAAGTTTTGATTGTAACTAGTTTAACTGGATTCATTATTGTTTCTCAGGTTTGCCTCCAATGGGTAAGAAGAAGGGAGGAGTCAGATGCTCAATGGAGACAAAGCAAGGAAACGTCTCAGCCATGGGGGCTGGAGTTTCAGCGGCAGCAACAGCTGCTTTGTCCGCGGTGATGAGCAACCCGGCAATGGCATTGGTTGATGAGAGGATGTCAACAGAAGGAACAGGATTACCCTTTGGACTCAGCAACAACCTCTTGGGTTGGATTCTGTTTGGAGTGTTTGGTTTGATCTGGACTTTCTACTTCGTCTACACTTCTTCTCTGGAAGAGGATGAAGAATCTGGTCTCTCACTCTAAAGAAATGAATCTTTCGTCTTCTCCTTTTCCATTTTCATGTGAGAACATGAATCAAAAGCGTTCGTAATTTCTAGTTTCTTGTAATTGTTAAGTAAAGACTAAAAAAAACTATTGTCATGTGTTTTTCCCATTCTCTTTATCTTGACTCACAATGATGAAGAGGAGGAGATTATGTGATTATTAAATATATATCATGACCATGTTCAACAAAAACCAAACACAACATCCAAAAGGAAGTAAGCCTCATTTTTATTGATTTATTAGGTGGTAATAAAAACCATCTTCACTGCATAGATATTGAATACAGACCAAATTACTCACTCACTTGTTACCCTGTCCACTACCGTGGAGATTATCAAAGAAACCTTTAGGATCACTCTCAAAGTTATGTAAGAAGATCCATTGCTCCCTGGCGCTACCATGTAACCGCCTCCTCCACTACCGCCACCGCTTTTCCCTCCTCCTCCACCACCACCACCACCTTTTCCTCCTCCTCCATCACCAGTCACCACCGCTCCTTCCTCCTTTACTAATATAATTGATAATGGGTATAGCCACAAAAGATCAATACCTCATGAGTCATGATGAAAAATGCATGAATATTACTCATCTTGTGTGTTTGTGTACAATTGGACGTTCACATGTATTCAAATATGCAATGACACATACAAAAGAAACAGGAGACATGGATCAAAACCATGCAAGTGATGAGTGATGTGATTCTATATATATGTTCTTTATTGTTCAAGACGGACGAGACAAAATTTACAAGTTAGGAAAATATAATACATATGTGGGTGTTGTGTTGTGTATGATTTCAAGAAGGATGGTCAAGACGAAGCTGAGAGAGATGATGATGGATATCAGGAGAATGATGATCCTCAGAACGTAGACGCTCAGCTTGAATCCAACGACCTTCACTGTTCCTAATCATTCCTTTATTCGCGTCTTGACGCCAAAACGGTGGTATCTGTAAATGCTCTTTCAAAAAATCCGACGCTTTGTTCACTAGTGCGTGGTCTCTCCCACTCGACAGCACAAATCTCTCCCCTTTCCCATGATACCTATAAATAAATTACACCAAAAACATTTTAAAACTAGTGTATGATTAATTTGCATAACCACTAAATCGATATTCACGTGATACTCGGGTCAATCATAATCCCAAAACACTAATCACACGTAATCTACAATATCTCATTATAATATACAAAAACTAGTTTTGAAATATGATCGTCTTGAATATTTTATATCAATATCGTATCGTCGAAGAAACAAATTTGGACAGCTTTGTCCAATCTATTTCATCCCACGGCTTCCTAATTTTGTCGTTTTCTAGTTCCATATTAAATCAACATAAACTACATTATTACTGTACTTTACTGTATAATTAAACACATAATTTTCTATAAATCAAATGTAAAATAATAAAGTAAAAAAAAAAAAACCTAACTTACCCGTCAAGGAGATGAAGCATAGCTTCAAGGTTATGAGCATTAGAAAGATCAACAGAAGGTTTAAGAAACGGCGAGTTCTGATGATCCAACGCCAGCTCCTCCCCCACGTGGCAGTAACACCACGGCAACCCCTCCGCGATCTTCATCAGGGCGTGTGGCGCACTCTCGTTCAAAAACAGCCCCGGAGACTTCGAAACGACGTCGTGCACGTTCACCACTCTCATCACCTTCACTCCAAGCTCCTCCATCCTCTCTTTAAACCTCACGTTCCCAACTCGCGGTCCTCCGTAAGTCAACACCGTAACCGGAATCACTTTCCCGGTTTTGCTCCGGTTCAATCCCATCTCCGCTATGTCGTACGCACTTAGTATAGCTAACGCGCCGCCGAGACTGTGCCCCGTCACGGTGATGCTTAGATCGGAGGAGGAGTCGTCGCCGTGTTTATCAACCAGACGCTTCACCTCGGCTAAGATCTGTTCCCTCGCCGAGAATTTTGCGAATTTGCAGGATGTGTCTTTGTCGGTGTACAGATCTAAGAAACCGGATTCGACTTTAACGGCCGGGTCGGGGCATCGGATCTTGTTTTCGGATACAGGTTTTAAATAGTCTTTGAGATCAGCGATCCACTCGAGTTTCGTAACGGTGCCTCTCCACGCGATCGCGATATCTCGGCGGCCGAGACGGTTACGAGAGGTTTCGTCGTCGGAAACGGCGACGTATCCCATCCAGTTAGCGTTTTTGCTCCAGACCTTAGACCACCGCGATTTAGAGAAAAAGTTAGGGAGATTGATGTTGGACGTCGCGTAGAGGTAACGCGCCACCTCGTAACCGGAACCGCTCATCCCGAGAGAGTCGAAGAAGTCGAGACGGGAGAACCTCGAGCTGCCGCAGTATTTGGAAGCGGGGTCGAAATCGAAAGCGTCGTAACAAGCTTGAGCCATTTCGCCGTAACGGATCAGCTCCGATCTGAGGACAGGATCCATCGGATCCATTAACCCGGCCCAATCGTCTTCGCCTTGGATCTTACGCCACGTGTCGATTAGTCTTCTTTTCTCTTCGGATTTTTTGTCTCGCCGGCGGATATCCTCAGCCGTCATCCACCGTTCTCCGAGTCCCTCCGCTTCTTCGGTTAAGCCTTGTTGTTCCCTTCTATCTCTCTCGAGGCGAGAGATCACGGCGGATAAAGAAGACTCGTCGGTTCGGGACAAAGCTCTCGTAGCTAATGATACTCGGGATTTGGCGGGAAAATCGATTTTTGAGAAGTTATTGGTGTTGACCGGAGAAGAAGAAGAGTGGTGACCGGTGGTAGTGGTAAGAAGGTGGTAGTGGGAAGGAATGGTCGCCATTGTTGAGAAGAAGCGTCAGAGCTCTGATTGGTATCGTAATGGTGGTGGTAGTAACAAGGATACATTTATATATATGTACAAATAAGAAATCAAAACGTGTTATTCAAATGGTAACATGTCAATAAATAAATAAAAATGGTCCTCTAGCTATTTTCATATACTGTTTTAATTGATAAGGTATGATCATTTCATTCATATAGCAAGTATTAGAAATATTATTGTAGTATAGTCTATTAGAGTATTATTTGTTGTGAGTTTTTGAAGTGCATCGCGCAATGATTTAAGGCGATAAGCAGGGCTCTAGGGATTTGAGGATAATGATAGAGCTAGTGTGATCTAACCATGGTTATAAACTTATAATTAAACTAGTACTTTTATAAAAAAAAATTTTATGCTTTTTCAAGAATTTATATTCTGTTGAGATTGAATTAGCATATGAAAACGAAATAATTATCCTAAGTAAAAATATATAAGATTAAATAAATAAAAATTACAATTTGCATAGAACAATTTACAAAAGTTAATGAAATCATGAACATTCTTTAATCTAGTCAATACTTTATATAAATGTAATTTCTGATATAGTTTTTTAAGAAAGTTATTATTTGTGTGAGGTTATATGGTTATTGTGCGATGAATGTGGTCATTTACATAGTTGCAATCATGATTTTGGACCACATTTTATCAATGATATCCTAAGGTAATAAACTAAAGACCTATTAGTTAAGGGAATTTAATCTTTTTTGTTTTTTTTGTTTTTAACACTTTTTATGTCTAAAACAAAAACTAAGTCGTATTTGTTTGTGCTTTTTTCTTACTGAAAAAGACTAGTATATTGTTTTATTTTCGACTTCAAATAACATAGCGAGGACTTTTACATCGTTTTAGTATTTTTCTAATCAAGTTTGAGCAAATTTTTAATTATAAGAGTAAATTCAGCATCATCAGTAAGCATCTAGCGACGAGAGAATTGAACTACTCAACTTACCGTCATAAAGAAAAAAGAATGACTCAACTCATAAATTTTTAAACTATGCTTTGTGGAAAAGTCAAGCACCCAATGGCATTATGACAACACACACAATAAACTCGATCATATCATATCATTAACTCAATAACATTGTCGCATAAATGTACGATTATATATATATATACCCAAAGTCTAATGTAAATCTGCTGTCCAGGAGAAGAAAACAAATGTCTAATGTGTGAATCCATATCTAACATCATTCTAATAAGTTATATTATAAGATTTTGTTGATATATATATTAAAGGACATTGTTAATGGTCTTTATAAAAATGACCTAGTATTAGTAGTAGAAGGCATAGAAATGCATATGAATAGTTGACCCCGACCATATGAGTTAGGTTACAACAAGACGACAGCTCAATAATCTCGTCATAACTCTGGAATGAGATGAGGTGTCCATCCTCCGTCACTTCTTACCAATTTATGTTTCATCATAAAATATTTAGGCATGTGTAGTCATTAAAAGACAATTAGTTGTTTGGTGTTTCATTTTGAGAATCTAAAATACATCTCAATATTTAATCATATTACATTATTCCTCATATCTTACTTAACTTTTATTATTATTATTAATAGAGCTACGTTTCAAAATAAGAAAATAATATTAAGATATCTGAAATGGAATGTAGTGGAATCGAGTTCATGCTTTTGTGGAGATTTTGTTTGGTGACATCCTAACTTGCGCATATTTTATATTCTTTTTCTAATTCGAAGAAGTTTTCTATGTCATACAATATGTTTCCTAAATCGACCCGTTCGAAATTTTTGTTAGACTAGTTTTTAATTAAGACTTATATATTGCACGTTCGTTTATCTTCTCAGTTTGGTCATAGTCGAGACAATGCGAATGTACTAAAATTTTACATTAACTTGGATTTACTCCGGTGACTTATAATAAGGTAGTTTGTATTTGCTAGTGCCATCCTAATATCATTTGGTTCAAATCTGAAAATATGTGTGAGAGTCGTAGATGAACAAAAAAAACAAAAGAACTAACCTATTAACGAAATGTGAATGGAGAAGAGATGTATATGGTCAAAGATGTTTCGATTGTTCACACCATCATGCACTCTATGTCCACTTCTTCAAGGTTTCATCGAGCAAATGACCACGTAACCTATTAACCTCACCTACTCGCCTTTTTTTAATCAATAATTTATATAGAAAGTAACAAAGTTTTCACCAAACCCAAAAACAAAAATGTCTCTAAAGGGTAAGTCTCCGAGCTTACGGTGCAGCCTTTAGTGGTCTGGTCGTAGATGGAAAAGAGATAAAAGAGTGTGACTAATGAATGATTATCACTATTCTTTGTCTAATCATTATTTTAATCCTAAATATCATATCTTACTTTACATAGCGATTATAGAAATAAGAAGAAGTTTACATGTTGTAATCTCCATCATCGAGGTTAGACAAAATATCAAAACCGACGAGTTTTTGAACAAACCTTAGACTATCTCCAAAGAGGGATCATTAAGTCAAAATTAGAATTTATGTTGATTTAAAATAAATGTAAATGTAATTAAATGATAAAGAGCGCTCCTTATTAAAAGACTTTAAAGAGCGGTTGCTAAACGACGTGGCAAAATAATATTGGTTGTGACAAACATACATTTTTTTCTTTCTCTGTCTCTCTCTTCTCTCGCATTCCTCTCTTTTTCTTTCTCTTTCTTTATTTTTCTCTCTCTCTTTTATTTAATTGTAATTTATAATAAAATATTATTATAAAATATTATTATACACATTTTTTAAGGGTTCAGGGTTGGAGATGCCCTTACCTTTTATGGCAATATACAAAAGTGTGCAAACTAAATTGTAACGATTATGAGGCCCAAATCATGTCCACAAACGTAAAGAGCCGCCCAAACTTTCTGCATGGAGTTCATATAAGTTTGGTTGAAAGATCATATATATTTGGAACTCATACCTTCATCGATATAAATAAACTTCAAAGTTACTAATTATGAGAAACTATATACCATTCAATTTAAAATGAGAGTGGGTTAGCTGCGATATTAGAATCAAGAAAATGAATTCAAAATATATGCTGAGTTTGGAATTTAGTTTCATAGAGTTTCTAGTTACAAAACCATTATTTTTTCTGGTCCATCTCGAATCGTGTTCATTCTAGGGGTGACAACATATCTTACTTGGACCAAATAAGTTCCATAATCTTTAAACAAACATTATTATCAATTAGTAATATGGTTCATGATCATGTTCTTTATACATTACTCTATATATGTCTAATCTTACTTACAATATGCGATTTTCCAACGGAATCCTTGATCAAATAAAAGTGGTAAATGAGAAAGAATCTTGGCAAATTGTTGAAAGGGAAATGGCACACGAGAGAAACCGATGGGAGTTATTATTCCTTCATGATCAGAAGTGAGATTGAGAGAATCTCACAAAGACAAATCATATCTTGTTGTACAGTGACATGTTTCAAGAATTGGGTTTTTATTGTTTACACACACACACACACACACGCACGATCCGATCCATCAAACCCTGTCTGATCTCTTTGTCGTGGCTGCGAAAAATACCGTCAATCGATCCAGAGAGAAGAATAAGCATATCTCTCTGATTATTCTCCCACCACTTTTGGCTATCTCACATCCACACCCTTCATCTGAGCATGATTCTTGACCAAAAATATAATATGCTTTAGAGCTTGAGAAAAAAGTGGAAGCTGAATTGGTCCACAAATATATAAAAATTCTAATCCTCAGGGCATAAACTTGCAAATATATATATATAAACATGTGCGGATGTGCCATATATTCTCTTAGCATCTGCAACAAAGAAAAAAAAAACATATGGTCCTATTCAAATCAAAATGCCCATCTTGGTATCTAGGAGGAAAAAAGGGTAGGTGAATTGTGATTATATGCAACTTTTGTTGGCCCTTTGTTACTAATTTCACTTAAAAAAGAAAACAAAATATTAATATGGTTCATAATAAAATCACTTTAATGTACTTGGGGAACCTTTTGGACAATCTTCTGTGATCTCGTCCTCTCTTTTTGAGTCTCAACATTCTTACTTGTTCCTTTGTTTGCTTATAAATAGCCTATGATTCAAGAAACTTAAGTCTCAGACAACACTGAGCTTACCACTGTAGTATATACATACTACAACAGCAACAAAAAGGAAGATTTCGTCTCATGAATTTTCAGTTTTAAATCTTCTTTCAATCTATAAGGGAGAAGAAAAGAAGACTTTGTTTCTTCTTCTTCAAGAAACAAGCCCTAGATTGATTGAGACCTTCCTTAAGGAAACCATGGACAAAGTTGTGAGAATGTCGTCAGAGAAAGGAGTGGTTATTTTCAGCAAGAGCTCGTGTTGCCTGTCCTATGCTGTCCAAGTCCTCTTCCAGGATCTCGGGGTTCACCCAACGATCCATGAGATTGATAAGGACGTTGAATGTCGTGAGATCGAGAAAGCACTTATGAGGCTTGGGTGTTCCACACCGGTTCCTGCCATCTTTGTGGGCGGGAAGCTCATTGGTTCCACCAATGAAGTCATGTCGCTGCACTTAAGCGGCTCGCTGGTTCCGCTGGTTAAGCCGTTTCAGGCCAATCTATGTTAAAGAAAAGGTGTTTCTAACTTTCTAAACTACCAAAAAAATGTATTTCAATAAGAAACACAATCGTATAGCCTATGCAACCTTTGTAATGTAGCTTTATAAGTATTGTTTGTTTTGTAATTTCTGAAACTATCCAATAATTGACTAATTTCTACTACCAGTTTAGTAACTTCTTAGCTTTCATGGCACTGTCTCAGGGAATCACAGAACATTCTCTTTTTCTTTTTTGAATAATTAAGGGTAATTAAATAACATTCACTGCTAATTCTTTAGACCCCCACCCCAAATAAAGAGTACAAAGTTTATATATTTCTACAGATACAGAGCAATTACAGACAACGATTTGTCTTCTTGTCTGATTCACAACAAGAACATAAGAGAGTAGTTGTTGTGTTTCATTTGAGCTCCAAGACTGTTGGGTTTGGATTGTGAGAGTTATCTGATGAAGAAGACATTGAAGTGACATTAATGGGATACACCTCAGTTACTTCTTCAGTCTTCTCATCAAAGTAGACCACATCCTGCATTGTGAGCTGGTGATATTCGACTACTCCTCTCAGATAAAGGTTTTCGCGAGTATATATCGAGTTCTCATGAGCTAATCGAGCTTTCTCAGCTAACAATGTTTCAAGTTGAAGTCGCACCTATAGATGAGAGGAAAGAAACGAGACACAGTTCAATATCAGAAATGAACATGAAAATTGTTAACCTTAAGGCAGAGTTAAGAGTAAAAGGAATTAATACCAGATCATCGTCATCCGCTTGGCTGTTCCCACCATTACGGTTCTCCCTCAGAACCTTATTTTCTTCTTCCAGCTGTGCACATCGTTGCTTTGCAAAGGCGAGATCAGATTTTACCATCTTCAGCTCCCGAAGTAAAAGTTTTGCCTTGGCAGCCATGGCCATTGCAACCTGTCGGGATAAATCGATAGGATTTTCAGTATTTATATTTGGATTTTTAACATGGCAGAGTATATTTCTAAGACATATTGTTCTCAAGATACATTAGTTGAAGAGATAACAGCAGTAAAATAAGCAGATATATTTTTGCTGCTGTGAACCAATAAATGATACAGAGCAGCCACCTTACGTCGCGAGATGCCTTTAGTTGAATTTCCAAATCTGCTTGTATCTCAGGATTCTGCTGATTCCTTGTAAGACTTGGCTTCTTTTTAATCTTTTTACGGGTTTCTTGAATGATGCCTGCAGTACGGTTCTCCACAGCGGTAATACCCTCCTAAGGAAATTCACAGACACATAAATAATCTCAGCCTTAAAAAACTCTCATCTAGTGCAGCAAAGAACATACATCAAAATACACAAGAATTCATATGCCTCTTTCAACAACACTAATGTGAGAACTCAAACAACCTATGCAAAACAGACCAGAGATATGTGTTATATAGTGTAAAAAACTAACCTCAACAGCAGTGCCAATAGTGCCACCAATGTAATTTAACGATGAAGTGATAGCGTCTAACCTTCTCTGCAATGAAGGATTCTCGCTTTTCCTACCTGTCTGACCAGCTTCCTGAAATATGAAAATGAATTTGTACTATATAAGAATGCGACTCCACAAGAGCAAATGCAACTGCGTAGATAAAAGATTTAAAAGCCTGATCCTTAACCTTAGTTACTGAAGTCGTTGAAGAAGGTATGTTCTGCTCCGTTCTCTTAGGACTTTGGGGAAATTGTTGAGGATCATCCTCATCCAAAAAGGCCTTAGCTTTACTAGCTAAACTTCCCCAAAAGCCTCGTTTTGGCTCATTCAAACTTTTCATAGAAGTATACTCATGAGCCTTCTTCACCTCCTATTCAAATATTTCAACAACGGGACATTCCAAATCAAAAACAGAGTAAACCCATGAATCATTTCAAACTGATCAAACAGACAAAACAATAGAGTAAGCGATCCTAAACAGAGATAAAAACGAAACCTTGGGAGGAGTGGGAACAGGAGCAGAAGAAGGAGACGAGTAAGCAGAGGAAAGAGAAGAGTCTCTATGCGCAGAAGATGCTCGAATTGCCTTAGCAGCGAGAGACGACGCAGCAGAGGATGACGCCGAAGCCGAAGACGGAGACGGAGACGAAGAAGAAGAAGAATGGTACATCGTCCTCATCGTCGGCGTCATCAGCCTATCCTTGTCTTTCTCCGTCTCCATTTCGAGATCTTCGAGTTCCTCGAATCTGAAATCTTCAATCTCGTCGACCTTCATCACGCTCAATCACAGTCTCCAAATTTGGTGGTTTTGGGGGGATCGATTTAGGGTTTTCCAATGAGCATATCTTTGGAATTTGGATCTCTCTCTCTCTCTCTCTGCCTCTATCGCAAATGATGCCAAAGTTTCAATTTTTTTTTGGATGTCGTCAACGCTTTAGAGTAGACAGGTGCATTCTCAATATTCCCGGTTATTGAATCTTGGTTTTCTAACAAATGTACTAAACCGGGTTTCTCCTATACTACTACATACTTTGATTATACCATCCAAACATGCTCGTGGTCGTGGAGATCATGACCTCTCAAATCACAAACCAACCATCTACATTCTCACTAGCAAGAACATTCTGGTTTGATTGATAGATTAGGCCGGTTCTGAAATTTTGTAGGATGACGGTTTGGTTTCGGTATGGTTATGATGAATTGCATACCAACTTCCGGTTACCTGTTAATTACAGGCTTACAGCCAACAAACAAAAGTTTATCCACACAACGAATCTAGTAACAATCTTTAAGATAAGAAGAAACAAAATCTAGTAAATTGGGGTCAAAACTTTTGCTAAAAAAAACACAACACCAAGCTTAAATCTAGTAAATTGGGGTCAAAATCTATGTTTTGTGTGCATGCATGTATTGTTGGGCTTATTGGCGTTGAATCAAATGGGCTTTTTGCAAATAACAACAAGTATTGTTATATTTCTCGATCAAGCTAAGCAAAAAGCTCGTTGTTGATGATGAGTTTTATTTTGTTGGTCAAATCCATCAAACTAGTTTCGTGACACAATATCGTACCCGTTGACTCTATCCGATTCATAAGCAACCCCTAACCATTATTAAACGGATAAGAGATTTTGCACAAATGAATGCGATGTGTGCTAAACTCGTCTGGCGTTTCCTAAGAAGACGACATTACAGTGTATGAATTGGATGAAGCCTTGACGTCGACTTTTTTTGGGCTCTTGACAAATAACCAACTTTGGCCCAAATTGTTCAACTTTTTTTTTGTTTTCTAGTTGTATTTTTTTCCTAGCCTTTGTCCCTTCGGTTGAGCCGCCGTGAGATTCGGGACCGTTTTTAATTATTAACACCAACCCCACCAACAATTTTATGGTGCTATAAATTATCACTATCGATCATTTAATAAGATCTAGAAAAAATTCTCATGTCCGTTTTGTGAATTTGGATATGTAGAGTTTGCAAATCCATTAGAATTTGGTCCTAATTACATGTAACCATTATGGTCGAAATTGTTGATTGAAACGAGACGGCATTATACAGCTCAGGGGGTTTGTACTTTTGTTGATTTGATGATAGCACCATATCCTCTTATGGTCCAACCTTTTCTAACAAGAATGCTTTAGTCTTATAATTAAGAGCTGCCTTAGCACCTTTTTAAAGAATTTAATAATTATTCTCTCTCAATTAATGAATTTATATGGTTATCACCTACAAAATCAGTGATCTAATAGACAACTATATGGTGTAGTAGTCGGTTGCTTATTATGTTGTTTATGAGTAATTGGTTCGTATTTTTTTTTCACTATACCATACTTTACTTTTTTAAAACTTAGATTGTGTTTGTATAGAAAAACTATTGTGTAAATATAATCATATATATATATATATATATATATATATATATATATATATATATATATATATATATATATATATATATATATATATATTACATTTTGAAGAAAAAAAATATTGCAATAAGGAAATAGGAATTAAATTTGTTCAAAGTTAAACTTGAAAAAGAAAACATAATTCAAAAGCATCTCTACTAATAAAAGGGACAATTTAAACATTTTGAGTGTGTCCACCTCAGCAAATTAAAACTCATATCTAAGAGCACGCCACATCAGCAGCAACAATATTCATGTCCATCTTGAAGATTTGGACAATCAAGCTTAAGCTTCTGTAAAAACCAAGAGAACTGAACTTGGGTTTTACAAAAGCTTAAGCTTGATTGTCCAAATCTTCAAGA